TTGTGATGTAAAATTCCTTCTTGAAACCTGCGTCCCTTACAACTTCACAACTTTCAGCTATCTTTTGATTTTCTGACAAAACATCTCGATGTCGCGTTGTCATGGAAACATAACTGGAATAGGTTCGGTGGTTTGTGCATTTTGTGTCTTGGGGCTTTTAAGACATCGTATAATGGAGAATTATAATTATTGGTATCGGAAATCCGGGGAATCAAGGTGGAATAAGGGACTAATTGCTTTATATTACAATAATAGCCGAACCGTTCAATGATAGCTTCTATAAAGACGTACTACCAGAACTTCTAGAAAAATCCAGTCAGTGAATAAAATGTTTATTATTTGTCACGCGGTGCAAGACTCACGTGATATCTAAAAGAAAATTTGGATTTCTTCTTTTTTTTAAATTCTCGAACGAGCATTATCAGTTCATTAACCGATGCTATATTTAGTATGGTAAAGTGGTGTTTCTGTCTTTTTTCATATTAGTTACATTCACTTAGGTCCGGTTCCTACCTCAACTATGTCGGCGAAACACGAAACAGATTTTTTGGAGAAACCGGACCCATATGCCCACGGTAATCTTATTACGATTTAAGGCTGCTTGTCGGATTAAAAGTCAGGGTATTGACTCCTTAGATTTAACCACAGATTCTTTCCAGGTGACCCTAACGACTGTATGATCACTCTAAATCATTTCATTTTGAGATACACCACTTAGTTTGAATGAAATGAATTTTCGTTATTTTTGTTTTATCTATTTTGTAGGTACTTTAATTGCTTCCTGGACAACTTTATGTGGTTGTCCAACAAGACTCGGTCACCCAGTGAAGGCGTGGGCATTAAATCTATTGGCAGCCTTACTACAAATGATCTCATTTTTATTGATAGTAGGATGGGTGTGGAGTATAATATGGGGAATGAATTTCGTCCAATTAGCATGTAAGTATAAACAGAATTTTAGATTATTTAAAAAATATTAATTTTTTTTTATATTTTTTATTTTATTTTATTTTTTTTTTTGACAGCCCAAAAGAAATAAGACGAAACGAAGTTGACATCAGATTAAAAAAAAATACTTATAAGGTGCAGAAAAATAGGACGTTAAACCCCATTTAATTCATTAATTTCACTCTTAAGATAAAAATGTCGACGATTTTTGTCATCTTTGTATGTGGACATTATAAAACCCGACAAATAATCGCCGATTAAACCCGATAAATAACTCATCTATTCGTGCACGTACAAGGTGCAATTAAAGAACATTAAACAAGTATGAATTACACCTGACTGGGACTCGGCATAGAGTGCGCTGCAGTCGGATAGAATATATACTATTCAAAAAAAGTAGGGGATATTTGATTTTGGGGGCATAATACTAAAATATGCAAATGACTACGAATAAAGTCACTATAGAACCTAACAGAAGAAACATTTCCAGTTACATGTGACGCCCAAACGCACCAATAGCTACCGCATGGAATGCAGGTGATGCTTGGGATCATCATGGGGGTCCAACCCAAGATTTGCACGACTCTGACTTTGAATGTTACAGTCATTGTGGCATTGAATTCCAGGGTGGAAACATCAGTTTAATTGTTTTAGTGACCAGAAAACAAATTTTGATATGCGTCGGCTTACCCAAAATGAAAGGTTACGTGCCCTTGGCATGCTACAGATCGGCACAACACAGGCGGTTGTGGCGCGGACGATGAATGTTTCTCAGTCTGTCATAAGCAGGCTATGGTCCAGATACCGTGATACACAATCTGTACAGGACAGACCACGCTCAGGTCGACCAAGGGCGACAACTCAAGCCCAGGATCGATTTATCCGTACCTTGGCCTTGAGAAATCGTGTCATCACAGCAAATCAGATCAGCGCTCGTCTTCAAACAGACACTGGTGTGAGAGTGAGTGGCCAGACGATTCGGAATCGACTGCATAGGGGTCACCTTCGCGCTCGACGTCCTCGCGTGATCCCTTGTTTGAGAGATCATCACATTCAGGCAAGACGTCGTTGGTGTAGGGATCGTCAACACTGGGATAATCGACGCTGGAGCAATGTGATGTTTTCAGATGAGTCAAGGTTCACTGTTGATTTTTTGGACAGACGTAGGAGGGTGTGGCGTCGTCGAAACGAGCGCTTCCAAGACGTTAACGTCATCAGACATGATCGATTTGGGGGTGGTTCTGTTATGGTGTGGGGAGGCATCACTGTTGCTGGAAGAACGGCTTTACATGTTGTTGCAGGGCGTGTTACAGGCCAGTACTACCGGGACAACATCTTGGCAGTCCATGTTGTGCCGTTCGCACGACGTCATGGCCGCCGTTTCATCTTCCAGGATGACAACGCAAGATGTCACAGGGCCAGGATCGTTACAGGTTACCTCCAACAACAGAACATCACCACATTACCTTGGCCAGCACTGAGTCCCGACCTCTCCCCCATCGAGCATGTCGGGGACATACTTGGACAGAGGTTACGTCAACGTCAACAACGTCCTGCCAATGTCCAAGAACTTGCTGCTGCGTTGCAACAGGAATGGGACAATCTGGACCAAAATGACCTTAGACGTCTCATTAGGAGTATGACACGTCGGATCAATGCTTGTTTGGCAAACAGAGGAGGATTTACCCGTTACTGACTTGGTTGTGATGCTGTGGTAACTTTGCTGTTTGACCCCGGGTATCATTTTACCCTTATAATGGTCAGTCTGTGCCTTACTTAGTCTAACGATCATTTGGAATAAATCGATGAATGTGAACTTCATTTCATTTTGTCATTTGTTTCTTCGTCAGTTTCATTAGGTGACTTTAATAACACTTAAAAATCAAATATCCCCTACTTTTTTGAATAGTATATAATTGGTATGTTTTGACCCTTAGCCTATAATCGAAAATGACTAATCAGAATGGAAGAACTGAATCCAGGGCAAAATGAAAAAAATGTGACAGGACAAGATGTTACAGCAAATTGTTGCGGTGCATAATGTTACAGGACAAAGTGTCACCGGGAAGTAATTTTTTTTGAAATTTTTCAAGTCAAATTCATGATGGTGATGAGATTGATTCAAGCCCGCACCGGGCGTGATAATCTTCAAAATTCAAACATATCGCACTCTAACCCGATTCAGAACTTTTTCATTATTCTCCTAAATTATTATAGGTCCTCTAACGTCGTATTTCTTCCTTCAAATTTTTTATAATGTTCATATCAAAATATCATAATACGCCAATATTGCAAATTCTGCCTCAAAATTGAAATTTTCCGTCATTATCATATTTCCTGTACTGGGGTTGGGGGGGGGGGTCGTGCTCGCTGTATCATGTTAGTCCCGAAATTACCTAGTTTGGGTCGAGTGGACCTGACCCCCCCTCCCTCTCTCTCTCTCTCTCTCCAAATCTTACATAATACATATTTACCAAATTCCGTTGTCGCAGATTTCGTAGTTATGGTAATCTAACTGAGTAAAATTCCTGTTTATGTTGTATGATTAATTGACCCCCCAGACAATGGTTTATAATCCTGCCAAGACTTATTTATATAAATATAGTATTCGGGAGAATTGTAGCATGCGTCTGGTTATAATATTAATGAGATATTTTACGTCTGTCACTTTCAATATCCATGCCTTTTACGCACTTGGAACCCCTTTTCTATATCTCATAGTTACAGCCGCCAAAACAATTGAGGGCATTACCGAAGATCGTCAACAACAAGGGAAATATTTGGTATCGTGAATAGTATTAGTTCTACCTAACGGCCAATTTCTCTGGCAGCTATTTAAAATCCATTAGAAAATTACACAACGCTTTAAGATTCGGTATTTCAAATTGTACACCTGATCGGTCAATGTCAGGTTTAAGACGGGATACATCGGTCTTAGTAAACGGTGGCACGGAAGCAAAAACAAAATAGACGTTCTTCCTCGATTTACAATTTAGATGAGTTAAACCAAAGCCGCTAAGAAACCGTGCAAATGGTATTTTAAAGGAATGTGTTTATAATTCGTTGGAAATGAAAATGAAATGGGTTTAACTTCCTACCTTTCTGTACCAACTACTCACAGAGCCCCTTTGGCATCAATAATTTAAAAGAATGTCCGTTGAAACGTGAATTATTTCTAGGAACGTTGGTTTTACACAAAACATTCCAGACAGACTACCAGACAGCACACTCCCAGGGCCGTAACTAGATCGGAGCAACGGGGGGGGGGGGGGATCTCATCTGTGCTGTAAAATTCACGGACAATGTATATCTGTTGTTTTTATGTTCGGCAATTCTTTCACGGGGAGGAGGTTGGTGGCGAAACTGACAGAGTATTTCGAGACAAACAATATTTTCAGACAATAATCAGGGATTTTTTGTGGATAAGTAAGAAGACATAACATCTTTACAAGACACACTTACCCAGAGAGCGGAAACGAGGGCAAATTTGCGAAACATGAGTACCTGTCCAACAAAAATGACAGGTGCGGATTCATTGGGGAATGCGTGTGTGTGTGTGTGTGTGGGGGGGGGGGGGGGGGTAGCATCTACAGTGTTCCTTTTTTCCAAATTTCTTTGGGGCGATGACCCAGATAAGTTTTTGAAAAACCCAAACAAATTGTTAACTCTATGTCAAGACTAGACGTGGTTTGGTTTTCAAATTAATAATTGTTATTTTAAGCCGTTTAAATACATTACCATATTGCAACGAGTTGGAATAGCCATCGGGGAAAATAGTTTTCATTTAATGTCGAATTCATCTTGAAAACTAAACGACTTTTAGTTTGTAAAGAGGTGTACGATTAAAGTAGGCCTTATAGGCTTGCGCGTAGATCTAACACTAAACCAACCCCTTTTCAACAACGGTGCAAAATTTTCAGAATGATTTGCCAACAAAATCAGTTTTAAGTGTAAGAAGACATAATATTTTTTCTTATTCTATTTGCAGTGTCCGCCGGAGAACCCCAGAGGAATCCTTATTATGTTCGCCGACAGAGTAGCGTTGAATGACGGTGACTTGACCCTTGATTAGAAATCGTCTGCTCTAAAGACTTAATCGTAACAGACGTCGTATGTTGTTTTGACGGCTGATGGTCAAGGATTGTTGGTAAACAAGAAAGATTTCATGGATTGATGTGGTTAATTCTGAATAATTTATTGAACAAAATATACAACAAATCGTAGCCTACTGAAGTTTACGTACATGCCTATCCGTCTGCTTCCTCCATAAGATTGACAGCACTTTTTTTTATATTGAAACATATTTCTTTGAAAGCAACTTTATTTTCTAGGATATTAAGACTAGCTTTATTATTCAGAAATCTGGAATGAAACAACCTATTCTGGTTTTCTTTTTTGGTTTTTAGTTTGTTTCGTATAAAGAAATTTTAGGAGAATTCTACAAAATGCATACGACCTATTTAATCTAATATAAACAGTATTGTTATTGAAAATTTGTTTATAGGATTTATATGTCACGGTGTTTGATGTTGTCAAAAACTGTCTACTTTGTAGAAATTACATGAGCAACACAGAATGGAAAAATAGTTTGTTATGACCTTAAAATGGTAAACACGACTGAAATGCCACAAGAATGGAAACATACATGAAGGACATCTCGCGAGCAGATATTTCTATTGCAGGGTCACATAGGTTAAAACAAAATGTTACCAACAAAATATATCATTTTATAATTGAAATCATACTCATTAACATTTTACTTTTATTGTTTTTAAGAAGTACACACAGAATCCGCTGTCCTGCATCACCGTATAGTCTATTCCTGTAGCAATGGTAAATAAGCATTACGAGCTTCTGGTAATCCTCGTAACCACTGCTTTAGGAATGTGCGTCTAGTCGTCAACAAAAATTAAACTTAGTAATAGACAGTTTATGGATAACATTCACAAGGTTTATTAACTGCAGCGTTTCGGTGAGGGTACTCTCACCGTGTCGATGAGGGTCCTCTCACCGTTTGAAGGTACACTCACCGTTATCAAGCTTGATAATGGGGAAAGTATGCTCTATCCTCATTGAAACATTGCAGTTAATAAACCTAGTGAGTGTTATCCATAAAGCTGTCTGTTATTATATATCGCAAATTCGCATTCACTAAATGCCCCTGAAAGATAAAAGGATTAAAGTTGTGCTAAATAAAAGCATACAGATATTATCTCCACAGTAAAACCATTCAGGCCATTTTTGTAAATTAAAGCAGTGTGAAATATGTAGGCGTAATTGCTTTGCCTGGCATATTGCAAATGGGTTAGATTAAAGATCCAATATATGGTGGGGAATATTAAATAACAGTTAGTTACTAATTTAAGAACAATGTTAGTTGGGGGTAAACGCTAAATTATATGAAACATACAAATTATGTTTGTTTTGCTAGGACAGCGGAGTCGTGCCTGCTCTTTCAGCTAATCGGTTTTCTTTGTCACTTCCATAGACGCTGTTCCAAGTCATCTAGGGACGTCTTTGTCGTATTTGAACCGGGAAAAATATCAAATCCCGTAAATTATCACGCATTTTTTTTAGTGAATTTATGTATCTTTTCATTGTGTAAATTATAAATTTTGCTAATCGGTTATTTGTTGCCTGTCCAGTCTTGCTTGTGAATTGAACCAGATTGACCTCTATTTTTGAATAAATGAAAGAATTTAATCGATGTCAATTTCACTGATGAATTTTTCTTAATTAGATTTTTTTTAAATATTGATTAGTTTCTGTATAGTACCCATCGTTACTGGTCAGAAGCTTTTAATTTTATACATTATACATTCGAAGAAAGCAGGGGACTATTAAAATGGGTCTGCCTGTCTGTATTTATGTCCGTAACACTTTTTGGGACACAATAACTTTCCTTCTAATTGAGCTAGAGTGTTCAAACTTGGTGTAGGTGTTTATGAGGTGGATGCCTTGATGGAGTTCGAAGGTGAACTTTTTCTGCTTATGGTAAGTAGAGATAAGCAATTTTATTTGTTGATGCTCTGGGATGCGATAACTTTAGTTCTAATTAAGTTAAGTGATGAAACATGATGTATAGTTTCATTAAATCAGTGGTTCTCAACATTTTTTAGCCAACGGCACACCTTGGAACACATGAAGATATAGCGGCACACCTGGCTAAATATATATGAAAAGTATTTGAATTTTGCAAAAAAAACAAACATGGCAACTCATAGACGGCATACAGTCTTAGACAAAGACTAGTCATAGGCACGTAGAATGACTTAAACTAAATAAAGAAAAACACAGCTATAAACTTACTTTATTGCAGTGTTTCGCATTTCATCAGTCAAATAGCTGGCTTCTTTAGTGAGAAATTTTCTTAGTGTGCCGTTCAAAATTTCGCGGCACACTTAGGAAGATCTCGCGGCACACCCGTGTTCCGGGGCACACTGGTTGAGAACCACTGCATTACATCAATACCTTGACTAAGTTCGATAATGAGCATTTTCCGCTAAGTACCTATAAGCAATTTGATTGGTCAAGACTTTGAAACATAACAACCCCGTTTTTATACGCCCACATTTTCATGTGGACGTATATTGTCGTCGCCCCTGTCCGTCCGGACGTCCGTCCACAATTGTTTGTGAACAATCTACAGGTCACAATTTTTATCCGATTTCAATGAAACTTAAAATATAGGTTTATCACCCTAAGATCTCGGTTCCTTTCGATATTGGCATGTATCGGACTGTAACTTCATGGATTATGGCCCCTGATTGTACGAAAAATCACGTTTTTAGCTAGAGGTCACAATTTTTATCCGATTTATTTTAAACTTGAAATGTATGATTATAACCCAAAGATCTCGGTTCCTTTCGATATTCGCGCATATCTGAACATAACTTCCTGAATTATGGCCCCTGGTTGTACGAAAAATCGCGTTTTTAGCTTGTGGACCCTATAGAGGTCATAATTTTTATCCGATTTAAAAAAACATATTATTATATCACCGTTAAACCCTAAGGACGGTTGAGTTCGAATTTCGTGAAAATCGGCCCAAAACTGACAGACAAAATGGCCGCCGTTCGTTCTCAAATAGCGTAAAAATATGGTATATCAAGGTTGTGGGCCCTATAGAGGTCACAATTTTTATCCGATTTTGTTGAAACTTGAAATGTATGTTTATATCCCAAAGATCTCGGGTCCTTTCGATATTCGCGCATATCGGACCGTAACTTCCTGAATTATGGCCCCTGATTGTACGAAAAATTGCGTTTTTAGCTTGTGGACCCTATTGAGGTCATAATTTTTATCCGATTTAAAAAAACGTATTATTATATCACCGTTACACCCTAAGGGCGACTGAGTTCGAATTTCGTGAAAATCGGCCCAAAACTGACAGACAAAATGGCCGCCCCTCGTTCTCAAATAGCGTAAAAATATGATATATCAAGGTTGTGGACCCTATAGAGGTCACAATTTTTATCCGATTTTGTTGAAACTTGAAATGTATGTTTATATCCCAAAGATCTCGGGTCCTTTCGATATTAGGGCATATCGGACCGTAACTTCCTGAATTATGGCCCCTGATTGTACGAAAAGTTGCGTTTTTAGCTTGTGGACCCTATAGAGGTCATAATTTTTATCCGATTTAAAAAAACGTATTATTATATCACCGTTACACCCTAAGGACGACTGAGTTCGAATTTCGTGAAAATCGGCCCAAAACTGACAGACAAAATGGCCGTCCCTCGTTCTCAAATAGGGTAAAAATATGGTATATCAAGGTTGTGGACCCTATAGAGGTCATAATTTTTATCCGATGTTTTTGAAACTTGAAATGTAAGTTTATAACCCAAAGATCATGGTTCCTCTCGATATTCCCGCATATCGGACCGTAACTTCCTGAATTATGGCCCCCGATTGTACGAAAAATCGTGTTTTTAGCTTGTGGACCCTATAGAGGTCATAATTTTTATCCGATTTAAAAAAACGTATTATTATAACACCGTTACACCCTAAGGACGGTTAAGTTCGAATTTCGTGAGAATCGGCCCAAAACTGACAGACAAAATGGCCGCCCTTCGTTCTCAAATAGCGTAAAAATATGGTATATCAAGGTTTTGCATTTTTAAATTTACTAAACATGTTTAATTTTGTGCATCTTATTCATAAACAATATATCCATCCCAACTAGAAGTGCACGCTAAAGTTCCCTACACAAACGAATTTCTAAACGAGTATGCGTTACGCCGCTGCCCTTGCGAAATATTTAGCAACATATATATTAATTTCATCCAGTTCAATCCAACCGGGAGTCCACGTTACAGATCCGCAGTCAATATGCGACATATTTCAATCGAGATTGTCTTCACAGAATTTTAATTAGAATTGTCAAAATATAACTGTTGTTTACTAACGACAGCTGTGTCTAGATTTTGATTCTTTACTCGACGCACGTGATCAATAGGTAGTTCGGCGGTTTTTAAAAAATCTGACTGAAATACAAATGAGACAGGAGCAAAAAAAAAAAAAAAAAAAAAAAAATCAATTACTAATTTGCATCAGTATACATTTCTAACTCTTGTCTATTTTTGTGTGCAATATTTGTGAATTTTATTTTGTAACTTAAAATATTTGTGATTAAATGTTTCTGTTTTTATACGCCCACATTGAAATGTGGTCGTATTGTCGTCGCCCCCGTTGGTCCGTCCGTCCGTCCGTCGGTCCGTCGGTCCGGCGTCCACAATTTATACACAGTGTTTAAGGTCTTGAGACGAAGAAGCCTATTGATTTTCAGCGATTTCCGATAATTACTGCCAGAGTTATGGCCCTTGATCACTTTGAAAAATCTTGTGGACGCTCTAGAGGCCAAAGTTAATATCCAATTGACCTTAAATTTATACACAGTGTTTGAGGTCATGAGACGAAGAAGCCTATTGATTTTCAACGATTTCCGATAATTACTGCCAGAGGTATGGCCCTTGATCACTTCAAAAAATCTTGTGGACGCTCTAAAGGCCAAAGTTAATATCCGATTGACTTTAAATTTATACACAGTGTTTAAGGTCATGAGACGAAGAAGCCTGTTGATTTTCAACGATTTCCGATAATTACTTCCAGAGTTATGGCCCTTGATCACTTCAAAAAATCTTGTGGATGCTCTAGAGGCTAAAGTTAACATCCGATTGAAATTAAATTTATACACAGTGTTTAAGGTCATAAGATGATGAAGCCTATTGGTTTTCAGCGATTTCTGATAATTACTACCAGAGTTATGGCCCTTGATCACTTCAAAAAATCTTGTGGATGCTCTAGAAGCGAAAGTTAATATTCGATTGACGTTAAATTTATACACAGTGTTTAAGGTCATGAGACGAAGAAGCCTATTGATTTTCAGCGATTTCCAATATTTGCTGCCAGAGTTATGGCCCTTGATCACTTTGAAAAATCTTGTGGACGCTCTAGAGGCCAAAGTTAATATCCGATTGACTTTCAATTTATACACAGTGTTTAAGGTCATGAGACGAAGAATCCTATTGATTTTCAGCGATTTCCGATAATTACTGCCAGAGTTATGGCCCTTGATCACTTCAAAAAATCTTGTGGATGCTCTAGAGGCTAAAGTTAATATCCGATTGAGTTTAAATTTATACACAGTGTTTGAGGTCATGAGATGAAGATTCCTATTGATTTTCGATAATTACTGCCAAAGTTATGGCCCTTGATCACTTTGCAAAATCTTGTGATGCTCTAAAGGCTAAAGTTATAATCCGATTGACTTCAGATTGATACACAGAGTTAAAGATCTTGAGACGAACAAGTATATTGATTTTCAATGAATTTTTATGACTTGAACAGTTAAATCCATGATATTAAAAGCTTTGCATACAAAATGTTAACATGGGACAGAACTTTATAAAAACCAAACAAATTCTAATAGTTTTCTGATAATTACTTCGTGAGTTGTTGCTCTTAATCAGATTTTAGTGTATTATAAATGTTTCATTACCGAAAAAAGTAAAAATATGCGACAACCCTTGTTGACTGCCCGCACGATTTAGTTGCTGTGGGCGTGTGTTTCGTTGCCTGGCAACCTATCTTTAAATTAGGACGGGGCTTATACATGAAAACGTTTAGATAATTCAAATCTAGTTATATGACAATGCTTAATAAATCGATTTTTTATTCTGGGGCAGCTTACTTAGACGGTCCATGCATATTTTAAAAATAAAAAATATGTAAAATTGTAATTAGCTCTGATGCTATGGAAACTGAATAATGAATGGCTACATATATTTTTGAATAATTTTTAAAACAAAAACTCTATTACCATTTACATAAAACATAAATATGTTAGTTTGTAGTAGGAAAATACCCCAAAGATATGGATTTTGCAAATACCGTTGCTATGGTAATCAAATAATATGGCAAATCTTGTAAATAGCGTTGAAAATATAAATAACACATTATGTATTAATAAACTGTTAGTTTAAGGTTATTTAAACAATAAATTGTTAAAATTTGAATTATATAATGGGTCATACTTCAAAATTGGTTTCCATGGCAACCTAACATGAACTTAAAGTTGCTCAACGTCTGAAAATGTTCTCCGTGCTGTCACAGACTAGCTGTACCATAAAATGCGAAATATAGCCTTTTTTTTGCACATATCAGCAGGCTTCCGCGTGAATTTTTTTTACCATGGGTAGTATCTTTAATTGAAATATTCTTGAATAAGCCCAAAAATAGAGGTGATTGTGGTTATGTATATTTCATAATAATTTTTTTTAAGGGTTTTAACTGTATAGGGATATATTTATGATGTATTGTCGGCGCCGTATTTAATTTAGTATTGAGTTTTGCGGGCATGCATTAACGTATAGTTTGGTCGTGTTAACTTTTATTTATTAGTTTTACAAATCTTTATTTCATCGGGTAGCTGAAGAGAGGTGTGGACTGGGCCTCGGACCGTCGGGTGTGGTCCCAAGGCTCATCGGCTCCGATTGGAAATTCTTTTGAGACATATTTCATATTATATTTCAAAATAAATAAAATTCATCTCCGTATCCACTGGAAAAAAGTATAATGGCTTAAATCCAAGGAGAAAAATGATATGTGAGTGGGATACCGGAAGGTGAATCAAGCTAGTTTCATTTTCTCGTCATGTCATGTATTCTAAACAGCTATGGGGGTCCAAGGAAACTAGTTGGTTCGAGGGCCCAGAGCTACCTTGTCAGCCACTGGCTCAAGATACTTTAAGCAAGCTAATTTTCTCGTCACGTATATTCTACACCAAAATGGGTCCGAGGGCCCATCAAAACCGGTTGGTCGGACGGAACAGAGCTACCTTGTCCACCCCTGACAGAAGATACTTTAAAAAAGGAATTCGTTTAGAAGACGGTTTTTCAAGGATTGTATAATCTTCAGTTTGGGGGTTATTTACATTGGCTGTTCGGGGATTTTATTATTTCTGTAGCGTAGCTTTAAATCGGATTGACATAGAAATTATATAAGTAAATCACCTCTTCTTATTGTATATAGAATAATTTGTGTGTGTTGTATACTTATTCTGTATTTGTATAATGTTATTTTTGCCAAAGGTAATAAACAAGTAAAATATATCTATATCTCGTGTAATTATTACAGTGCCGGAGCGGCCCACTTAAAATAACGGGTGTGTGTGTGTAAGAAAGGCTGATGACAGTGTCCAAAAAAGTTATCTTTGTCCCCAAGGTCTTGAGGACTTAGAGAGTCTGCCAAGTCTATGGGTAAATCATGCACTGGATATTTAGTGGAGGGTTAAAGAATATATTGGTCTTATGATTTTCGAAATTTTTGGTTGGTTCACCGTGATAAATGTGAAATGAAGTGAGATTAACATCCTATTTTAGGGCACGGGATGAGCTAATGAAGATGGGCATACGCCATACAGTGTACTATCAGATACATTTTGCCCAGACAGCGACGCTGCTACTCTTACTTTGAGTTCCAATTGCCAAGGGACTCTTTTACGTGTAAGCCAATTAAACAAAATAATGTGCACACAAGAGCTGTTTTTCGTCCCATACGAACAACTATACGCCATCCCTTATCTCAGCTTTTTTAAATATAAACACAAATGGATCATTAGAATTAGGGGGGGGGGGCTACTGTACTAAACCAATCAAAATCATATCCATCACTTCAAATATGGAAAGATGAATTTCATGCTCCCAACAACCGGGCCAAAATCAATTATCTCCCCTTAATGCAGAGGCAGGATAACGAACACACTGAAATATTTAGTCTGAGAATTGAACATGGAAAGTTCATTGATCAATACAGTTTTATTCGGAATGATAGATAAGCTGTACAAAATTTATACTGAAACAATTTCTGTAGAAATATCTTGGTGCTACCATTGTCGCAAGCACACTATATAAGATATTTGTGCACAATTTGCGCACAATGAAAACTAAACATTTGAGGGAATATTGCTTATACCTACAGAAAAGAGGAAAGATTAGGCCAAATAAAAAAAATATTTTGGTTCTCAGATACCCGGTTTTTATTTTAAAAAAAAGAACAAGCCTACATGTTTTCCTGGGTTACAGGAATTAATAACTATCAAAAAATTTGAATAAATCTGAAAGCCTACTGTAGGCTCAATTATCAAACATGCAACCCTGATAAATGTTATTGACAATCATAAATGATACTGGATAATCATACATTCAATGTAATGAAATGAATGTAGTGCCTTGAAACATGATATTTATGAGAAGTCATAGCCCATTTGTGATAATTTGACAAAATAAAAAAACTCCCTCCTGTATCAGATTTATGGTAAGGATTCTCCGAGAACCAGAATATTTTGTTTGTATGACCTTACATTAGGAGATTGGGGTTACCAATTTTAAAAAAGTAAATCAATCCTTTCTAATAACAAGTAATATTTTTAAACGATTTAATCAATTATTTCAAAATATATATAAATATTGGAATATTTACAACAGACTTAACATAACAATGAAAGTTTCATAATCATTTCTTTCTTTTAAACATTCTGTTAGAAAACTGCTGTATTTTCATTTGTTAAACATGAACACATACAAAGATTGCAAACAGTTTTAATAATCTCGGTTCAGTCAATTTTAGTCATCCTAAATTAAAGTCCTGATGCGCCATTTGCATATTCGCTAAAATATCAAATTTCTTACACCTTAATGTTAAATATGAACTCAGATTGATTATTTAACCCCTTAACTGCGTAGTTTTTAAAACGTTAACTACCCCCTATTGTGTAATTAATTTGACGAAAAACTTCATTTTTGGACCTTTTTATTCCTGAATACAAATTTTAGTAGTCTGAAACCATATTAAAACTAACGGTAAATAGAGTTGTCTCCCTTCAATAAGATTTCCTCGAACCGGCGTAATATAACGTCCTACACATGCTGCGATCGTGTTCGAAGAATAGGTTGGGGAAAATACCTCCAAGGCATTATATTACGCCCTACACACGGTGAGTGGCAGTTGTCCAGGACATTAGAACGCCCTACGCAGTTAACGGGTTAACATTTAATTAAGAAATCAAAATTACAATGCTAGATAATCTCCCGGCATGGATTCAATCGGATTTAAACTAGGCCCATCAGGTTTCTCCACTACCGATAAGAAATGGTGGTATATTATTTAAAATTTTAAATAAAACACTGAAATGACACAGATAAAATGATGGATTATATTTTCAGAATGGATCTATTACATCATAAATATAGGTAAAAAGATGAAAATGAATTAAATAGGAAAATTGTCAATTGATAATTATTTTAATCTTCATTTTCTTCTTCTTCTCTAATTACTGGTACTCCTGTAAAACAAGACAGATGCATATATAAAACAGCAAATTGATCAAAGCTACTCAGATGACTTTGTATACTATTAATCAGAAATGAAAATTCGGCTTAACATCTGTGCTACATTTCTGCTCAATCCGGACAAATGAATAAAGACAGGCATACACCGCACAGAGCGCTATGAGGTAAATTTTGCCCAGACGGCGGCACTTAGGCCTTCTCTTATATCAAATTACAACTGTCAAGGTTAGGTTTATGTTACATGCATGCCTTTGTGCACACAGTACTTGGCATTCAAACTACTACTAATGCTAAGCACTGTAAAGGACCTGATTTTAACATGGCTATCCAGGCACTCAAACAGCATGGAATTTGTGGAGTTTTGTATTTCATTTCTCCGAAAAGGTATCACCTGGCATCAGATAAACAGTTATTAAAGACTAGGATAAATGTTTAGCTCAGAGTCTTTTAGTCTGAAGTAACCAATTTTATTCACTTAAGTATACCTTGGACTCCTTCCTTTGAAATCTAGTCATAACAGTAGGGGTAAGTTCAGGAATTAGAGCAGCGAGGGGTCCAAAATAGAGACAAAGTCAAATTTGGTGTCAGATCTGGGGAATTATCTGACAATTTCATAAAATCAGAAGCATTGAGGTTGGATTTCCACCCCCTCTGAACATGCGTTTCAACATTAACAAGAAACATACACAAAAAAGGAGTTAACTTACCATCTAATTTCTTTAGTCTACTAAGTCGTTTTGCTGCTTGATCCCTCCAATCACCCTCACCTGAATGTTTCTCTTCTAATGGATTACCTGATTTCCAAAATAAATACATTTTTAACATGAAAACAGAATTTAAAAAATAGGTGAATTTTTATCAGAACAGACTAAATTATAAGTGAATTTTTAAAATCAAAAAAAGTTGATTTTTTTAAAAATCAAATACGGTTAATTTTTAAAATCAAAAACAAGTTAATTTTTAAAATCAAAAACAAGTTTATCTTTAAAATCAAAAACAAGTTTATCTTTAAAATCAAAACATGTTATTTTTTAAAATCCAAACAGACTAAATAAGAGTACAGAAGGAACCTTTAATGCCTGTAAACTACAGGAAAAGGGCACAATCAGATTTTGTAATATAAAGGTATTTGAACATTTTAAAAAATAAAATTTAAATTAAAGAATCAAAATAAAACTGACAGAATTCTTTTTGCATACAAAAAAACAACAAAAATTTGTTAGCTATTAGGTGTTCAAGAAATTCAAATGATAAGCATATCCTGTCTAATAACATGACACAAATTTTAATGAATATGTACCGCCAACCAATGTTATGCCATAATCAAAGTTTAAAATACCATTTCTCTACATAGACTTATATTGATAACATTTAGAAATTTGACCTTAGTGTAATCTAAAACAATATCTTACCAACAAATAATAAATCTTCAAGACATGGTAAATCAGCCTACAAAAAAAAAGATAATCTTAATGGTTGTAAAATATTATATTAAATCTCTTATCTGATTCTATTTTAAATTATTTTCTGTATATTGTTTCAATGACATTTACCATATTGTTCTCTTCAACATGGCAATAAAAGTAGAATACAATAGAAGGCATCTGTTGATTGGATGGGACAATTAAGAAAAAAATTACAGCATCCTGTTTGTTTCCAAAGGCAAATTGAATTGGTTAATTGAACTGAAACCTAAAGTAGAATTCTCGAAAATTAATACAAGAAACTACATGTGCAGGACATATTATTTTGTTTCTCTAATAAAATGGAAAGAAAGATTCTATTTTCATGGATATTTTATTTTCTAGACTTTATGATTATTTTTTGAATTGGTGTTATGTTTTTCTCATCTATCATCTGATCTACCTGAGCACCATAGACTCATCTCTGCCTCAAAATACAAGATAAAATATATCACATACAAGTTAAAATATACAAGTTAAAACAACAAAAATAAGTGATACATACCAATTTTTGAAATTCTCCCCAATCTTTCACACTGTTATTTGACATATATAAAACCTGAAATTAAATAACACCAATAAAATAAAGGAATATAAACTATTGTCTTCAATATTATCTGGGAGTTGAGAATATTAATGTTTATGATAGTGTTCCAGTTCTTCAGTGTTATGTCTAATATCCAAAATATAATATAATCATTTATTTTAAGTAGGAACAATACAAATTAAAATAGCTAGACCTATAGACAAAAATAAAATTAGCAATTTCATTTGATTTTCTTTATATCCATACAAAGCCAAAATGAAACTAAAATCAGTAAATATGCCAATTACCGCTTGATCTTTAAAAAAAAATCACGAATCGAAATAAAACATTTGTTCAAATCAACACCTTTACTTTATCTTAAAGGAGCTAAATCGCTAATATTTGGGACCTAGAAATTGACACAATGCATATAATAAATGTAATATGAATGTATATATATATAAACTGATTTACATTCAATTGTTTCCGTTTTTACTCTAATTTCCAATCAGTTATGTTCCGAAAAACGCAAGAAGTCTCAATCGAATGGCAATCTCTAGCATCTGGTTATTCCAGTCTACAAGGGTAGTATTTATTGCGCATGCTCTCAAGATAATAATATGGCGTCACGGTTTGACATGGCTTGTGGAATATGTCTAGCCTCATTCTTTGAGTCCCTTACAAATGGTACTAAAACGCATTCTGGAACACAATTCGTGCAGCAATGGTAAAATGTTTATTTTGTCTTTAATATTGGTTATCACGCAAAAGCCCATCTTTTCAAGGTAAGATCACATCATCAATGCTAATTTAAATTGACCAATAATTTGTGTTTTCAATGTCCAGGACAGTGGATGATATTGAGTTAAAGACTTAACTACTTTAATCAAAATTTTAGCTTCTTTAAAGATGCGCAATGTGAAAACTAAATCTGCGTATATTACAGGTCTTTTTACTGACTTCAAATGTTATATGAATTATTAAAATCCCATAAAATAAAAAAAATCCAGATCATCAGATGACAGAGATATTGAGTGGATTAGATGTCGGCCATAACTTCATTAAATGTTAAAATGGAAATGAAGAGTTTGTTTATTATCATAGCAATGGTAGTTGATAATCAAGACTTTTTACGCTATTTCATGTTGAAACTTCAAACATTCATAACTTTGCTCAGAATCAAGTAATTTGACTAAATTTTCAATATATTTATTTTTCATTATCTATTTTATTTTTAAAGTATTATAGCAAAAATATCCAGCTCTTTAACTAATTCTTACATAATGCATTCATCTTTAGGTAATTATAATCATACACAATTCATTCTCACCTTTAGCTTCTTTAAGACATTAATACCCTTTAACTTTTCTATAAAATTGTAAGAAATCCATAATTCTTCTAATGTGTCTCCAACAGCTTCCTATAAGGATTTTAAATTTAAAAACCCCAACATAATTACATAGTTTCTAATACAGTACATCACTAGATTAAAATATGTTATATACAATATATCAAAAGCACAAACATTTTTATTGTCAGCGATATATTCTGTCGTTGGGACGTTAAATAAACATTATTTCAAATGGTTTAGTGAATTAAATCATTTCCAGTATGATTGACTGATACTGATTACAATCTTGTAAGGCCACACCCATTTGAATTTCTGTAATTGGGAATAGGGCCTACACATTTAAAAATTCTGGCTCTAATTTTTTCAGGTAAAAACTTAATTTAAAAACAAACAGCGGCTGCCAGGCAAGCTGCGCCCACATTTTGCAAGAGATAGAGAACAAGCTAAAAAAAACACGATTTTTCGTACAATAAGGGGCCAAAATCTAAGAAGTTATGGTCTGAAAAGCGCGATATCAAAAGGGACTGAGATCTTTGGAATATAAAGATATATTTTAAGTTTCATCAAAATCTTCGTATTACATACTTATACACTACCTGTCGGGCACTTTCGGTTTGATTTTCACGAAATTCGAACCCAACCATCATTAGGGTGTAACGGCGATATATACAAATGTTTTTTAAATCAGATAAAAATTTTGACCTCTAGAGGGACCACAAGCTAAAAACGTGATTTTTAATACAATCAAGGGCCATATTTCGGGAAATTACAATCCGATATGCGCAAATATGGAAAGGAACCAAGATCTTTGGGTTATAAACATGTATTTCAAGTTTCATCAAAATCAGATGAAAATTGTGACCTCTAGAATGTCCACAAGCTAAAAACGTGATTTTTCGTATAATTAGGGCTCTAATTCACGAAATTTCGATCCGATACATGCTAATATCAAACGGAACCGAGTTCTTTGGGAGATAGACCTATATTTCAAGTTTCGTCAAAATTGGATAAAAATTGTGACCTGCAGAGTGTCACCAAATAAATTGTGGACAGATGGACATGTGGGCATATAAAAAGTATTTAGTTGCTCTTCTCAAAAGCTTTTTACTTCGAAAAAGTTTTAAAAAGTTGAGATTTGAAGTTTTAACAAAATATTGCACACCTGAATCGAAAGGGTTTGGCCTAAGCTCAACACAGGACAGGGATAATAGACAATGTATGTAATAAAAAAAATAGGAGAAAAAAAGAATGAAATTGTAATTTAATTTTATAACATTGCTAATACACAGACTTGCATAATATTTAAATTATTTGAAAAGGGACGTTACTGAATACTTACCAAACCTGTCAAACTTTTGATGTTATTTCTTCCCAAGGAAAGAATTTTTAAATTCTCTGAAGAAAAAGAAATTGCAATAAAAATTCAGAATTATTTTGACTGGATATTATCATGACATCATAAAGTAACTCTGTCACAGGCACTTATGATGTCACAATAGAATGGTCTGTTCTTTAAGTGTTGTTCTCTAAATTTTGAAAACAAAATCAGGTTAGTGGCTTGGTTGTTTTGACTACTTTCAGAGTCAATTTGACTTAAACATACATAATGCAAGAGCTAAATCTGCCTATTGCAGGTCTTTATTTAGGCCTATATGTTATCTAATTGTTAATTAGACATTAATTAACTTATCCAGACCATAATCAACTCTCAATGTCAACGCTAGCCAACGATATTTACTGGATTAGGATCCGATAATCACGAAATGGATAATCGAGACTAAGGCTTTTTTATCGTACCTTAGTAATGATGATCGAGGCTATGCCAAAAATTCAATCGCTAAATTCTCAGTTTAGATTGGATCAATTTGACTGAAATTTTCAGCAAATTCCCTTTACATTATCTAGTTTATAACTATTATATAGTGAGAACTGCCAGCTCTATATCTAATCTCCCATAATGTATCTTTAAAAAAAATTCCTACACTCATTAGCTGATGCATTTTTGGGCCCTAAAACTAGCCCTTTTAATCTAAATATTTAAGGCAGGAAAACCTCAAGTTAATACATAATTTTGAAAATTAATAAAAAAAAAAAAAATTTACTCACTTAGTCCATTAAGGTTAGCAATTTTTTCAATACCATTTGTTGATAAACTTAATTTTCTGGAGAAAAAAAAACACAATTGTGTTATAAGATTTAATCATACAATTCAATGGAACTGAATGGAATTTGGTTTACTGTCTCTTCAACAATATACATTCAGCATTTTGAGAAGGGTATATGGTAATATTGCCCTGAAAGTTCATTCAGATTTTCCAGCGTTGTTTCCCATAGTCAGTGATGCAGGACGGACGGCCTGACAAGGACAGCTGTCTAGTCGTTCAGATGGGACGAAAAACCGAGGTCCCGTGACAAGAGTTGGTGCAGGCCAGGCTTGAAAAATCCTGGATGACTCTTCTTGGCTCAGATCAAGATTTAAACCTTCAAACCTAGAACATTCTAGTTCGCAATTTCAAAATTGAAGATCCACCTTAACGTGGAGCAAAATTTGAAGATAACAGTCTCATTAACAAAGTGCAAGCATCTTAATTACAACAGTTAATGAAATAAAATAGGGTTCAACAACCTATTTTTCTATACCAACTAAAATGCACTCAAATTGTTTATTTAACACTTAATTAAGAAATCAAAACCAAAATATCAATAGCTGATAATCGTCCGGTTTCAATTCAGATTAAAAAAGATGTCTAGCAGATTGTCCCTAAGTGGCTAGTCTTATCATCGAGCTGCTGCACAATTCATCAAATCTTTGTAAATCATGAACAGAATATGGACTGATATTCCCTTTAGACTATTAACTTTCACAGTAATGTAGTTTGCAAGAGATTCAAAATCCCCAAAAGATGACCAGCAGCTTCAATTGCAATCACAAAATACCTACGTGCAAGCTGCTAATGTTGACAGAGATGCATCCATTTTTTCAATGGGTGGAATCTGACCATATAGTTTAACATCTTCTGCTTCAGAAGCTTTACATCCATTTTTCTCTTCCTAAAAAAACCCAAAAAAACAATTAATTTGAACTATTTGAATATAAGTTACATTATTATAAAAAAACAAAAGAACTCATCATTTTGATAAGCTTGAAAAATGCACTATACACATATCAGGCAAAAATATTACCTGCAGGGCTGAGTGCAGCTTATTAACTGGTTAACATATAAATGAGATGAACACATTAATAGAAATGAATTAACGTGTTAACACTCTGTGACGTCATATAGGCATATTCAGCTGGAAAGTAGTAATTCTGACCCATCAATAGTCCTAAATTAATGCAAAATATCATTCAGAGACCACAGTGCCACTGTTACTTTAGTTAAGTCTGTCGGATCACACATCTCCGGTCGAAATAACTTGGTCTCCATGGTCTCTAACTCGGAATGAAGGGTCAAGGTCGAAGGCACCAAATTTGATTTTTTTTAAAATGTTTTCTCGTCAACATGCCACCTAAATCTTAGATTTGGAGTCCAGAATAAAAATAATGATCAAGAATAAGTTTTTTACTCTCTGAAATGGGTTGAATACGAAAAGGACCATGATTTAGGAGCTTTGATAATTAACTCATATTAACTTGTAAACTTAAAATTTTTAACGGGTTAACCAATTAAGGAAATTTTAACTTGCTCTCAGCCTGATTACCTGTTTTTTTATGGTTACCTGACCGACCCCATTTTATTAGACCAAATCGACATCCCTAAACTTTTTTTTCTCATTTCTCAAGTCATATAAATCAGTCTTTGCGTTGTTTTCTGCAGACACTGAAATTTCGGTATTTGTAACATTTTCCGAAATATTACTCAGTAATTAAACTAGAAATGCTAAGGAAAAAATAATAAACTTTACAGTAAACTTTACAGTACATTTAAAACGACACCACTAAGGCTATAGAATGCTAGTGTCGATGTAGGTTATTAAATTATGAGTTCAGGTAGTTCTATCCAATCTTAACCAACAAACTCCATGGAAAAAAAAAAAAAAAGATTTTCCGATGAACCCTATTTTGTGGCCATGTAACCAAAAAGACAGGAATTTTTACATTTGGCCTTATTCGGTAGCCTACTTATATTAAATAAATAAAAAAGAGCTGGAGGCTCTATTACAGTAGTAGTAAACATTATGTATGTAGGCTATAACCTGCTGATATAGTCTTTCATTTGTTCTAGGACACTTTGAACACACACTTCATATTATGGAATAATCTACCATTTAGTTTAAGATGTTGTACATCTCTATATTCTTTTAAAAAACAACTTAAAACACATTTATTTAATCAGGCTTTTAACTGACTCTGTATACAATCGTTAACATGCCCATAATCTTGTTGTTTATGTGTGATTTACATTGTCACTTTGTAAAGTGCCCCTGAACATGTTATATGAAAGGGTGCACTATAAATATGCTGTAATAATAATAATAATAATATTTAATTCATTATATAATTGAATTCATTGTTATATTACAAAATATACATTCATACATCAGTGATCACTCAATATTTCTGTGTTTAAATGTTTTGCCTTTTGAGGATATATAGATCAATTTTCTTTTGTGTTACAAGAAAATCATTAAATATATATCAATATAGCTTTAAAACAAGAGATCAAACCAAGGAAAAGAGAGACACATTCGTAGAATAATAAACTACATAAAATCAATAACATTGTAGCCTGAGTTCACATAATCAATAGAACTTAGTTTATGAGATGTTTTTAAACATAATAATTACAATATTGATCAAAAACATGATATTGAAAGCTCTGAAAATGCCATGGCCTCTTTGTTTTTTTTAAAGTAAAAATTAAAAGTGTCTATAGCCAATCTTGATGTGTTGATTGGCTTTCAGGCTACAAATTAACTGCACTAATTTTCATTGATATGCTGCTGTAGACTACCATTTTAAGACTTTTCTTTAATTAGCAATTTTGTTCACACAAGAGTATCATCGTCGAAACGTTGCATGTTAATAAACCAGTAATTGTTGTTCCATAAATAAGTGTTTAGTGTGTTACTGTTTCATTACTAAATGACACTTAAAGAAGTACTGGTTATGTGATGCCCAAGTTTTGAATGATGGTTTATTTTTATACATGAAAATTATAACACATATTTGAGCCAATATTACTAAACAGATCAATTACTGCATACTCAAGCAAAATAAACTTTAACAGAGTGTGTCCATATTACTAATCTGTTTCAGTCTCGCCAAGACATTGTCAACTGATCTATTTATAAACTTACGAAAGTCTTGTAGGTGACGTCAGCCATCTGAATTATAGCTGTTCAGAATATATGTTGAGTAGAAATAAAAACATGAAGATTGAGACAATTTTCATTAAATGGTAATTGACAAATATATACAACTTACCCATTTTCCCAGGGCTTCTTTTATTGTTGTACCTTTCGACTGTAAACAAAATAGTAATAAGCTTATTTATATTAATAATTTTCTGGGTGAACAGAAATATCAGGTAATACATTTAAATTAATATTAAAATTTTCAATTCAAGTTTATGTACAGATCTTGAAAGAACTAAATATCACCAAGAACTGTAATTGTTTTAGTCAATATGCTGAAATATAAACCTTTGTAAATAATAGGAATATCGATCTAAAAGTATTTAATTTATATTTTGTTCACATTCAGTATTTGCAACGTTCTGTTGAATTGAAATTCCATCGATCTATTATGCAGGTCTTTATGTAATAGTAATAAGCCTAACTAAGGCCAACATTATTTATTAATTTAATGCTAATGGCCTAACCTAATGCCATTTTATATTAGATTTATAATTATATATTGTAAGTTGCATTCGTGGTTGTTTTTTTTTCATTTCAAAATATCAATATAATTCAGACAATCATTGATCTATGCTGCTCGTTATCATTATGTCATAATAATAGTAATAAATTATGGGCCAGCATTAATTTAGCCTAGTGCTAACAATAACATTTACATTATGATGCCATTTTAATAACTACTAAACTAATACTATACTATACTACAACTAGATTTAGATCTAGACAGATAGGCTCTGGCGTAAGATTAGTTGCATTCGCATTTTTTTTTTATTGCAAAATATCAATATAATTAGATAATTAAAACAATGACTATGTGATTGACATGACAATAGTCAAGTTTATTAACTTATATTCCGCTGCAGATCTAGATCTACTCTTTGAAAAAATTTAGAAAGAAGTTGAGAAAAAAATTCGCCATGGCTGGAAAATAAATAGATCTAAGCTTATATACTATAGATCTATATCATTTATGTTAGAAATAATTAAATAAAAAATACCATCTTGGTTTTTCCCTCTGTCAGTCAGTTATTCCGTCTGATCAGTGCTTGACTGTAAAATAAAAATAAACAATTAAGAACAATCAATACCCACCATCTTGAAGCTTTCTACGCGTTGCTAGGCTACGTTAACTGCTAGACTGGGGAATTTTTGTTTTTTGTTAAAGTAAAAATAAGATTCTAAGTTATTCTTACGCAAAGTATAACTCATTGTATCAATTCATCCATGTTCACTTGAAATAATTAAATTTAAGATTTATCCTCTAAAATGAAGTTGAAAATTAGACTCGCAGAAACGCACGAAAATCAAATATGGCTGCCAAAATAATAAATCTTTGCAATAAATTGACTAAAACAGGTTTAGTAAATCAGGTAGTAGTTTAAAAGACAAGCATTGCAGTCTAACCTCCTTACAGCTGTCAATCACCCTCCTTTTGAAGAAGACAAGAATTCCGTCCAACTTTTTTTTTGAATCAGGACTCCTGACGCAAAACAACTGTTTTTGCCTATAATGTTCAAACTTTTTGAAGTTGTTTAATATGTAATAATGTAACAGGCATTGCCTGAGTAGAGCGAAACTGGTTGTTGTGAAATATATAGAAAAGCTGAATATTTAAATGAAGTTAATATGTAACAGGCATTCCCTGAGTAGTGCTCAGCTAATGTATATGTTAGGCGCAATGTGCGCTGTCGTTCTGTGCAGATTGCAGTCCGTGCGCACAGATTACAATCTGCGCTTATCAAGCTGGTGCGCAGATTGCCAACATTGACCTGATTACCCCTCGATGTTTTTAGAGATCAGACATAACTATATATGGTATACAGACAACTCATCCCAAGACAACTCATCCCAATATAAGACAACTCATCCCAAGATAAAAGACAACTCATCCCAACTTTAAAACGTGGGTCGAGATATAAGACAACTCATCCCAACAAATATACGTGCCAGTTATATTTGTTTTAATACAATTGCTTTCTTTGAAGACTACTCAGACCATTCTGATTTTGTTATAAAAATGTGTTATCTTAATAAAATTGATTTTGTTGTTTTAATAAAATCAATATGGTTGTTTTAAATTTTAAGTTATTTTAAGTACTTATAGCGTACACGTTTCAATTCCATCTTTGAACTATACATGTATACATGCGACTGGAAATGTTGGCCCCAGTCGTGCTGATTGTTTCCATATCATTGTCTGATAGAAATTTGTCAGAATATGACATTATATCCTTATCTTTATGTATGAGTTTATATATGACCTGTCCCCTGTCGACTTTGTTGTGAAATAATTTTCAAAATCACTGCATAATTAGCGTGTGTGCTTAGAAAATAAGATTTTTAATTCTAGTCAGCAGTATCTGATAGTCGTTGCGGACCGCGTGATTGAATGTCAAAAATATTTGTTGTAATTGCCGTAAAGTTCAGTGTTATTTTTGTACAGTTGAAATAAATACATGTATAACAAACAGTTGACAGGTTTTTAAATATTTTATTAATGTGCGATGTTACCTAAAGTTTCTGAATTCAGGTTCAGTGGTCACCAAGGGTGAACGGATTATCATCGCGGTAATCCATTAAATAGCCCAAGCAAAGTCGATTTCGCGGGGGTAATCTGTCCACGGAGGGTAATCTGAACTGAACATATATAATCAATATGATTGTTGTTAATTTTGAATATAAAACCTTGATGATTAAGTTTCTCACGTGATACAAATAATGTTAAATAATTTCGTTTTTCTGAATTGAATGAATGAATGAATGAAATGAATGAAATGGGATTTAACTCCTACTGTTCTGCTCCTACACTGGGCTAATGAAGACGGGCATATGCCATACAGTGTGCTATGAGGGAAATTTTGCCCAGGCAGCGGCACTATCGCCTACTCTTATATCGAATTCCAACTGCCAAGGGATCTTTTACGTGCACGCCAATGTGTACACGGGACCTCGGTTTTTCCTCCCATCCGAACGACTAGACAGCTGTCCTTGTGAGGCCCTCCATCCTGCATTTTCCGAATTGATTTTAATTTAGATCTAAATTGTATGATTAATTTTGTTTTCAAAAAAAAGTGTGAGAATTATCGATGCCCGAAAAATGTAGCACAAAGTAAAGTGGCTCCAGACAAAATGTTTTAATTCATAGTCAATTTAGTACAAATTCATGGTATTCAATTCAAAGAAAAGTAAAACTAGTGTTTTATTAGATTTCGGGCACTTTATTTTGCTAATTAGATGAAATAATATTTTTTTTTTTTTCACTTTACCCATCTGCCCGAAAAGTCAGATTGCCTTGAAAGTTAGGGGGGCAGCTGCCAGCTCGTACGCCTATGATTATGGCCCCTGATTGTACGAAAAGTCACGGTTTTAGCTTGTGGACACTCTAGAGGTCACAATTTTCTTCTGATGTTTATAACCCGAAGATTATGGTTTCTTTCGATATTTGATTGTAACTTCCTGAATTAATTATGGTCGCTGATTGTACAAAACGATACACTGTAATGATGCTTGAGTTCGAATTTCGTGAAATTTGGACCAAAACTGCTTGACAAGATGGCCACCCCACATACGCAATAGTGTAAAAATAAGCTATATCAAGGTTGTGGACCCTCTAGAAGTCATAATTTTGATCTGATTTTGATGAAACTTGAAATATATCTTTATAACCCAAAGATCTTGGTTCCTGTCAATATTCGTGCATATCGGATCATAACTTCCTGAATTATGGCCCTTGATTGTTTGGCTTCTTCTCTATCCATCTCTTGCAAAATGTGGACTTATCCTGCCTGGCTGCTGCTGGTTTTTGAAATGTTTTTGTGGGTGCAATGGGGTTTAACGTCCTACTGTTCTCCTCCGAACTGGGCTAATGAAGACGGGCATACGCCATACAGTGTGCTATGAGGGGAATTTTGCCCGGACAGCGGCACTACGGCCTACTCTTATATCGAACTCCAACTGTCAAGGGATCCTTTATGTGCACGGCAATGTGTACATGGGACCTCGGTTTTTCGTCTCGTCCGAATGACTAGACAGCTGTCCTTGTCAGGCCCCCTGTGAGAACCACGCCGGAAAATCTGGATGTACTCTATCGGCCAATGAAGGGATCGGACACCATGTGAAGCATGAAGAAATCTTTACAATGCTTTAATTCGTATCAAGTCGATGTTAAACCCCATTTCTCTCTTTCACTCACTTTGGGACACAATATGTTGATTCTAATATTAATGAGAACCTTAGTGTATAGTTTCATTACCAATCCCTTGAATTATCTTGATAATGAGCATTTTCTGCTCAGGTTAAGCAGAGTGATTAACCATTTGATTGGTCAAGATTTTGGAGTTCGATAACTTTGATTCTAATGTTTCATTTCATTGTTATTAATCATTGACAATCATTTTGAGCTGTCAGGACATCATCTTACAATTCCATATGTTGATAATACAGGTAGTGTGAGGATAGTGTTGTACATGACATTAGTATCAGGTTGATTATAAAATATTTTCTTGTTTTAGACTTACCAGCAGCATTGCCTAAGATGTTTATCTAATAATATTTCCAGAACCCCTCTACAATCATGGTAAGATGTTTAAATATTTGTGTATTATAAGATTATCGTACTTTATTTAAATCATTGTGCATGTATTTCTATACCTTTAGAACTCCTTAATTTGTAAAGTATTTATACATTCTGAGAACTTCTTACTCTGTACATGCTTAGAAGTTCTTACTTTCTTAAAAAATATTTTCTCTATATTTTTTTCATTTTTTCTTTTCAGTGGGTCATTTTTAAATGTAAATATTAAGTTGGTTAAGGATTTCAAAAATTTAGTTTCTATTTCAGTTCGTTCAGTATTTTATCAAGATTATACTCAACAAAAGAAATTTCAGAAGTTGTAAGTATAGGATTTTTCTTAGTTTAATTTCTATAACTTTGAATAACAGATTAATTTTAAGCTCTCAACTACAACTGGATCTTAAAGTCTATCATTTAGTCATGGTTTCAATCCCAAGGTTGTATGTGACAAGGAGTAGGGTCACCTGCCCACCATTGTGGGTTTTCTCTTGATCCTACGATTTCCTCCCACTTCCAATGACCCTATGTGCAAGAGAATTATTGAAATAAGATTTACCATTAGTCCCGACATGACATTGATCATTAATTAAACCCCATCTCTCTTTTAACAAATTATCGTGAGTAACAATGTATGTGTCATTTTCATTAACAAAGAATAATTTCAAAGTCACCATAATTGATTTTTTGTAAGCTGTTTTGAAGCCAGAAGGAGCAGTAGTGGCTCATTAAGAAAGTGACTGGCTCGCTAACCTAGTGGTCCTGGCTTCAATTCGGGTGTCGGGAGTTGGTAGGGAAAGTTCCTCAGGATTTTCCAGAGTGGTTTCCCCTTGTCAGTAGTGCATGATGGAGGGCCTGGCAAGGAACAACATCTTTTCGTTTTAATGGAACGGAAATAAATGATGTCCTGTGTACAACTTAGCATGTACGTAAAAGAACCCTTGAGAGTTGGTATTATATTGCTGTCAAGACAAAATTTTCCTTTAAACACACTGTGGCTAAGTTGGTAAGACGCTGGCGCTAGCCTGGAGGTCGGGTGTTCGATCCCTGCATTGGTCGAGAAAGTTCATCCGGATTTTCCGGCGTGGTTCCCCCCTGTCAGTGATGCAGGACGGGGGGCCTGACAAGGACAGCTGTCTAGTCCTTCGGATGAGACAAAAAAACAAGGTCCCGTGTATACATTGGAATGCATGTAAAAGATCCCTTGGCAGTTGGAAGAGTAGGCTATAGTGCCGCTGCCCAGGCAAAATTTCCCTCATAGCACACTGTATGGCATATGCCCGTCTTCATTAGCCTAGCATAGGAGCAGAACAGTAGGACGTTAAACCCCATTTCATTTCATGGAGAATGCATGTCTTCATTTTCCCAGTTGGAGCAGAAAAATAGGATATTAAACCCCATTTCATTTCATTTTCATTCAAGAAACCAGAAGTAAATGACCCAGATGTTTTATACAAAAGAATCTTCATTGAAGTCAAAGGTCATGACCCAGAAGTAATTAACAGTTATCAAAAATTTACAACATTAGCAGCGAATGAATTAGATATACAAATAGCAAGCATGTAAGTAAATGTTCAAATCTATTATCTTATTTATTGCATTACTGTGGTAGTATTCCAACAGTGCTGGCCGAATTGTTTAAGTAGCATGGTTTCGATTCCCTGACTGTATGTGACAAAGAGTAGGGTTGCCTGTCCAACTTCATGGGTTTCCTCCCACTGCTAAAGACCCCTACGTGCAAGCGAATTATTGAAATATCGGTGACCATATGTTAGTGTTGAACCCCATTTCTCTAACAGTGCTGACTTAACATTACCGTTTAAGATTGATGTTCGGGAAGATGCAACAACAACCACAGTGACAATACAGGATTGAATTATCTCAATCCCTCAAAAGATGTCAATCGAGTAAACATAAGAGTGTTGGGCATTAAGACAAGCATCAACTGAATATGACACTGTCTCAATCATCATAGATGGGTTCTTTGATTCTTATGTATTGTTCGATTAAGTCAACATCTGTATTCGGGACTGGTTAACAGTGACACGACTTAGTTCTGTGCACCCGATTGAAATTCTGTCAATTGTGAAAGTTCCAGTTCTGTCATTAAGTGAATAAGGGTTACATCAACCAATGTTCACAAACTGTATGAACACTGCAGGGATTCAATGAGATGCAATTAGATAAGGGTCTTTCTAGGCCGTCAGTCCTATTTTGAGGCAAATCACCATAATGCAAATTATCAATTGATGAAGAAAAATGTCAAAATTGTTAATTGCACATTTTCTGTGTTGGTCGCTGTGTTTCACATGTTGACATATGGAATTATGACATCATCTCTCCAGGGGACATAAGCCTTAAAACTTTAATCCGTGTATTTATAAGATAATAGGGATCTCACAAAACTGACAAATTTTAATTTTGAGTTCTAGTCAGTAATTTTGAAATGTGCCTATGTATTTATATTTCAGAACAACACCACGAAGAGATATAACACGTTACACACAACTAAAATCAGTTCATATATTTAAAAAACACAGAGTACAGTATGAAGCCAGAACACATTTTAGAGTTATAGAGGTAGGACTCTTGTAGCGTCTAGATTTATAACAAGCCTGGAAATAAGGCACTGGTCGTAGACATTGTCAGGCACAAAACCTCTTGTGCCTGTCTTTTTGTCTGGCACTGATTTGTCTTTTATTGATATTACAGTAAACCTCGCATAATTCGGATTCATATAAGTCGTATCTTTACTCAACTTGCATAAAATCGTTTGGACCCTTTGATCCAGCACGTTTTTTTTATTAAAAGTCCAATCTTCGCTCAACTCGGATCAAAATGTTTGGTCCATTTGATCTAAAGGAAGTTATCTACTTGCACATATGAACAAAAGCTTGAAATGTGCCTTTGAATCAATTATTATCCGGCTCTTGCAGTTTGTTTCTAATCGAGCTAAGATTGAATTTCGGTCTTCGGCTAACTCAGATCTTTGCTTAACTCGGATAAAATTGGTCAGTCCACTTAGATCCGACTTTTGCAAAGTTTACTGTATTAATACATTTCCATTGTCCAGCACAAAGTTCAAAATATCTATTACTTGTTCAGTAGTGCCTGAAATTTTGTAACTTAAAACTAAATCATTATTTCGTGGTCAGTTATAATAATGCAGGATTGGATGAACAATAACATGAACAATGCATTTTTTAGGGTTTATAGAAGGTACATAATTAGCAAAATATTTACATTTTCAGTTAAAATATTTAACCGGTTCTACAGCAGATACATATATAGAATATATACAAAGACATTTACCAGAAGGAATGGCTATGAAAGTAACAAAAGTATGTATTTTTTTTTAATTATTGGAAGTAAATTCTGATTAACATTTACAGAAACTTCTCATAATTCAACAAAACAAACTAAGAAATAGTAAACCTAAGTTTTTGATCAAATTAAAAATTACTGTAAAGACTAGAGGAACCTAGTTGAAACGTCGCTCAGAAATAAACCATAATTGTATTTAATTTATGTGTGGTCTTACAGGGGTTCAATTAAACTTGATCAGTAACAATTGCAAAATGGCATATAGTGGAGTTAAAATTATCCCACAGTGAATGGAAGCTAGCATTAGTTGTGAGATGAATGCTACTTCACACTTTTGGATGCTTACGGCTAACTACTTGATCTGATATGTGCATTTATTGTTTGAGGGGTTTGTGTAAATTATGTCCTTTCCACAGGTTTGTCTTATGTAATTGTTTGTGTGTGGTGCAGTTCCCCTACAAATAAATGTGCATAAGCAATCATTTCTTGATCAATTGAAAGAAAATGTCTTTTTCTACTTTCAGAATAGATTAGAAGCTATTCCTCAACATATAAAAGATGCCATGATTGAGAATCAGCCAATACTGGAAAAGGATTAAAACAGAAAATTTATAAGATACATGTATTTTATAGTCAATGACACATTAGTGTGTTGATTGAACATTGTGTAAAAAAAAGTAAAATTTCAACAGTGTAATGGAATAAAGCCATATAGAATGAGTTTTTACTATGCTTTTTGAATGAGAAGATCTGCTGATAAAGAAATAAAAATTATTACAGCCTGAAAGCATTATAAATATGATCTCAACAATGAACTTTGCCAGTGATCTTGATTTGACCTAATTAGTCATATAGGTCATGATTGATAAACTTAACATCTTGCAATGATATTTAGAATCGGGGCCCTTATTCACGAAAACTTAAACTAAGTTACAACCGAAATTTTAAGAAATACTGCAACTTCATTGGATATATGCAAATTGATTTTACTGGTCAGCCAATCGAATTGCAATATTTCTTAAAATTTTGATTGTATCTTAGTTTAAGTTTTCGTGAATAAGGGCCCTGAACTGAATATATGGTTTTGGTGTTAACAATGGCCGCCGAGTGCGGCTGCGAGCCCCTCCTTCACAATTTTTTTTTGTTTGTATGAAATCTTCAATGGCAAAAACCTTTAAAAATTAACAACATCATTGAGAAGAGCCAAAAACTATAAAGAGAAAAAACAAAGCATTTTGTTTATTAGATAATTTTTATCATCGGTCTTGACCATGGACAGCAGCATTTGCTAACTTCCAATCTGTACAAAATACATACACAGTTCTGAATTTTGGTAGAGCTTCTTTGACTAGTCGATCTAACCTAGCAAACTAAAAATCCATCGACCCATTCAAAGTGAAAATTAGTAATTCGTCACCTAAGTCAAAGGCTTTATTTTAAATATACTTGGCTTAGTCTAAAACTTAATACACTTAATTTATGGAATAGCTATAACTATCAAAACGGATTAATTTCTAACTTTTACACAAGTATATTCCCTTGCAAGCAACAATAATTTATAAGAAAAGGTTTGTCAAAAAATATATTATGACATGTTAAAATATAATGATTATAAACAAGAGTACACAATCTTCGCCCGTAGAATGAACCATTATATCACTGATTTTGTGTGTATTTTGTATATCTTGAAGAATGTTTGTAGATTTGGCTGGCTATTTATACAAAAGAAACTGAATCCATTATTGAAATAATAAAGGCATTAACTAACATTTATTTACCAATGTTATATACAAACAGAATTACATGATTTACAGATATTACATATAACATTTATCTTAGACCCCTTGCTTTTAAAATCGTTCTTTGGGGTCTGCTACCACATTGTTTACTCGGGCTAGAAGAGAAGTCAAACCTGTGTAGCAAGTTTACTTAGAACTCATTGGTGGATTTATTGAAAAATAGATCTTCAAATCTTAATTTCAATAGACCCACTCCTTATGGCTGGTCGATAAATCTTAAAAAAAAATAAAAATAAATTTTCAATCTGTTTCACAGAGAATTACGAGTCCTCTTATATCTCTGTAAAAGATGACTGCCTTTACGTGCCGTCACAGCATTTGGCGTCCATCATTGGCTGAATGGCACGTGCATTGTTTACATAAGACGTTACTGCTTCGGGCAGAATGCTGCTTCTTAGACATTTTAAAACCCATTTACACTAAATAGGAAATAATTTTTACCTACAAATAAGTCAAACGTCTTTTATTTATTTTTCTAATACATCAAAAAAATATTTTAGAATTTAATTTGTTGTTGGAAAAAAGTTAATATTTGTGGCTCATTAAGTCGCATTGATGTCATCCTTATCAGTGATTGTTGCGGCCTAGCGAATATTCACTGCTGATCGGTGTGTATAATTTTATTATATCAAATCGTCCTTTGAAGTAACTATTATCGTACAAAGTATAAAATGGACTTACAAATTATATAAACAAACAAAAATCAAGAGTAGGCCTACTCACGAAACCAGACAAAAAATACCAAGATGTACTGGTAGGCGTACTATTTAAATACCAATCACCTGGGCTTGCAGGGAAGAACTATGAGACTATGGTGAACATTCCCAGCAATTTGCATTGACAAAACATGGGCTGTCGAGAGCAGGGACAGATCTACTATGAACTAATGAAGCTTAAGTTTCAAGGCCTCCAATCCTGAAGGCATCCCAGAAACAACATTATTAGTCCACAATCAAAAAATGAAAACCTACTTTAAATTGCTAGCTGTTAAGAAAGAGTTTGTATTTTTTTTTTTTTTTCTGTCGGGGGAAGAATCCTATTGAAGATGATAACGCTGGTTACTCAGATATTGCTGGCTGCGAAGGGTCCCATTGATGCTTTTGACTGAAGTATATGATTAAATTTTAAAAAAGATAGAACAATGTCTAAAGTTAGCTCCCTTGAAAGTTATTGAAAGGATTGTCTAACTTGTATTATTGAAACAAAAACAAGTGTCGCTGTAGTCGGCCAACGCTGTAGTCCTGATCGACAGGCCATCTCTTACAATGTACATTCATTAATAAATCTTTGTCTGGTCAATCGCGTTTTATTAGATCTCGCAGGTAAGATGGCGGCAGGATAAATTTTTTTCTCGTGCTTTTTTATTTTAATTTACGAAAAATCAATTGCAGAATAAAGTAATTGTTTAGAGTTTGTAGTAGACCAATTCATTTTTGGAAAGGTGGCATGACTGAGCATACGGGGATATGTCTATTTTGTCAGAAGTGAAGACAATCATTGTTTCAATCAATCGAAGTCAAGACAATGCATATGCATTGATAACATGTCATTTGGGAGTCACGTCATTTGGGACTCGCGTCATGTTGGACTCAAAAAAATATGACCACGACATTTGGGACTCGGGTATACGACGTTTGGGACTTTGGTATACGTCGTTTGGGACTCGGGATAATTTATTAGAAATAGGCCAATTCAAAACAAAAACTGCCAACAAAACGGGGAGGAATGTTGTAAATGAGGGTTTTTATAAAACTGATGTCAAACAAGTCACTTATTATACAGCTACCAAACTATCAACACGTCGCTACTACAGCTCGTCTACTTGAATTTGGTGGTTCAACATAGTAAGTCACGAAATATTACAATTAGGCCTAGTTGCACTTACGGTTCTTTGATAATCATCGTTTCTCATAAAAGTTATATATTTATTTAAAACGAATAATATGCTGATGAATTTATTTGCAAATCACCTATACAAAAAAAAAAAATAAATATTTACACGACATGCAATCTTTTTTACAAGCCCCTAAAAATTGTTAACGATAATCCGTGAGCTGCACGTTGACATGCTTGTCGTAGATGGCAATACCAATCAGTAAATTAGTGCGTACAAGGGAAAGTTTTTTTTGTGGAAAATATAAGAAATGGCAACGATCAAAGCGGGATAATTAAAGCTGATTAACTGATAATTCCTATGTTATTGCGCAGTATGTTCAAAGAAACCTAACTGTTCTTTGGTGGATGAGGAAAAACGTGAGTTGTCAATCATCGAGAATGGCGGCCGTGTGTTGATTGCAGTTATACCGTTTCACGAAAAAACATTAGCAGTGGTCGGTCAATCAAGCTAGTTTACTATTTGATAAAAGAAAAACAACGAAGTATTACTAAATGTACACAAATTTTCAACAATATATTATTGTCAAGTTTTATACTCGCAGATAAAACAAAACAAAGGAGAACTAGCAGTGTTAATCGCGGTCTCAACAATCGCCGATCAACTAAATAAAACGAAAGACAACTAAGACAGCTGTTACTATATATCTCATAAATAAATAGTCTCAACTGTCGTTTATATTGAGTCCCAAATGTCGTTTGTGTTGAGTCCCAATTGACGCCAATCAAGTCCCAAACGTCGTCAACTGAGTCCCAAATGTCGTTTATGTTGAGTCCCAAATGACGTGATACCTATGCATTGCATGTGTTTGTGTTCAATGCTAAAAATAGACTGAATATAGAGTCTAGGCCTATTGCACTTCGTGCAACAAACATGATTTCAGAAATATCACAGACGGTGACTGGATGACGGCCAGGGGAGAGTCAGAAATATATGGGCCAGTAACTTATTCGTCAGTTTTCCGAAAAAAACCTTCCTACTCCTACTAGGTTCTGTCCCCTCTGCCCTGAGTGAGAGTGAGACATTATATTCATTCATCGCTTATATTTGAGACCTAGAAATTGACACAAATGGGTCACAAAGCATATAATAATGTAATGTGAATGTATATAAACTGATTTACATTCAACCATTTCTGTTTTTACTGTAATTTCTAATCAGTTATGTTGGGCGAAATACCCCGGAAGTCTCAATTAATAGCAGTATTTAGCATCTGTTTATTCCAGTCTACACCAATGATATTTATTGTGCATGCTCTCCAGATAAGAATATAGCGTCACCATTTGACATGAGTTGTGGAATATGTCTAGCCGTGTTCTTTGAGTCCCTTGTTCCAAAAGGCGCTGAAACGCATGGTACACGATTCGTGTACCAATGGTAAAATGTTTATTTTGTCTTGAATATTGGGTATCAGAAGCCCATCTTTTCCCTGTAAGATCACAAGACCAATGTTGATTTGAACTGACAAATAATTCGTGTTTTCAATGTCGAAGTTTTTTGATGATATTGAGTTAGAGACTTAGCTACTTTAAATAATGGGTTGCACAGCCTTAAAGCCTAGTTATTATATATATAGTAAGCATATTGTATATAGTGATGCATACTCCACAAAATCCTCTGTTTGTCAAATGTGGGCCCAATAATCAACTCACAGCAGAATATTTTAAATTTAAATTGATGCGTCGAGTAACAAAATTGTCTGAATTTTCAGGTATTTCTATTCATCAAGATGACCACCAAATTATTTGTAGGAAATTTACCTGACACAGTAAGAAAGGGTGATTTACAAGCTTTGTTTGAAAAGTTTGGACAGGTGGTTGAATGTGATGTTGTAAAAGATTATGGCTTTGTGGTAAGTCACCCTGTGATTCATTTTTAGCCTATGATTAATCCTAGCTCAGTAGCTGTAGACTGAAAACTGGATAAGTGAAATAAATTTTTCATTGGGTCATTAATGGGAAATCTGTCAATATTTTGATCACAAACTGTAGAATTACCCCCCCCCCCTATTTAATTCCTAGTGCTTTCTCTGGTCTGTTTTTGGCATTTTGCCACCCTTCAAATTGATATTTTAGGTTGAACTATTTCTCCCCTTTCCATCACAAGAAGTATGTGCATCATTAAGCATGTTAACTTTTTTTGTAGCATTATGCCTCTGGTGACGAAGCTAATGCAGCAGCTGAAAATTTAAATGGAACAGATTTTAATGGTTCAGCATTAAGAGTGGAAGTTTCAAGAAGTAAAGTTCGACCCAAACCCGGAATGGGTGGTAAAGGAGAGTGCTATAGGTGTGGTCGAGAAGGTCATTGGTAAGTGGATTAAATGTATATGCTATGAAATGTATTATGTGTGTTTTACTTAAGTAAATAGGTGAGAACCCAACATGTAAATATGTATATCGGAAGCAATTAGAAATAAGGAAAAAAATATATTCAACCTATCTTTGTAACTCTGTATAAACATTTTTTTATTGTATTTCAGGTCTAAAGACTGTCCAAAAGGATCGTAAGCATTTTAATATTTAAAATAAAGTGATAATTAACAGTTACATTATTGTTAATATTCTGTAATACAGTTTTTTGAATTAAAAAATTATGCATGTACATGTAGTATAAACATCTTGGTAAACATAGGATTCTCAGTTATTTTTTCTGTGAGAGTGTCCTAATTGATTCTTGCCAAAGTTTCTGAATATCTATGACAGTTGTAAAAGAGCATTCAGAGAAAGTACTGATAAAATATCTAGATTTAATTTATATCACTTCGAATTATTCAGGTCACGACCACGACGTCCACCAGGAGATGGTTTTAGAGGAGATCCCTACCGTGAGGACCCTTATGATAATTACTACCGAGATCCTTATTACCGACCCCCACCACCAGACAGATACCGACCATATGCTGACCCCTATGAGAGGAGACCTCCCCCTCCCCCTAGAGAGATGTACAGAGAAAGAGATCCTTATGCCAGACCTCTTCCAGAATACTATGCCAACAGACGACCAGCAGCAACCAGGTTAGAAACAAAATTTGACCATTTTATTTTTAAAACAGAAAGTTACTCTTTTTATATCTTATTCTTTCTCAGTAAAATAAAAGCACAACTGGTTAAATAGCCATATTTTTCTCCTTAGTCAACACTCAATGCAAACTTGATTCTTTTGGATTTAACATTGCTTAGTTTATTTCAATAAACTTATGGGGCTAAGCAGGGGGCCTTGCACCTTGTTATATACAAGCACAGATTCGCTATCCACATTAGATTGAAAAGATTCTATTTTAAATTTTTATTTTATTTTTTTTTACAGAGATGCATATTATGATTATTATGAAAGGAGGAGGTAGATATGAACTTTCTTTAAGACATTGATGTTAATATAGATAGTATTTCTCTTGTATAAAATATATAGAGATGATGTTTATTAGTTGAAATTAATATTATAATAGATATTAGCAAGCTATTAAATATATAGACTATATTTGTTTAAGCGCGACCGTCATGTCGCTTCATCAGTATGGTGTTATATTGTATTCTCATACGCTTTTTGATGTTTTTTTTAATCTAAACGCTTTAAATTTAGAGGTAATATTTCAAGATAGATACACACTGTTTTGAATTTAATTATTAACAATTTGTTATTATTTGTAAAAACAAGATCAGTTACTATCTTGATTTATACCTTGATAACAGAAATTAATTAACGCTTTATGTTATGTTTTTTCTGCGTACAGTTATGGAATGCCTCCTGCAGGACGTGCGTCCCCGCCACGAAGCCGCGTTCCTGGACCATACTGACGAGATCGCTGAGAGAGAATAGAACGCTGCCACGCGACAGAATAAGAAAAAGACGTTTTATAAGCTGAATACGGAATCATGTGTGGCAACTTGATATATAGACTATTATGGACCTTGTTTTAGTTTTTATTACTTGATGTAATTTACCTGTTCAAGAAATTGAAAAACAAAGGACTCTAGCTATATTATAGTTAAATATTGTTTTACAATCTTTCATTCATATTATTCCATTTAATTGTCATGTCGTGTTTTACTAGGCGAATAAATCATAACTGAAATATCCATGGAAGGCGTGTGTTGATGATTTTCTGCGTGATCTTCCGAAATACATCGCTGGTTCACTGTAAATATGTATACAAAGTATGGAGAAAAGGGCGCTCGTTTGGAGACGTGTGCGATCCTATGGCTGATCGGAAGCTCTAGAAAAGGGGGGAAATAATTTGTGAAATAACATCAGAATGACAAGAGATTTGAATATTGAAATCATTCAATAAGAAAGTGATCATTGTGTTAAAATGTATTTTTTGACTAGAATTTTATTTCAGTAGTTGCTGTCTGTGAAAGGATAAGTATTTCCACTCTTGTAGGTAGCAAATGTAAAAGTTTAGAAAAAACCTTAAAAACATTCTTTTAAGTCCATCCTTAATTTATTTTAATTTAAAATATATATATTTAGACATGTCTGATATTTAGACCATGATTGTTTAAATTTAATGTTAGATTGACCAAATCAAATGAATTATACTAATCAGATAATTTGAAATTGCCCCGTTATCTACATTTATAAAAAAAAAAAATTACTAGAAATTATCATTGGCCAATTATATTTCAGAAAAAGAGATACTTGAAGTTTTAAACAAGAGCAATTTTGGTTTACTTTAAGTACCGTGATCATCTCTTTGTGTGAATGTGTGGCTCCTATGAACATCAGAACACCGGGCCAAGAAAAAAGAGGAAAGCAGTGCATCTTCATTCTTGATAAATATTCATCAGTTCAGTTTTAGTTTATTTGATGCTAAATATGAACATTTGATGTGGCTTTAAAAAAACTCACATTAATCTGAGTGAGTTTCAAGATCTTCAGAATTGATACATAATGCAGGGTTACAAGGCTTGCCTCTTATCGGTAGATAATACTAGGTATCACATAGTAATGAACCTAATTTGATCATATTTGTCTGATCTGGAGGAGTATAAATCTAATTGTGGTGGGATTTTACAAAATGATAAAGCTATGGGCATTCCCATATCATTGGTCCTAACCTTTTGAGGTAGTAAAATGGACTATTGACAATTAGTAATCAAGGTGAGCTTTTTGTTAGTCCTACAAAACCAACCATTGGCTGAACTGTAAACTGTTGATCCTTGCAGTAATATGGCTAATTTAGAAATTCAACTAACTTGAAGTATTAATTATGTAAGAACTGTAGACAGTCCAGTTTAACACCAATTCAATAGTAAATTTGAAATTTACTCCTTGTGTTGATGCAAGTATTAAAGTCAAAGATGAAAACATGTCAATGTGTTTCAAATTTAAGGGATGACAAAATCGGAAGTGATTCATTCTACTCATTTGAACTCGATGTGAAAAAAAACTTTTCTAGTATAAAAATGAAAAAAGCAATAAAATTTGTATTGCTTTTATAAAATGTCAAAGTTTGTATGTAAATACCACACTTAATAACCAGCTTTTTTTTTGCTTTTTTTTTTTATCAAACTCTGTAGTGAAAATATGGATTAAAGTGTAAATAATGTGACAGTCTTAAAGATAGACATTGAAAACCATGGAATTAAATTTTTGTATATGTTATTTATTACTAGAATGTTTTTGACAGTTGATATGGCAATTTCAATAACTTTATGCTAAATAAAACAATTTTGTGGTGTAAAGAGGTTTTAATTTATTTGATCTTTTCCACATGCATATTCGATTGAATACTAGCTGAGAGGCAATTCCTGATCCCAACATCCATAATATCAATATGTTTCACAGAGAATTACGAGTCTTCTCTAATATCTCTGAAAAAGGCGACTGCCTTTAACATGCGGCGTCAATCGTTGGCTGATGGCGTGTGCATTGTTTACATAAGACGTTACTGCTTCAGGCAGAATGCTGCCTTTTAGTCATTTTAATACCCATTTACACTAAATAGGAAATAATTTTTACCAACAAATACGTCAAACATCTAATACATCAAGAAAATGTTTTAGAATTTAATTTGTTGGTGGAAAAAAGTTAATATTTGAGACTCATTAAGTCGCATTGATGTCATCCTGATCAGTGATTGTAGCGGCCTAGCGAATATTCAATAAAAGTTTGGCAAATACTGTACTACCCGAAAAAAACCCATGGGGCAAGCACTAACTGGCAACCCAACTGTTGTCTGACCAGCTTATTGTGTGCTAGCGTGATTGAGGGAGCAGTTATTTCTTGATCAGATGGTTAGGCAGTTTTGCTCTGCAATTAAATGGAGGAAAAAGAAGTTGACAGAAAATAAAGTTACTCAGAGCTCAATATGTATGATAAATCGACGGTAAGTAATGAAAAATACATTCTGAAAAACTTACCCTCCCTCAGTGAATTGAGGTGACCGACATGTCTTATAACAGTTTATTTATAGCTTGAAGGTATCTCCCCACCAAAACAAAGCTCAGAGGGATTTGAAGCAAATTTTTGAGATTAACTAGCTTGAATAAGTTTTTAGTCCAAATATATCATCAAATCACACAGTTGGTACGCGGGGAAAGAATCTTTAAAACATGCGTCAAAATTTGCTCAAAGAAGTGTCTTTATTAAAGTGTGAGAATATTCATAGGGACGCGCCTAAGTCACTGTGCAATGAAGCAAATCCGGGCTACAGCCTACTCTTAACAAATTCCAACTTGTACACATGGCCTCGGTTTTTGTACCATCCAAATGACTAGATACTCTCCTTGTCAGACCCTCCATCCTACACCACTAAAAAGGAGAAAACATGAAAATCCAAAGGAACATTCTCGGCCAACACCGTGACTGAACTGAAAACTTCCAGGCTAGCGAGTAAGCCATTGTCTTCCACACGAGCCAAGGTTGTTCCCCTCCAAAGTCACCACTTGCACTATGCTTGCAATTATTACAGACCGAATTCTTTTTTGCATAGCTCACAAAAGCATGGATAATGGTAAGGTTTCAATCTGTAGAAAATGTCTAATGAGGAAACGCCAGGCAATATATATTTTTTTGGGGGGATACAAACATGATCATCATGGAATGGATTCAACCTGATTTAGGTACTGATCTAGAGGAGGAAGACATTCAATTTTCAGAACATCTTATTAAACACACTTTAAGTGTTGAAATATGCTGTATTAATCAAAGAAATTTTCCCAAAATATTCAATTGCTGGCAAAATGACAATGTAAGCAGGTCAGAGACTGTGAGCGGACTTATAATTCACAGAAAATAGTGGTTTAAGCAAAATGGACAGTCCTTTGATCCCATGAGTTAAACCTGTGCAACAGATTGTCTATATTATAGACTCACACTAAACACTGAAGACATAGGTTTTAGTATTCTCTATTTATTTTTCAAATATTATAAGAACTGTTATAAATACTCTGATGCCTTTTTCTTTATTTTCTGTACTTTTCTGACAATTACACTTTAAAAAAAAAACTGTATAAAATACAGAATCTGTAAACCTGAACAATTCTTAGTAACTGGTTTCCACACAATGGACATGTATCATGCCTTAAAGACCCAAATACTTTTCATAATTATCGTAAATCTTTCATATATATTAGCCAACAGTTGTAATAGCCTACCTATATTGCCACAACTTACAATGAGACTAAGTTTTTACCTAGCATTACTAAATATTTATGTAAATGGTTATTAACAAATGTTGAGGGTGAAAGCACAGAAATTGTACAATTTTACATTTGATTCAACAAGCTTAGAGTTCTAGATTAACAAAATAGTGATTAACAGGAAAATATATTTAGTATATTAGTCACACAGAATGTAAGAAAATAGGCCTCCTTTCGACAAGGAAACACATGAAATATATTTATATGTAATATTTACAACATACAGAAGCAGTATTAACAAATAACAAGATATGAATGATATAATACAATGAAAATACTTATGAAATATTACAATGAAATAACAAACATTAGAATATACAAACGTATTCACTGTATTTAACTACAGCATAAGAATGATTTAGAAAATAGTAGAATCTACTTATTTACTGAGAGCAAGTTCAAATCTAAAACGGTGAGCGTTGTAATATCATTATGCTCAATTATCTTTATATATATATATATAAAATGTGAACAAAACAACAACAATATAGCTAAAAAATACTATCATTAAACAATTATCTTTCTTCAATAAAACAATGGTAATATTGATATGAATTTTATATTCAGCACCAATACTATATAGCACTAGAGGATTTAATTTATACACATTGGTGCAGGTTGCCATTTATAAATTATTGGGGGTTTGGGATCTTCCTAATATTTTTCTGCGCTTAACGAAAGTTTTCCATTAAGCAACATGTACATTAATTTAGAATCATAGCTCATCTAAAGCAAGCCACAATTTATTGATTTCTTGAAATTGATATTTATTACTGTATATTTGAAAGCATGTGATTTAAAATGTATGGTTTTGGCAACATGCACCCTACATAAATATATAGGATTTGTTTCTATTATGTAAAACTAGGAGAAAAGGAAGAGGTATTTGTGTGCAAAATTAAATGCATGTGTTGTCTACTAACAATGATAAGATGAAAGAAGTATACATAATGAATGTATATGTACAGTACATAGTTTGAGTAAAAGAACATAGCTTACTCTAAATAAATATATTCTAAAACTTGTAGTTTGTCATCTTTAAAAACCTATCAGTACTATCAATCCTTTTCTCAAACCACAACAGATAAAGCAGCTAAAAGCAATAATTATGCATAAAAGGTTTACATTTTTAAAAATCAAACTTCTATAACATTAAGGTAGTACTAGTTAAAAAAAATCATTTTTAAAAATATATACAATTCGTATAAGAAATTTAAAAAAAGAAAAAAATGCAAGACTGCTTAAAATCTGATATACTGTAATATAATAATAAGATACATAGATAAGATTGGCACAAGGGACGAAAACAGGTTCCTCTTAATTAACCATGATTTCGTATAGATTCTACACATGCAAATAATAAGACGTACACAAAGTAGTTCAAGAAAATTCGAATATCAGAGGCACTAAGATTGTTTTCAAAGTATAAATCAGCACAAAATATAAACTACATATGTGAACAATTCAAGATTACCATAATTTACAGAATATACATTAATATTATACATATCATTGTACTCAATTTTCTGAACAATTTGCATACTTGCATTCTATCAATGAACAGTGGCGTATTGAGGTGGAAGGCCATTTGGCCATGCTCTTCATCCCTTTCCTTACGTTGTCAAAAAAACTAATTAACTAATTAATTTCTTTAACCAGACACACCCAATAATTGACAGCACCCAATTTAAAATCAATTCCTTGTTATGGAAATCCTGCAGACACCACTGTTCATGAATAAATGCTAAGCAAGCAAAGCATGGAGACATGAAAAAGATTGGGATAAAATTTCAAAATAGACTTTTTTTTTTGAAAGCTCCATACAATAATCTTCAGCCCTGTATATTTTGGTATATTTCTCTAACTCTGGTACATCTATAACAAATAAATCTTTACAAACAGTAGAACCGGTAATAAAAAATACTAATTGCATGTCTTTTCCTCACTGGTATATAATAAAACATCTTACAGTGCCACTAGTTAAAACTTCTGTAATATTTAATACATCAATCAAAAACAAAATCATCAAAAAATTAACTTGAATCATACTTAAACGTTCCAATGGGCCAGAAACTTAATGGTCAATATCCCCATTTAAATTTAACTAATAAAGAGTGGTGAAAGGTGTTCTTCAGATAGAAATATAGTCAATAAAATCAAATAACCTAAGTTAGATATCACCTTGACACTGATGTTCATGGATAGAAATTCTTTTTATTCAGTAATAGCTGACTCAAGTTCTAAGACAATATAAATGGGATGGCTGTAACTTTTCAGGATCCATGGATTTTAATCATTTCTGGACCAATATGCTTTATGACTAATTTTTCGTGTGTATGGACTGTACGTCTATATTTTCTTTACATTCTGGAATGTTGTGTCTTAAACTTTAATAATTTATTGAAAGTTATAGCTAAATGTAAGATTAAAATTTTTGACTGTGGATATATAACAAAGCATACATTGATTGTATAAGTTAAAAATTTTTGTTAGTGCATGATTTTCAGCAGGTCCTGTAGAGGAATATAATATGCTCGTTCATTTCTGTTTATAGTGTCAATAGTAATTCAAATTTTAATTAAACAAACACAGGAAGGAAGGAAGTTAAAAGTCTCATCTAAACAATACTTTGGTTATTTTAAGACTAACAAAATGAATAATTCTAACATCAGCACAAGCCTAATCTTTTCAAAACAACCATCTGTAATACTAATGTTACAGGAAAAAATCTATTCTTGAAATAAGCTTTCAACACATAATATCAAACTATTTCTGATCAGATATCAAATTGTAGGTTCTTGTTTTAAACATCTGAAATATGAGGATAAAAATAAAACAGCAAAGCAAGTAAAATTTTTTTAAAGGGGCATTGCCCAATTCCGTGACCTTGAGATGTTTATTGATTTTAGGCTCTACGATAGAATGTAATAATATTTATTATATTCTAGCCCTATAAATTTGGTTTCAAAAGAATTACATGTAACTTTGACGTTAACTACACCAGCCGTGTTTGAATAAAAATATTGCCTGGATAATTGGGCCTAACCTTAAACTTGTTAGCCAGACACTGGTACTGACAAAAATGGACAAATTGTCCACAAGATTTCATTTCCTTCAGAATGAGGACTAAAAAACTCCCAAATACTGTATTTCAACAGTTGTAAATATCTAGCAATATCCCTGTAAGTTTGGTAGAAATAAAAGTATTTTCAAATTTATCATTTTGACCAACAATTGTAACCTTAGTATAAATTTCCTCATTAAATGAACATTTACATTAAATTATTGTATCATACATGGAATATAAACAATGACATCATTAATAGAGAAAATTAGATAGGGTCTGCCCTCCTTAATGTATAAACAATTTGGTTATAAAAGGGTTTCTTTCAACCTTAAAGATCCATATGAAGGTCTCATAAAAAATACAATCATTGTAACAAACATTGTAAATCTGTGAAGAAAAATACCGTTTGGTATTAAGTATGTACTATATGAATTTCAATGAGTAATGGTGGTTTATACCAAGTTAGTTTTAGTTTATATTATAAATGAAAATTAGGATGAATTGAATGATTTCCTATAAACAATTTATCTCTAAATGATTAATCAATAGTTTATCTCAAGTTTTTAACTAGGTGAAATGGGATGAAATGATGAATGAATTTATAACAATGGATGATAGAATTTGAGATGGCAGTAAATCTCAATAAATGATTTCATTGGCTTATAAATGGAGAAACCAGTTATTCTCCTTAATTGTATTTCTCTATATGAATAGCTGCCTTCATGAAGTTTACACTAAATATTATATATCGCACAATAGTTGCCATGGGAACATCTTTGCCCTAAGTCTGTCAAAGAAGAACACACTATTTCATAGTTTTGAGCCCATTAAAATGTGGTTCACTGAAGCGTTTTTTTGAAAACAATATGATAAAGCCTTCTACACCAATAACCAGTTCCTGAACGGCTTTTTTTCTTCACAAACATATAGTTTAAACATAGCTTATAATCACTGATACACATTGTTGTCTTCCAATGGAATTTTCATCATTTCAACTGGTTTTGATTTGGTGCGTTCATTTTCCGCCATTTTGTGGCTTTTCATATGAGCACTTCTGCTTTTAACTTTACTGAAAATCCTGGAATATGGAATAGAAAACACATTAAGATAAAATCAACATGTAATCATTTGGAATTTTGAAAATATCTCTTAATTCTAGGACATGTAATCCAATACAATCATTGCTCATAACCTTGTGTTTTCCCCATTGGATTAACAATCGTCCTGCAGTGAATCCTACTAGGTTATTTATGTGGTAGTTTTAAGATTTTATTTGCTTAGAATTACTCTAAAGGAATGAATTTAAGATTGATGCGGGGTTTGTATGTGTTTCAGGTTCTATTCCTGTGTTGGCTGAAAAAGTGCCATCCTGTGTTCCACTTGCCCTCGTCAGTGGTCCAGGACGTGCTTGACAATGAACAGCGATGGTGTGCACATAAAAGAACCCTGGACAGTTGGAATTCGACGAGGAGCCCATGTCCCGGTAAAATGTCCAAATACACACTGCATGACATATTAATGAAATCTTCATTAAGTCGACTGGTACACAAAAGTAGGATCTTAAATTCTATTTCATTTTATTTGTATGTGTGTTTACATTTTGATAAGCTTTCTCGATGGCCATACTGTAGTAAATTCCATGTGTAATTTTTAAAGGACAAATTTATCACTTTGAGTAATGATAAAAGGGGCTAGCATCCATTCTCAACAAATAAATTTTGCTGGCATATAAAACATTACTTTAATGAAAATTCCAAGCGAAAAACCCCACAAAAAATAAATTTTGAACAAATTTAATTGAATAAATATATGCTCCTACCTGTCACATAATTTACAAGGGAATATTTCCTCTCCCTTTTCATTATAAACAGGCAATGCCTTGGTACTAGTTGATGATCGTGGTTTATTTGTTCGAGGTTGACGTGGTTTAGCAGGTTTAGGTTTTGGTGCATCATCAGAGTGACCCTTCCAAACACTTGTACTATGCATTCTACGATGACCACTTAACGCCTGTTTTGAAGTAAATGCCTGAAAAAAAGAACAGATAGTATGAAATGCAAATATATGAAAGAATTTTTTCTTAATCTCTTGGCACTGCCCAAGGCTACTGCTTCTTCTACCATCCCAAACCTTCCTAGTCACTTGAAAGGACGATGTACTATTTCTGTGACTCAAGTCTGTTTGAGGTGGTCTAGGAAGCATTGTTTTGGACGATTTCCAAAATGAGCTAAAAATTCAATGATAAAAAGATCATTTCTAATGTTTTCAGGGAACCAGGGTAGTCAACACCAGCAAATACAAAGTGACATTGATAAAGGGTTAAAAACCAAAGAAACTGGTAAATATAAGATGTAAACCTATTATAATCCTTTGCAGGCATTTAGTACTTGCATAGAGCAATAAACTATAAACACATACTTATGGAGAGAGAGAGAGAGAGATGGGGTTTAATGTCCACTCGACACAAATGAAGTCATTTTGGGACTAACAATAACATATGGTTCAATTATTTCCATAACTCGCTTGCACGTAGGGGCCTTTAGCAGTGGGAGGAAACTGGACGACCCGGAGAAAACCCAACTCCTTGTCACGTACAACCGTGGAATCGAAACCATGCCAGTTGACTCAATGACAGACCTTATGATATAGCGCACACACTAACCATTCAGCCCCCCCCACACACACAAACACATACTTATGGAAAACAATTACTGATTTATTTGGGTGACATTCCTCTCAATGTTTTCAATTTAGTACAGTAACAAATGTGTATGGTAAATATGGTTTCTGATTGTTATTGCTTGTCTATATCCAAGACATTAATAGCATGAAAATATTTGAGAGAATACTCTTTGAAACATCACAAAAATAAATCAGTAATTATTCTTTCAAACCTATTCTTTTTATGAAAACCTATTCTTTTTTACACAAAATTGTGGGATCAAACTCACTACTTGCATAGATGACAGAACACCCCACTCACCTCCTATAAGCCTCAAATAAAGATATTTATAATGTTAAACTTGTACTTACAGCATGACAACCAGGATGATCACATGTAAAAGCTGGTGATGATGTTGGTGATGGTACAGTCAATATAGGTATATTACCACTAACATTAACATCACTATTACTTATAATACAATTACTAGTATTATTATCAACAACCATTTCAACATTTTTACCTACTTCCTGTAAATAAAGTAATCAAAATGACATTGTTAGAGGATGTATTTCTTAAATTTTTGAACATTTTGAGACAAGTATTGTACTTGTTAAAATGTTTGAGTAAGGCCAGAGCAAACTTCACCAAACCATCATGAAAATTGCCAATCTGAGCTCCTAGACGCTTTACTTTGGCAGGCCTCCATCCTGCACCACAGAGGATTTTTTCTCAGTCAACATTGGACCGAACCCGACACCTCCTGGTTAGTGCCCATCCTACTTTCCCTGAGCAAGAAGAAAGCCATAGTATTTGAAGTAAAATAGGTGTTAAAAGTAAGTAAAATCCTACCATTTGTTCTTCAGTTTTATCTGAAGCACTGCTTTCTGTTTCTGATTCAACTGTTACAGGAATGGAAGGGGCAACAGCAGGTGGAGGGGGAGCGGGATTTTCTTGTTGACGAGATCGTAAATTGTATAGATCTTCTTGTTCACGTTTACGACGTAGAATTCTCAGTCTTCTATAATCTTCAGGACAAACTTTCTTCCATAGATAATAAAACTGTACACATTGTTTTACATTCTTTGTTTCAACCTTAAAAAGATGAACAATAGCTGAGTATTATTAACAGCTGAAATACCATAACACTGATTGACCAGGATAACTACCATTTCACTTTAGTTTGTTATGAATTTTATGTTAAATAATTACAGAAATGCAAAAGACGAAGGTGTCAGACAATACGATGCATACTGTATAACACATAATTATCTTGCGCACAATAACTTCTTATTTTCTTTTCTATATTGAAGTTACCCCCCCCCCCCCCATCTATCTACTGCAGGAGTGATGTAGAAACAGCTGCTTATATTTTCTGGACAGCCACATATGGTCAAAACCACATTTATGGAACAAACAAGTCTCCTAAAACATCTTGGTGATACTGAAAGGAAGGCACCATAAATATACTGCATAAATAATAATAAATGACAAGTTTTCCAAAAACAACAAGAGTTTACACGTCAAAAAAACAAATGATGCTTACCGTTTTAGAAACAGTGAAGAAATCTTTGTCAAATTTATGTAAAGCCTTGTGAAAACTTTCAATTTCTTCTGTTGACCATGCATCTGATTCTGAAATAAAAAAAATCAAATAAAATCTTTGTAAACAGCTTTCAAAATATAAACATATATACATCAGTATCCCACGTTACCTATAATTCAGCAACAGCAACTGATTCTTTAGACAGAATGCAATAAATGTATCAACGAACTCAAATCAGACAGTTATCACAAATCTATAGTCAATGGTCACCAGCCAACTTTCTATATGTTATTATTTAGGCGACAAATATTGTTCAGCATTTATCAGTTTTCTCAAATTCTTTCATTCTCCCATATATAATAATTTTTTTACCTTGATAATTATAGGTCAATAATGTATGATAACTTGGTAGTTTAGGTGGTTCTTCCATCAACATTAATATAGCTTTCTACAAAATAAATTTTACATTATCTTTTAAAATTTACATTTCGACTAGATGCATTTAATAGGAAACACATTTCTTAATCAGAAATCTGCATAAGAGGACATCGGATGGTGTCCATAGCACAATTACTCAAATGCTACTGTTAGCTGTATATGTAAACAGAACAAGAACATTTCCCCTTTAAAATTAAAACATCTAGGTAAATATTGCAAAACAAACCACATGACAGTCCAGTATGTGTGATTATAGTTCAATACCTGTATATTGCCTTTTGCCATATAGAGTATGTGTAAGGCATATTCTACATTGCTACCATTTCCCTTGACAGCAGCAGAACAGGCAAATTCTTGAAAGTATTGCACTGAAATAATAAAACAGATATTATTAAATATCATGAAAATCAATTAGAAATGAACTGATATAATGCATAAAACAATGCTTTTAATAGACATTTATCAACAGATAAAAGATTTTATTTTTTCAACATCATCAATATCCCAATGCAATTTTTAATTATTTTTTGCCAAATTCATGAACTTACAATCATCATCAGAGTTATCTGCCATGGCAAAGGGCTCCCACATGACATCCTCCCTTGATATGGTCCTCAAGGCATCTTTTTTATTTGCTTAAATTGAAATAAACATTAAGCTTAGCATACTATGTGTGATATCCTAAAGAAGTAGAAAGTTTTTGGATATTCAATAAGCAGATGAGTCTATGTTTGGTTGAAATAGGTTACTGTCAAAATCAATTACATTTATTTTTATGGTGTGTGATAATGTCTCTTTAATATAATACAATTTAAAACAGTCTAGCTTTGCGCTTACAGATCCTCAATGTTAACCGTTCATTTACCATACTGTATCCCCATTTCCAAAGATTTACTATGATTAAATTTTTTAAAATATATTTATTAATACATACGATTAAAAGCAGGCAACAAGGCTTGAAACTGGGGTCCTACATTTACATGTCTGAAATACAGAAAAAAAACAACATCATTATACAATGTGAAAGTTCATAATCATCATTATATAACGTAAAAGTTCATAATCTGATCAATCAGCAGAGTAATAAGAGAAGCTATTTATAATTTAATAAACTCTAATATTATAAACTATTTAATCTTTACTAATATTTGTGACTAATATTTGGAGTTACGGGCACAACCCAGGCAGCGCCAGGTTATTCTATAGTTAAAAAATAAAATACAAACTATGAAATATAAGAGTTTTTAAAGTAAAAGTTAAACATACGGCTGAATATCTGTTTCTGGTGGTGGGGTTTCTTCTTCTGGTTCAGCTTCATCTACTTCTTCTTCTACAACCTCTGGTTTTAAACCTAGACTACCTGATTAACAATAATATTGATCATACAATATTCCTAAAGATCCAGATCTTTTTATTAGTCACAAGGTTATTAATTTTCAAATGAAAACCTTTTTACAGTATTCAACTTACTACATAATCTATGATCAATGGATGTTTTTGTGGCAATATATGACTGGTACTTGAATTAAAAGATAACATTTCTATTATTATAACTATTTAGAAATTTTACATGGGTTGGCTATTTACAAATGACTTACTTCTACGAATTTGCAGTCTAGGTGTAATTGGTGCTGATCTTGGTGAAAATGGGCGGTTACTGTGAATGGAACAAAATAAACCTGAACTTCTTCTCACTGGACTCAACATAGGAGGAGGGGTGTATGGTGGAGGTGTATGGCCAGGTCCAAGCCTATTCATATCTCCTCCATCCCACAACCTAGGTGAACGAAGACGGCTCTGAAAACTGTTCAGATGAGGTGGTATGAACAACGGTGCTGGACGATGTTTACGTTTAAATTTGATTGGGCTGGTAAGTAAGCCAGGATTTCTAAAAACGCCTGCTCCATCCGATTTAGAGAACACATCTTCACTCTGACTTTTAGATCTTCCGATCAAGGTTTCTTCTTGTCTTCGGGCTCGGAACAATGAATCTTCTGTTCTACTACGAGGTCTCATTAAGCTTTGATCAACACTTTTTGATCTCATTAATTTAGATCTAATATGATCATCACCTGATTTACTTCGCATTCTAACCCTACCACTAGGAGAAGAAAAGTCAGTTTTCGGTTTTGCAAACGTGTCGGTTTTAGTCAATAACATTGTTAAACTATTATGTGTAAGCTGAGGAGAACTGGTTCTCTGACTGTCCATTGATAACCGTCTTCTACACTCGGATTGAGAACTTGTAATGGGTTTAAAGTTCTGAGATAAAGATGTATCACCGGTACTGGAGGAACTATAACTCGGACTTATAACTCGATGCACCGGTTTTGGACGTGACGCCATCAACTCTCTTCTAATATTATCAATAGTGCTCTGAGATGATGACTGTGAAGATGGTATACTATGAATGGTTGGCTGAATATTTGAAAGTTTGTTTTCTTGAGAAGATTGATCAGCAATTTGGTTGGCTTGAGAGGAAAGCTGAATCACATCTGGTAGATTGCCTAAGAAATGAGCTACCAGCATATCCTGACTCTGAGTAGATTGAGGAATTTGAATGTCACTGGCAGAAATATAAGAAACTGATGATGGCGCAATGTTCTGTGATACGGATGATTCTTGTTGTCTTTGATCAAATTGTAGCCCAAGGGAAGATGGAGTCATAGGTAATGGTTCGGACTGTATGTGCAGGAGATGTTGAGATAGTTGATTTAGTTCTATATTTTCCAGTTCACCTCCAGATGTCTGTGGTTGAGCACCTTGTCTGGTAGCATCAATACCCTGTACTCCCTGTTGTACCAGGTCTAAAGGGGGAGGGAAGGAGCCCTGTGAGTGTAAAGACTGTTCTAATTGGTTACGCAGGGTTACTGGATTTCTGGCTCCAGATTCCATGGAGGCTTTCATATGTTCAGCTAGTTGCTGTAGTTGATCTGAAGTTTGTGGATCAAACTGGTACTGTTGTTGCTGATTAGCCTCTAACAGTTGCGCTTGAGATACATGTATTTGAGGCATGATGTGAACTTGGGCAGTTTCATGAAGATTCTGCTGTGCCTGTGTGACTTGAGGTTCAATCTTAACTGGAGTCTGCTGGATTTGATGTTGTTGCTGGTCTTGTTGCTGTTGCTGTTGCTGCTGCTGTTGTTGTTGTTGGAGATGATGATCATGGATGAGTTGCTGAATCTGATTGGGTTGTAATTGTTGCAGGATCTCAAGTTGTTGAGATGTAAATTGTGATAGAGCTGTTTGTGGTAGGGAAGATGTGTTTTGTTGAAGTATATCTATCTGTTGTGGGGATAGAGACTGAACAGCCACTTGTTGTAGCTGTTGTTGTAGTAACTGTTGTTGAATGGAATCAATTTGTTGAAGTAGTAGAAGCTGATCTGGAGTGACAACATGCTGGAGTAGGGCCGGCTGCTGGATGATTCCCAGCTGATTTGAGACTGCATCAGAAACTTGTATCTGTTGACCTGATGTTTCCAATGGCTGAATAAGAAAATGTAAGATAAATAAACTTAATAGGTTATCAACAATGTATACATGTAGTCTGTATTTTTGCAAATGTACAACTTATTTTGTTGCTCTTTTGAATGTATTTTAAGACTATTTCAGGGTAAAATTGATTTTGTAAAAAAAAACGATTATGTATAAAATGGCAGTAATTCTGAACACAAAACTAAACAAAATATAGTTCTATATTATGAAAGAATGAATAACTGTTGAAATACAATAAACTGTACAGATCCTAAGCCTTAGGGTACCCCCAAAGTCAACAATCCATATAAGACAAAAATCAAGAAATAGATCATGGACTTCCTAAAAGGGCTTACAAATATCTAATACCTGTAGACTTGGTTTTATGTCGTCTAAGAACGCCATGTTTTGTTGTTGTTGTTGTTGTTGTTCTGTAGCTGCCGGTTGTGAAATAGAATGAAGCTGAAGTTGTTGTTGAAGTATTGGATGCTGCTGGCGTAAAAATGTACTAGGTTCAGAGGTGTTAGGTTGTTGCTGAACACTTGTGGGATGAACACCCTGGGATGTTGGCATATTTTGACCAGCAGTAGTATTTTGTGGTGTTGTAACCAACTGAAGACTTTGAGTTATTGAGGGTAGGACATTAGTTATTTGTGTCCTCTGAGGTGCATTTGGATTCTGGTTTGGAGATGGCCGTGGTCTTGGTGGTGGGGGTTTCATTGCACGTGATTTATTTTTGATGGAAGACTTTTTGTTTGGATCATCTTTATCCTTATTGTCCTAAAAATATAAATGAAAAGTTATACCAAGTCTATCTTTGATAAAATCATGTTGTGAGTTAGCTCTATTTATTAGTGGTCTGAATTGCAACAGGAAGTTATATTGGAGTTGTTTCCCTTTGAAAAATACTAATCATACAAGATTTTAGAGGTATCATCGAATAAAACCATTTCAATTTAATAATATTCGGTTTATTAAAATCCAAATTATCTATTTGAAAAACAGTAACATTCTGTCCAATATAAATTTTATTCTTTTTATTTAAAATATAAGAAAAATTGCATTTTTTGCTTTTGAAAAACAGCATTTTTTGTAATGAATATTGTATCTTTTACACATGAAAAATTCATAAAATCAACTTTTGCCACTACTGTTCATACAAACCTTTTTCATATAACCACCATGTAATCTCATATGACCATTTAAAGCTGGTATATTCTTAAACTTCTTCTGACATATACTACATGTTACTTGAGGCTTCACAACTTCCTCACTGTAAACACAAAACAGAGTTAAAAATACTGTTGATATAAAGTTTAAACAATGTCACATTATTTTCTTCCACATGAACTTTGGGAGCCACAGTGGCTCAGTAAGTAAGGTGCTAGCTCACCAACAGGAAGTTCTTGTGTTTTCTCCCAGGGTGGTCTGAGAAAGTTCCTCTGAATTTTTCAGTCTGGTTCCCCTTGTCAATTGTGCAGTAGTTTGGATGGTACGAAAAACCAATGTGTACTCAAAAGTATGACATTTACCCCAATTTCGTTTAAACATCTGAGAAGTAATATTTTTTTTACAGATTAAAGCCTACATATAGGATTCCCAATGAAGTTAAGAAGATACAGCCTAATTTTGAAATTGATAGAAATATTACCTTGGTTTGGCCATATCAGCAGGTGTTGTATTATTGAACCACAATTGTCTTTGATGTTGGGCAAGAATAGGACTAGTTGGCTGAGGAAGTGTAGGAGGGACAGGACTAACAGGACTATAACCTGGTGATGGTGCCTCTTGTGGGTTGGTAGAAGATTGAGTCATAGCATTACTGACAAAGTTATAAACCTGAGCCCTGTCTTGCCAGTTCTGTTTACTTGTGGTGGGAGCTGGTGGTTTAGGGGCTGTTTGACTTGGTACATTACTGGCCGATTGTTGTTCAAATTGGAAAACAGGTTGTGTCTGTTGTGTATTGGTATAACTAGGACTAGGAGAAGGGGTTGTATTAGCACTATATGATGGGGAACCCATTTGCAGAATCTGGGTAGCTTCTTGAAATGCTCTTTGGTCAGCAGCCCTGGGTTTTCCATTGGGTTGGGCAGCGTTTGTGATACCAGCTGCTGCCATGGCCGCTAAAACACTACTAGCTATAGCTTCTGGTGACTGATGATGATGAGCTTCAAGATGTCTTCTTAACGAACGAGCATCACAATAACTTTTTTCACAATTTTCAACTTGACATTCGTATGGTTTCTTCTCTCTATGAGTCATCAAATGACCATTTCTGACAAAAGACAAAGGTTTACATTATACATTAACAGAGAGAGAGAGAGAAATGGGGGTTTAACGTCCACTTGACACAAACTAGGTCATTTTGGGACTAACATATGGTTTAATTTTATTTCAATAATTCGCTTGCATGTAGGGGTCTTTAGCAGTGGGAGGAAACCGGAGGACCCAGAGAAAACCCACGAGGTTGAACAGGCGACCCTACTCCTTGTCACGTACAACCGGGGATTCGAAACCACGCCAGTCAACTCAATGACAGACTTTATGATACAGCGCGCGCACGCTAACCATTCAGCCACCCAACCCCCCCATACATTAACATATACTTTACGATACAAATAAATCAAGATAATATGATATGAATAAAAACGTTTTCCTTTGTAATATTCAAACACAACAGTTGTATTAAAATTATAATTGTTTAGATCACCTAATTCCACCTTCATATATATCTGATTTAATTATGCTTTAAGTACCTTCTCATTCATTACATGTATTTTCATGTAATAAAAATCAAATTGTGTTCCCTGTAACAAAGGTTATTCTTTGAGAAAACATTTGAACTTAATTTTAATATGTCAGATTTCACTTACATTTTTTTATCATGTAATCTGATTACAAAAGTTGACTGTTCAGAGTTGTTTTGTATTTGTTTATTTATTTTTATCCTATTTCTTTAGTTTTTTGGCCATTGTTATTGTAATATAAACAGCACAGTACAGTTCCGTGTTTCAGAAAATGGATATTACTTAAAAATTATATTCTTGAAATTAACTATAAAACAAACGTAGCATGAGACATGCAGACTTTCCACCATCTATCTGCTTACTTACAGTGCTGCAAAGAGGCATTACTAGTATCAATTTCCCCAAGAAAATACATGTAATTTTGAATAATATCACTTAAACCGACATTATTCAAGAGCTAATTTGCCTACTGAAGTTCTTTCTTTAGGCCTTCAATGTTATATAATAGTAAGTGCAGGGGACTGCACCACACAAAATTTACACAAAAACAAGTTATATAGTTATAATCATTAATCAACATAAGACCATAATCCACTCTCTAGGCCATACCGTACTATGTTTATTTTACAAATTCTGGGATTTATTTGATATGTATTCATTCACGGAGTAAAGGCTAAAGGGGTTTTTTGTATATTAAGATTTGAAACATCCTTATCAAGGAATTGACCAATTTGTCCCAAATTTTGCAAACACAAAAAAATCTAATTAGAATACTCCAACATGTAACAAGAATGTCTAATGTCTAATTTTTAACTGATCACTGTGCTTGCCATATGTAATGTACATTTATCAACATACATGTAACAATATAGATCCTCATCTGCTATTCCGAGAAGTAACCCCTTTATAAAATAACATATCATGGTTGCAGAATCTGTACTTACAAATGATCTTGTCTTTTGAATCCTTTTGAGCAAATGTTGCAAACATATTTCCTTTCTTCACTGTGTGTCAATCGATGTTTAGCCAAAGCACTTGAGTTATTAAATCCCTTACCACAGGTCGGACATTGAACATTTTGTTTTAAAGGTGAAATTTGAGATTTAGCACGATTTTTTCCCTTTTTACCACCGCTAGTATTTGTAGGGGATTCGCTGGTTAGTCTTTGATCACTAATACCTGGAAAAAAATAAACATGTACCAACTTCGATGATGGGCTGTTGAATTCATATCAAAATAAAAATGATAAATCTGTTATAGTACTTATACGTACATTGTATCAAAGTTAATAAAGTTAGGATTGTAATACAAATGATTTCTTTAGATCACTAGCTACTTGCCGGAGCCATTGACAAATATCTGGTGTTTAAAGTATGTTACTACTGAATCGAGAGATGTTGTTTTCTCCAGTTCCTCCCCACTGCTAAAGACCTTGAAATAAAGATACACCATGTTAGTCCCGAAACGGTCTAGTTTGTGTTGAGTGGACATTTTTCCCCATTTCCCTCTGCATTGATTATGAAATTCATGGCGAGTTCACTGGACTGAATGGGCTTCACATTTATTTTATTTTACATCTAAATTTGATCTAAAATACCTTTTTTAAAAAAATTACCTGAACTCCCTTGTCCTTCACTATCAGTAGTAGTAGCACTTAAATTACCATTATCTCCTACTCCAAATCCTGAATCAGCAAACGGTTGAGGCGATAAAGATAGAGCCTCATTAACATTGCCATCAAATAAATCATATGTATGTGAACCTTGACCTTCTGGCAATCGAATATTTTGAGATGGATTACCCATGATCCCGTCATCAAGCTGTGCAGAGTTTGCAGTATTCATATCAAAGGCACTTTCAGTCAGTATTTCACTGTCATTATAATTTATAGCACTTAACATGGCATCACCTGCCCCGCCAGAAGTCTGATAACGCATAACTTGTGGTCCAGCTTGTGACGTAGTAGATGCTGGACTTGGCTGTCCCAATTCTTGAAAGGCGGAGACAGCCAATATATGTAATGGGGACATTTCTTTCAAATCAGACATACTCAAATCAGTACGTTCATAGGATTTTATGTCTCCTTTGCTATCAACGAAACTATTATCACTCATCTTTGAAAACTGAGAATTTGATTTATTAATAAAATTGTCTTTTTCTTCTTTTAAAGAAGACATATTTGACAAGTCGTCGAGGCTAAATTGTATAGGTCCTGTGAATGCGAATGGCAATTGCATTGAAACACTGTTTGAGTCGAGAAATGCTGGAGAATTTGAAATATCTGATGATTGTGGGGTAGCAAATTGTAAACTAAGGCCTTCCATTTTCTTTCTTCCTGGTAAATCTTCTGATTCATCTGTCCCTGACTGCCCTTCTTCCATAGCCCACTTAACTGACACATTCCTTTGACTTTGAGCAGATGGAGGATAATACACACCCTGATTGTGTTAATATTATGCAAGTTTCTGATACAAGTGTTGGCAAGCCAAAAAGATTACATCTTGATGCTGTTCTTCACTGGAAAAAAAAAAGTTTGATTAATGTAATGCCATTTATGCAAGTCCATTTTTAGAATCAATTTGATCTCCCATATTGTTTGGTCTCGGGAATATATGTACCAATCGTACAATCCCCCTGCACTTACTAATAGAACACTACAGTTCACTAAGAAGATAACACAAATTCTTAACTTATGCTACATAAATTATGACCAGAAATCTTCCAGTAAGCAAGACTCAAAGCAAGGCCTATTATTATTTCTTGGGAGAAAACTCTTACAAAACTCTTTCAACTCTATAATATTAACGATTTGAATTTGAGAATGTACAATCGTAATATAGCCTGTTGTTAAGATTCTGTAAAGACTAAAAGAGTAAAATGGATTGTTTAGTTAATGGGACGTTGCTACAGACACATGCCTATTTAATAATTCTTATCAACTTTAATAGTTTTAAAATCTATAATAGCATGAGATGAGCTAACCAGATACCATAACATTGTGTAGTACGGTAACTTTATTTTAGGTTGGGCTCAAAGCATTACAATGTGTTTATCTAGATATTGTACACATGTAGCTTCTTTGCCTGCATATTAGTAAGTGTCCGATTGCTTCCCTGCACATGGCGTCAAAAGTTTATGGCGGTATCATAAGTAGTGAATTAACTTATTATACACCTGACAAAAATACTGTCATCAACCTTGCCTCGATGACAAATCCATAAATTAAAATATTACCTATAAACTATTACAAAATCCACCAGGCTGGGATTTCCTCAAGATTTATTAAGTCCAAAAGTAACAAAAATAAATATCCCCAAAAATGTTGAAATGGTTAGTAAATATCTAATCATGTTTTTCGAGAGAAAGTGTAAAACTCCAGTAAATGACAATTTCGTGATCGAAATAAAATACTGCCGTGTTTTGATTTGATGCTGATCTCATAATCATTTTGACAGGTGATAATAATACCACGTATGAAAATAAGCAGACGACATACATTTACACTTATTGTCTGACAATTAATGAAATTTAAGTGTTATTGTCAAATATATATATTAGTGTATACGATGCTATACTTTGATATTTCATACACAATTTCATATGAATCGTCATATACTTTTCTTGCATATTTACGATTGCGCGAACGTGTGTTTATTTTTGTGCCAATACGTGACCTCTTCAAGCCCCAAACACGCTTTATTTACAACCGCACGTGCATTGAACCCTTTGTCATCGGAATGCTGGATAATTAAACTGTTGCATTTTCTTACCTATGAAGTTGAAAAACGCTATTTATTAAATACTGCAGAATATAAAATTGACAAAATTAGGCCAAAAGGTACGGCCATAGATTGCCAAATCCTGACAACACAAATATTCTTACACCGTCATATAATTAGTTCCTGGAACACCCACCATTTCCTTTTGAAATATATATCTCAAAAGAATAAAAACATAATATCTTTAAAATATACATTCCAATTACTACTCATGGAATAAACCCTATCATTTTAAAGAGAATTAGATAAAATAACAAACATATGTGTATTAATATATGTGTTTTTCCGGATAGTAAACAGGTTTTGTAAAGTAGTGCATGACGTCAGCTATTCACGCGCATGTTCAATTAACGTGACGTCAGATACGATTGACATGGCGGAAAAGTCTTCGAGAAATATGCCATCATACGATTCACCCCCGGGTGAGTATGCAAATTCTGCCCATTCTGTACACCCTTACTAACCAATATATTACCATTAAACCTTTTATTAACATAGAATTTGAATTTTTCCTGATTATTGACATAAGTTCACAACGACTACTGAAATTTTGTTGGTTTACAACGGATTTGTCTACTTTCATCAAGTTTTATACATCCAGAATCAGAAGATTCCCAATCACGTTACACTAACATGATAAGGATGAGGGAGTTAAAAACATATACACAACAATAACCATCCATTAGACATTTTATATGTTTCATGATTATATACTGTAAATTAGATTGAGTATTTAAAGAATCATCAATAATTGTAGCAGACAGTACAATTTTTTATTGACCTTGTCCTTGGCTTGGACTTGGACTTGGAAATTAATAAAATTATATTCATGGACCCAATAAAATCAAAGTTCATTGAGTGACACCAACAGCAGTTCTATATTCATGTAGTCCTTGGCGATGCATTGGATATTGTTAATGTGATAAACCCATTGCAAATTACTCCATGGGCTCCAAGAAATCTCTGCACTAGCTAGAGTCTAGAGTATCCTAACACAGTGAGTTAGCGCCTATATTATATACCTACCATATTGCTATTGTTCCATTCTGTTTTGAAAGATAATTGTGAATTGGAGAAAAAAGTACCATAGTTTCTGTAATATTTTCTCTACAACAGAGGTATCTTGATGACTGACCCAATGTGCTTATTCATCCTGGCTGTGCGGTTTGGTGGTGTAGTGGTATAGTGGAATAGGCTAACGCTTGTGGGTGAAATAAGAAGCTCTGTCAATGAATCAAGTGGTGTGGTTTTAATTCCCCACTTGAACGTGACAAGGAGTTGGATCACCTGGCCAATCTCGTGGGTTTTCTGGGTCCTCCAATTCCCTCTCACTGGTAAATACCCCTATACCAAGTGAACTATTGAAATAAAAATTGAACCAAATATTTGTCCCCAAATTTCCTAGTTTGTGTTGAGTGGATGTTAAACCCCATTTTTCTCTCCTCTTCTGGCAAAATGGGAAGTGATAAAAACATTGTTCTTGTAAGTTTATTTGTTTGTTGTTCACAACTCCAATCATATAGCATGCGACCATTAATATTATTAAATGACTACTGCCTGGCATCTCCGTCTGTAGTTTTTCACATTGGTGAAAGAGAATGATTAACAGTAGTTTATAATAGTTTACATATTGAGGGAACAATAAACCAGTCGAGTCGATAGACTATGTTCACATAGATGGCTGACTTGTAACAAGTGCTGTGATATGTGCACTTTAGTCACTAGTGATCTTACATTGTATGGCATCAGCATTCAGATAACTTCCATAATACAACACGACTTACACAGACATATTGTAAAGCATTGTGAAGATGACTGTTAATAGTGGCATTTACCTTCAAAATCCACATGATGTAGATTATCCTCATGACATGGCGTCACAAATTCACAATAGAATGCTGGACACACTAGGATTAGGCTACTCTTTTGGACGACCAGATTGTTGTGTGCAGTCATTCTTTGGACGAAAAACCAAGGTGCTATGTACACATTGGCAGAGCCATAATATATTTGATTCCAATACAACACAAAATACAGATTATTTCTGTAGACAAAATTCTCCCAATTTGCCCAATTAATTATAGTACCATGTACATTTAATTGTAGACGAATCAACTCAAAGTACTGGTGGTATTGTCATTTATTGTCCCCCGCCTTTCGAAGAAAGCAGGGGACTATTAAAATGGGTTCGTCCGTCTGTCTGTCTGTCTGTCTGTCTGTCTGTCTGTCCGTCTGTCTGTCCGTCCGTCTGTCTGTCCGTCACACTTTTTGGGACACAATAACTCTCTTCCTAATTGAGCTAGAATGTTCAAACTTGGTGTATGTGTTTATTAGGTCAATGCCTTGATGGAGTTCGAAGATGAGCATTTTCCGCTTAGGGTAAGCAGAGATAAGCAATTTGATTGGTTGATGCTTTGGGACACGATAACTCTCTTCCTAATTGGGCTAGAATGTTCAAACTTGGTGTATGTGTTGATTAGGTCAATGCCTTGATGGAGTTCGAAGATGAGCATTTTCCGCTTAGGGTAAGCAGAGATAAGCAATTTGATTGGTTGATGCTTTGGGACACGATAACTTTTAATTGAGCTAGAATGTTCAAACTTGGTGTATGTGTTTATTAGCTCAATGCCTTGATGGAGTTCAAAGATGAGCATTTTCCGCTTAGGGTAAGCAGAGATAAGCAATTTGATTGGTTGATACTTTGGGGCACGATAACTCTCTTCCTAATTGAGCTAGAATGTTCAAACTTGGTGTATGTGTTGATTAGGTCAATGCCTTGATGGAGTTCGAAGATGAGCATTTTCCGCTTAGGGTAAGCAGAGATAAGCAATTTGATTGGTTGATGCTTTGGGACACGATAACTTTAGTTCTAATTAAGTGAGATTGATGAAACTTGGTGTATAGTTTCATTACAGTAATACCTTGACTAAGTTTGATAATGAGCATTTTCTGCTCAGGGTAAGCAGAGCGATACGCAATTTGATTGGTCGAGACTTTGGAAAACAATAACTCTCCTACTTTGATTGTTAGACTATAAGTAAAGATATACTGTTTGATTGTTCAATACTTTGTAAAAGATAATTTGTGATAAATTTATATGTGTCCTCTAATTATTTTCCTATTTCGGCGGGGGACATCAGCCTCACTGTTGGCTTGTTTATGACAGATGGAATTACAGCATGACATATTAAAGTTCATTTGGAAAAAGGATAATTTATGATCAGATTAATCACAGCAGTTAGACATATTTACTGGTACCTTTAATTGTCCCCCGCCTTTCGAAGAAAGCAGGGGACTATTAAAATGGGTTTGTCCGTCCGTCCGTCCGTCTGTCTGTCCGTCTGTCTGTCCGTCACACTTTTTGGGACACAATAACTCTCTTCCTAATTGAGCTAGAATGTTCAAACTTGGTGTATGTGTTTATTAGGTCAATGCCTTGATGGAGTTCGAAGATGAGCATTTTCCGCTTAGGGTAAGCAGAGGTAAGCAATTTGATTGGTTGATGCTTTGGGACACGATAACTCTCTTCCTAATTGGGCTAGAATGTTCAAACTTGGTGTATGTGTTGATTAGGTCAATGCCTTGATGGAGTTCGAAGATGAGCATTTTCCGCTTAGGGTAAGCAGAGATAAGCAATTTGATTGGTTGATGCTTTGGGACACGATAACTTTTAATTGAGCTAGAATGTTCAAACTTGGTGTATGTGTTTATTAGGTCAATGCCTTGATGGAGTTCGAAGATGAGCATTTTCCGCTTAGGGTAAGCAGAGATAAGCAATTTGATTGGTTGATACTTTGGGGCACGATAACTCTCTTCCTAATTGAGCTAGAATGTTCAAACTTGGTGTATGTGTTGATTAGGTCAATGCCTTGATGGAGTTCGAAGATGAGCATTTTCCGCTTAGGGTAAGCAGAGATAAGCAATTTGATTGGTTGATGCTTTGGGACACGATAACTCTCTTCCTAATTGAGCTAGAATGTTCAAACTTGGTGTATGTGTTTATTAGGTCAATGCCTTGATGGAGTTCGAAGATGAGCATTTTCCGCTTAGGGTAAGCAGAGATAAGCAATTTGATTGGTTGATGCTTTGGGACACGATAACTTTAGTTCTAATTAAGTGAGATTGATGAAACTTGGTGTATAGTTTCATTACAGTAATACCTTGACTAAGTTTGATAATGAGCATTTTCTGCTCAGGGTAAGCAGAGCGATACGCAATTTGATTGGTCAAGACTTTGGAAAACAATAACTCTCCTACTTTGATTGTTAGACTATAAGTAAAGATATACTGTTTGATTGTTCAATACTTTGTAAAAGATAATTTGTGATAAATTTATATGTGTCCTCTAATTATTTTCCTATTTCGGCGGGGGACATCAGCCTCACTGTTGGCTTGTTAATTCCAAATGTTTGTAAACAGGAATGTATTTTTTGTTTCAAAAGAAATCAGTTGTTTCCCTTGAACCATTCTTTTTTTTTGAATCAATCATTAAAATTAAAGGGGCATTATGGAAGATTAGATAAAGAGCTGGCAGTTCTCACTATACTATATATAATAGTTAAAAACTAGATAATGTGTGTTATTGGTGTTTCAGTCAATAAGCTGAAAGGAATTAGTTTACATTTAATGCAGATATTAGAATATTATTGTAAATCACAGGCTTAGTTTAATTCAATGTATTACTACTAGTACTACATGAAGGACATTACATGTTTAGCTGTAATATTGTATATATTCAGCTGCTGTGCTCAGTGTATTATAATAAGGAGTCAGGATATCAAGTCATGAACAATGTGCTCAAAAATAGATAGCCTCTTGTTTTTGATGAAAAAATGTTACCCTTGTTAATATTACTGATTAGTCAAAATTAAAGATACATTATGGGAGATTATATAAAGAGCTGGCATATTGTAAAGGGAATTTTCTGAAAATTTCTGTCAAATTGATCCACTCTGAACCAAGATTTTAGCGATTGAATTTTCGGTTTAGCCTCGATCATCATTACAAAAGTTGGTACGATTATCCATTTTATTATTAAATCACGAATGGAAGTTGAACAGCAAATCGGAACCTAATCCAATAAACATCGCAGACTATCGATGACATTGAGAGTTGATTATGGTCTGGATAAGTTAATTAATGTCTAATTAATAATTTAGATAACATTTCAGGCCTAAAGACAGACCTGCAATAGGCAGATTTAGCTCTTGCATAATGTATGTTTAAAGTAGCTAAGTCTCTAACTCAATATCATCCAAAATCTTCGACATTGAAAACACAAATTATTTGTCAATTTAAATCAACATTGATGTTGTGATGTTACCGGGAAAAGATGGGCTTCTAATATACAATATTTAAGACAAAATAAACATTTTACCATTGGTACACGAAACGTGTACCATAATGCATTTCAGGCCCATTCTAACAAGGGACTCGAAGAACGAGGCTAGACGTTCAACAAGTCATGTCAAACGGTGACGGCATATTCATATCGGGAGAGTATGCGCAATAAATACTATGTAGACTAGAATAACCAGACGCTAGAGATTTTCATTCGAATGAGACTTCTGACATATTTCGCCGAACGTAACTGATTTGAAAAATGGAAACGATTGAATGTAAATCAGTTTATATATATTCCTATTACATTATCATTACGACCCATTTGTATCAATTTCGAGGTTCAATTAAGTAGGCCTACTCATTATTCTTTTTATTATTGTTTATATAATTTGAGTTAATTTGACTGATCATTGATATTGTTTCTTGAGCATTGACCTTAGTAGCAAGGTCAGGATATTGATTCTTTCATTAAGAATTAAAATTATCATCAGATAATATAAACATTTCTTGTTGTATAGTAAAGATGGATGAGTATTCCAGTTAAAACCAATCATGTACCACTGTAAATACTGGGAGAAAATTTTAATAATACAAGTCCAGAAGTTCAAGTTTTCAGAACTGAAAAATTGTATTTAATTTACAGTTCATAAAAAAATAAAGTAACAACTGTGATAAATGGACACCAATTATAAAGAAGAAAGTCTTTTAGAATCTTAAGAGAAATTAATTAACTTTAAATAAATTTAAATAAGCATATAATACAAGAAATCATTTTTTGTTTACATACATTTACTTTGTATTTGTACACACCAAATCATGTTGTTTCCATGGATGTCACAACTTTGCAAATTTATTATTGATTGACATTATTAGTAATAAGTAGGCCTATATATTTGAATTAAGCATATGACCGTGGACTGGTAATAGTAATAGCCTTCTATACTGATGTAACCTATATAATGTTATCAAACCAACTCCTAGCTAAAACTGATCTATAGACTTTAGTACTGTGATCAACCGTAGGTTCACTCACATTGTACGTGTTGTGGTTAGTGAAAGATATTAACTATACATGTGCAGTATTTGATTACTGGAGGATAATATATTATGTCCGGTGAAATCGGGGAGGATACATGTGACTGTAAGACCTTTTTGTTTACTTTTCTTCAGTGTTTTGTTTTCCTAGCCTGATAACAGCCTTGAGTTTAGTTTATAGATATGACAGCATTATTGAGACAAAGTTTTCAAATCAATAATGTTCCAAATAAGCCAGTGTTCAGTTTGTTCTTTTGGATAGTAAGCTTATATGGAATAAAACTCAAATGTTTTTGAGATGATTAGTTATAAATAAGAGGTCGATCACGGTCAAATTTGACCTACAGTAAACATGTCCATTTCTATATCTGACAAACAGATGTCAAATTTTCATACAAATGTAAACAATTTTATAATTTAAATAGGATTGGTCTTTGTATTGTGATTTAGCCAGGTACGAAATTACATGTAAGCTTATTTATTTGGTTTCAAAACCCAGTTTTTGAAAACTGAAGATAGAATTGACTCTGGCGACTGCGTTATGATTATTCATACAAGTAAATAGATAATATATATGAAGTCAGATGCGTTGATCGTCATACTATAAATAGTCCACTGTCGGTTTCTCGACTATAGTGTGCGAGGTTCTGATCCCAACATGAGCTGAGAAGAGTCGTCAAGATTTTCCAAGCCTGGTTCTTACAACTAATAACAGTAATAAGGAAAGTGATTAGTTGTCCGGAACACAAAACTGAGGTCCATATGTGTTTGTAAAATACTTCTCGGTACATGACAGTACATGTAGTTCGATTTCAATAAAGAGTAGGCAGAATTAACACTGCTGCCTGGGTTTAATTCTCTTCAAAATTTCACATGTAGTGTAAACCATTGAAACGAAAAATTCCATGTTAGTCTCAAATGATTGAAGTATTTTGTTGACAAGATGTTGAACCCTATTCCTTTTCATACACTATTGCTTGCTTTTTGACTAGAGTTTCTTGCATATCAATCAGAAGTTTAAACTACTTGAGTAAAATGGTTAGCATCCATCAGTTAAGTCGTTCACCTGTTGCAGGTGTCAGTCAAATGATAATTACCTTATTATTGATATAAGTATTGACATTTGCTACCTAATCAATTGATTATTGATTTTATCAGTTAACGAACAGTATGTGAGTCAACAAAGTTTGAGCTACAATAGTTATCATGTAGAATTTAAATGTATTAATGGATATCTTTTTGTCCCCTGACTTTTTACAGAAAGCATAGAGCTATTAAAATGCGTTCATCTGCCCATCCGTCCGCCTGTCACACTTCTTGGGCACAATAACTCTCTTTCTGATTGAGCTAGAATGTTCAAATCTTTGTTGTACATTACCCGAATGCCTGCACAAAGTTTAATAATAGTCATTTTCTGCTTAGGCGTATCAGAGATAATCAATTTGATTGGTCAAAACTTTAGAAGAACACAGTAACTCTACTTTTTCGTCTTTACAACAATTAAGTTCGATAATGAGCATTTACTGATTAGGTTAAGCAGAAGAGTGATCAGTAATTTGATTGGCCAGTGCTTTATAAAAAGATATCTCTGTAGGTAATTAATGAGTGTAATAAGTAATTTGGGATTGAGACACCAGCCTCACTGTCAGCTTGCCTTTACAATCAACTCATGACATTGTACTTACAGTTACATCACTAATACAACCTATTTACACTTGTATAAAAACAACTTTGCATGTTGATATTCCTCCCAATGTAAATAATGAAAACTAAGTATAATTCATGTTATAAATCAGTGAATGTTAGTGAATTGTTATTTTTATTGTTATTAATCAATGAATACCTTAGAATTAATGAACCTCGTTCAATAAATTGATATTAACATGTTTTATTGATATTTTATGTGCTACATGCGACATATGTTTATATTATAATATATATTAATATTATAAACTATAAAATATTGAGGCATTTGTCTTTAAGTTTGACTGTAACTATCATCTTTAATACTGGGCAAACACTTTTTACTTTACTCTAATTAAATCTCAAAGGTCAGCCGATCTTTAACATGAGGTATTCATGTACCAGTACGTGGGACCTCAGATGTTCATATTATCCAAACAACTACAGCTGTATTCACCCTCCATCCTGCACAACTGACATCGGGAGAACACTGGGATCGCAAACTGGGAGCTCCTAGTTAGTTAAATAGCAGTGAGCACCATATTCTTTAGCCATCCACCCATTCAGGTCTGGACTTATGACACTTGTCAAAGACTTTCTCAAGTACAAATTAGAACCCATGATAGGAGAAAAAGAGGCCATCAAAAGGAAGATGTACAAATTTAATAAATTCAGAACTCTTTTGACAATCTTCAATGTCATGTTTGATTTCTTCTTTTTTTTCAGTATCAGCCACAGGAGCACCATTAAAAGGTTATCCAATACAAGTTGTTGTTGCTAACGATGATCATACTTTTGGACTTGATGAGGAATCACTGGAAAATGTTCTACTCAAACCAAGCATCAGAAATAAAAAGGTGGTCATTGTCTCGGTTGCTGGAGCTTTCAGAAAAGGCAAATCCTTCCTTTTAGATTTCTTTCTGCGTTATTTGAGTGCAAAAGTAAGTAATCTTATCATTACTGGACATTTCAAAAGCAGAACTTAAATTTTTACATTGCATGTTGGGCATGCTGACCCTTCAGTAAGGTACATTTTACATTTTGAAACAGATACAGTGATTTACCAGATCTTGGATGGAAACCAATTTCAATATTTCTTGTAATTGTTTTATTATTGTTGGCAATGGCCAATTGATGTGGAATAGTTTAGTTACATACATGACATGTATATCAAGGGATATTGGTATATCAAATATGTTGTGGAACAGAAGAGGGAGATAGAGAAATGGATTTTAATGTTCAACTCAACCTAGGTCATTTGTCATTTCGGGATTTTATTTTAATAATTTGCATTATGTAGGGTTCTGTAGCAGTGGGAAGAAGCCAGAGGACCTGAAGAAAACTCACAATAGACATGCGATCCAATTGTCACATACATATACAAGTGTGGGATCAAGACCATGCCACTACTAGAGTCAATGACAACAACAGGCAGGTAGAACGTAGTTAATATGGGTTTAACAGTTCTATTTATCTTTTATAGTGTTCACCAGATTGGATGGGAGGAGATGATTCTCCTCTAGAAGGATTTTCTTGGAGAGGAGGATCAGAAAGGGACACAACTGGTATTTTATTATGGAGTGAACCTTTTATCTGTCGTATACCTTCAGGTGAAGAGGTGAGTATTTATCAGAAGTGTGTTTATCTTTGTCAAGATATATATAGAATATGGTCAAAACAAGTCGGCATCAACTGTTATTATCATAGAACATTTTTGGCGGACCTCTTTTTTAATATGATTGAATTAAGTTAGTAGATTATCTACCATTTATGTTTTCATTTTGTTTTCTAAATTAAATGTTAAATAATCAATTTCAGTAGATTTTTAGGGTTTATTAAGTGGTGAAAAATGACAATTGGCTATTTTAATGGTAATTGCATTATATTATATAACAATAAAAGTCACTATAAGTAAACTTACACATACTTCAAACAAGGTTACAAACAAAACAAACCTCTGACCAAATTGTGTGAAGCTACCCGTACATGTTCCATTTATAAGATATATTTATTGCAACTTAAAGATACATTATGGGAGATTAGATAAAGAGCTGACAGTTCTCGCTATAATAGTTAAAAACTAGATAATGTAAAGGTAATTTGTTGAAAATTTCAGTCAAATTGGTCCACTATGAACTGAGATATCAGCTTTGTAAATTTCCACCTAGCCTCGTTCATCATTACTAAAGTTAGTACGTTAAAAAGCATAGTCTCGATTATCCATTGTTTTGATTTAATTATCAATAAGCGTTTGCAGCATATAGGATTCTAATCTAGTCGATATCGAAGGCTAGCCTTGGCATCAAGAGTTGATTATGGTCTGGATAACTTAATTAATGTCTAATTAATAATTTAGATAAGATTTCAGACCTAAAGAAAGACCTGCGATAGGCATAATGCATGTTTAACTAGCGTAAAAGTGTATTATGAAGTGAGCAATAAGCTTACAGAATAACTATTGTTTAAATTCTCATTGATTTAACGTTGGTGTTTGCAGAAAGTCAAGTGGTTCATAAACTACAAATAATTTATATATCAGGATAATTAATTCATGGAATTTAGCCAAAGAAACTATAAATTACAGTTGAGTTGGCCTAGTATTTTATACTAGAAGTAATTTGATTGATATTATTGAAAGAAAGTGAGATTTGGTAACAGCTGGTATTTGTACTATAGTATGTACACCGATATTGCATTGTTAGTAATCTATTATATTTTATAATCATGATTATACCAGTATTTATTATTATTACAAAATATTTATGTAATATTGTCCTCAACAAAGTTCTTTGATGCTATTTATGTACTTAAGATGTTATCAAAATATCTGGATGATAAAATTATGTAAAACAAAGTACATGTAAATCAATTTAAGATATGAATGATAAAACACATATAAAATACAAGATACATAAATGGAGTTTAAAAAAAATGAATATTAATCAAAACCCTGTTAAATGGGGTTTTCATTTTGACTCAAACTTCCCAAAGATAACTGTGGATTGGCTATTTAGTAAATTAAAAGGAAGGCTACCTTACATTTCACATGTAACCATAGAAATTATTATTTTGTCTACATTTTAAATCCTGTTCCATGCAAGTCTTACATCACTGAACTCTGTGTAAAGATTTTACATTTAATATTAATACATGTTCTATAGCAACAATGACTTTAATAGTGATATATCCTGTTTTTCTGGACAATGGTAAAATTATTGATTGTTCATTGAATGACTTGTCAAACATGTTAATTGAATCAGAATTTTCAGTTTAAAGGAGCTACATCGCTAATATTTGGGACCTAGAAATTGGCCCAAATGGGTAGCAACGCATATAGTAATGTAATCTGATTGTATATAAACTGATTTACATTCAATTGTTTCCGTTTTGCGAAATACGGCATGAGTCTCAACCGAATGTCAATTTCTAGCGTCTGGTTATTCCAGTCTATTGCGCATGCTCTCCAGATTATGGCGTCACTGTTTGACACAAGGAGTATTAATACTCCTAGGTTTGACATGAGTTGTGGAATATATCTAGCCTCGTTCTTTCTGGTCACTTGTTACAAATGACGCTGAAACGCACTCATGGTAAAATGTTTATTTTGTCTTAAATATTGGATATCAGAAGCCTACCTTTTCCTGGTAAGATCACAACATCAATGTTGATTTGAATTGACAATTCAAGTTTTCAACGTGTAAGACTTTGGATAATATTGTGTTAGAGACTTAGCTCCTTTAAGTAGAACTTTTATATTATGATATATTGTCTATAAAACATTTCAAATAAATTTGTATACTAATCTTTTAGGTAGCAATTTTATTAATGGATACTCAAGGTGCGTTTGACAGTGAGTCGACTGTACGTGATTGTGCTACTGTTTTTGCTCTCAGTACAATGATTAGTTCAGTTCAGGTATGTCAGATACAAATAGAATTTATTTTTAGACAAATTATCTTATTGAGGGGGTGTTATTTGAACGAGTGTGAAAAAGATGGCAATCTTGTGATGTGCAATCTTACCATCATATTTGGGGTGGCTCTTCAAAAAGGTTTAGACAAGGTTATCTTATTGAGGGAGCGTTATTTGAACGAGTGAAAAAGATGGCAATCTTGTGATGTGCAATCTTACCATCATATTTCGGGTGGCTCTTCAAAAAGGTTTAGACAAGGTTATCTTATTGAGGGAGCGTTATTTGAACGAGTGTGAAAAAGATGGCAATCTTGTGATGTGCAATCTTACCATAATATTTGGGGTGGCTCTTCAAAAAGGTTTAGACAAGTTTATCTTATTGAGGGAGCGTTATTTGAATGAGTGTGAAAAAGATGGCAATCTTGTGATGTGCAATCTTACCATCATATTTGAGGTGTCTCTTCAAAAAGGTTTAAATGTGAAAGTCGTGACGTTGTCTTCAGGTCTCTTAGTTTGTACAAAATGCAGGAAGCGAACTCAAAGTGCAAGAGAAGGAAAAGAAGATTAGAAACAAAGCAAGTAGTTTGTAATTTGTGTATTTCATCACCTAATCAGCTTAGTGTACAAAAATACATTGACACGATCAAGCCTGAACATAAGGCACCTGTCACAGACTTGCACATGATTACAATCGGCTTTCTTTTCTGCAACATACAACATTAAATTAAAAATGGCATGTGTGTGTAGATAATGAAATTATCACAAGATAAACAAGGTCTATAATTCAGGTTGGTTGCACATGAATATATATATATTAAACAATTAGTGTGTTTATAACCTGGTTACTAGTGGTAAATTATTTGAAATTGCATAACCTTATTGTTAAATTGCATATTATTTATTTGATGATGACAGGTTTTCAACTTAACACAGAACATACAAGAAGACGACTTACAACATTTACAGGTAAACAATATAACTTATTGACTTAATTAATTAATAACATCTACATGTACCATATACAAGATGAAATATATCACTACCTGAAATCAGAGACTGTCGAACTCTATAAGTTATCACATTTATTACCTATAAATGTGATTCTTCAAGCCTGATTTGTCATCTGTAGAACCAAGTAACGGGAATGTAGCTATGTAGATAACAGTTCATTTAAATGACTTTTTTTTTTTTGATATACTGTATTTACCTTGATTTATAGTTATTTACTGAGTATGGAAGATTAGCCTTAGAAGCCAATGATAATGTTTGCAAACCATTTCAAGTAAGTTTACAATAAAGATATAATCTATTAGCGGTATTAGTACCTGGATAATTACACATACTTATGGAAAAACAGCTACTTATTTATTTGGGCGACGTTTCGAAGAGTATTCTCTCAAAGTTTTCAAGTTAATACAGTAATACAAAATTATAACAACAAAACACATAGTTTTATATTATCCATTGAAGTACTTAGGCTTGTGATATACATTTGATATTTGTAAAAGTAGGGTTATCTCCCATTTTTGAATTTTATTAAGTAGTTATTTTCTGTGATTTAATGTCGTGAGATTTGATTTTGGCAATAAATTTGGCATGTAAAATATAGAAAGCCAGTTTCAGCCCTGGTTACAAGACATAGTTTATTATATTTTCCTTCAAATCATCTTTTAATTCATCCTTAAAATACTTTTGATTTTTCAGAAATTAGAATTTCTTGTCCGTGATTGGAGCTTTCCGTATGAAGCTGGCTATGGTAGTGCTGGTGGAAAGAAAATTATGGAACGACGATTAACAGTAAGATTTCTTTTATTTTAATATTGTATTCTTGATAGTGGACTGCTAATACAAAGTTAAATGATAATATGTTTACATTTTTGTACACTTTTCTTTTTACGATATCTTAAAAAATTAGGTACCGGTAAACATGATAATATGTTTACATTTTCGTACACTTTTCTTTTTTCGATATCTTAAAAAATTAGGTAAACTAAAAGTTACTAAAAATTAATAAGTTATCAAAACAGGTTGCATAGTCTTGGGGAAAAATAAAGAAAGGGTGTATTACTTATATTATTATGCGTGGTAATATCATTTGTATGATAATATATTGTAATTTACAGTTTTAGCAAATTTTCAAATAGCAATTACAGTGGACAGTCATAAATATCAAATGATTATACTTTTACAATGGACAGTTACAAATGTCAAATGATTATACAATTACAATGGACTTGTGTCATTATACAAGAAAATGTTTGAAAATTTCAGGTTTCAAACAAACAGCATCCAGAATTACAGCAACTTCGTCGTCATATAAGATCTTGTTTTGATGATATCTCATGTTTTCTTTTACCACATCCTGGTCTAAAAGTTGCAACAAATCCTCATTTTGATGGCAGATTACGAGGTTGGTAATCAGAATTATAGAAATCATATCTTGTCTTTGATTTCAGTGTGACAGGTAGTGGGAAATGATTTCTAAAACAAGACCCAATTTAGATAAACGCTGCTGAACATTATTTGGGGGATTTAAGATCTCTTGCAAAGTAAGATATTGGCAAAGTTTAGTTTCTAACAGGAATATCAATCTTTTGATGGGCATCTGTTTTAATCTGATTGACTCCAAACCAAGAGATAATCTACCGTGATATTTTGGTTTTGATTTTTAATTGATTTTTAAAATAATTGATTTGAGCCCATTTAATTGTGGATTAAGTTATGAAAATTTAGATATTGTCTAAGAAATGCAGTCAAAGTCAACTACTTTAAAAGATTTTACAATGATATCCTTACCATCAAATAATTTAAAGTTAAGATAAAATTTTTTTTCATATAATATTGTATTAAGTTTGGTTTGTATTTTTTAAGTGTTCATGTTTTGTAATGGTTGATTAATTTTGTAGTTGTACATGATTATCAGTAGGATGTTAAACCCCATATCATTTTGTTCTGTTACTGTTAATGTTTTATAATTGTTTCTTTGTAGATATTGAACCAGATTTTACGGAACAACTACAGATATTAGTGCCTTTATTATTATCACCTGAAAATCTTATTGTTAAAGAAATTAATGGCACTAAGATAACCTGTCAAGATCTTGTTGAATATTTTAAGGTAAAAACCCTGTCAGTAAATGTATAGCTCACTATCTCATAACTCTGTGTTCTTCAATAGTGTAATTTGGTTCACAATACTCGATTGCTGAGCTTAAATTCCAATTAGATGATTTTCTGCTAATTTTGACTGCCATTTCATACAATTTTCTTTTTACCATTTCATGCCTTAAAAAAATTATCAGAACACACACAGGGGTTGGTGTTGTAATGTTTTAGAAATACAGAATGTGCACTAATAACACCTTTTAGTTAATAGTGTTTTAATTGGTGCAGTTACACACAGGTTTCTTTGATATTGTGTAATGTAAATATTATATTAAAATATTAGGTATAAATTAATTTTAGGCATAACAGCATTCTAAACTTTATAAAATGTATTTCTAGACATGAAAATATTTATCAGATGTTATATTTTTAGGCATATGTGAATATTTATCAAGGGGAAGAACTACCAGAACCTAAATCCATGCTTCAGGTGAGTATTTAATCTATTACCTGAGACCTGAGACTTTCATTCTTTCTATTTAAAAAAAAAATGAAAACTTTTGCATTACTTTAGATGGTTCTACACTTTGATTAGAAACTTTTAAGGAGACGTTTTTGATTAAACAATGCTGATTTGAATATTTCAGGCAACAGCAGAAGCGAATAATTTAGCAGCCGTAGCTGCCTCTAAAACCATATACAACAAAGAAATGGAAGAGGTAAGAAAGAGAAAAATTGTATTAGTTTGGTTTGGAGGGTTTTTTTTTGTCTCTATGGCATATCAGACAGATTCAGTGACTAATAAATGTGATTATCCAACATACTTAGTGCTGATATCAAGTTTGTCAATGAAATCCTCTGCCACCGAAAGTTGCTATATGAACTAAACTTCCTTGTCGCAAATTTGATAAAAATGATGTCAACATGTCAATTTAGTAACCAAATTAATACCTGTTTCCTACCTTTAAAAATTATATAATGATTTGATAATATTTATTGTAATTGTAAGAAATTTATTAAAATTGAATTTCATATTTTGATTATTTATCTTAGATATGTGGAGGAGAAAAACCGTACATGAGTCCTGACCAATTACAGAGAGAACATGCACGAGCCTTAGACAGAGCTATGGATTCTTTTTCGGCAACGAAAAAGATGGGAGGTCCAGAATTCAGTGAAGCTTTCTCAATAAAACTCAAAGAAGAAATCCTGGAAGCTTACGACCAATTAACCAAACATAACGAGAGTAAAAATCTTTTTGCTGCTGCTCGAACGCCTGCCGTGTTATTTACAGTAATGGTGGTGTCATATTTATTGGCTGGATGTTTTGGTGTTATAGGACTTGAATCAATAGCTAATTTATTAAATCTGGTTATGGTAGGCTTCCTGGTATTAATGGCTACCTGGTTATATGTGCGATATTCTGGTGAATATAGACATGTAGCTGTACAGATAGATCTACTGGCTGATCATATCTGGGAAAAGGTAAGTCAACATAAAAGAATAATTGCCTTCCTTTACTGAAATCAGGGGGGTTGGATAGCAGAATGGTTAGCACGTGCATGTTGTATCATAAGGTCTGTCATTGAGTCAACTGGTGTGGTTTCGATTCCCTGGTTGTATGTGACCAGGAGTAGGGTCGCCTGTCCAACATTGTGGGTTTTCTCCGGGTACTCCAATTTCCTCCTGCTAAAGACATCTAAGCGCAAGCGAATTATTGAAATAAAATTGAGCCATGTGTTAGTCCCGAAATGACCTAGTTTGTTTTGAGTGAATGTTAAACCGCATTTCCCTCCCCCCCTCACTGAAATCTATCATCCCCCATCCTCCCTCCATTGAATTATGTTTTTGGTGTGATGTTAAGATTACAGATAAATTTTTGAATTTCTGGAGTAGCTCTATGTTTGCAATGAACTTTCATCTTTTAGAATAATTTTAGTATTCGACTCTCTACTTTCTGTTATGTTACAACCAATCACAATTTTGTCAGGAAAGATGGCCTTCATAGATTAAATTTAATAATAAATATTTTTGTCTTCTGTCTTTTACAGTTGTTGGTACAAATTTATTCTAAAGCTGTACATCAGGGTACTCAGCATTTATTAAAAAATAAAGTCAAGACCAGTTAGACATCGTGTTAGGGAGATGGAACTATTTATCATGCTTGAAAGCTTGCCCTAGTTATCTTCTCTACGCATTGGACAAAACAGAACTTGGAGGTTCCATCTGAAAATAGAAAAATTACAGCTTCAAGGACTGTATTTGTATGAGAGTATTTTAGTTAGAAAATGATTATTTCAACCAAGAAATTTCCATGTTTTAATGGATTTCAGTCGACAGGAACTGGTTGTGTTCATATTTTCCTCTGTGTTTGTGTAAAGAATGTGTTTGAAATTGACATGTGATCCCATCTCACCATGAGCCTTATCAAAACATTTGCTGCAGCTTTTTGATGTGTAGCCTCACTAATATTGGCATGATAAAAAAAAAAGAGTTTGGATTATCTCACAGATATAACTCGCTTTAATTCTAGTTTTCTTTTAATTAATCTGTTATTACCACTTCAAGTACTATAATAATGAAAATATCGGTTTATATTTTAAATGAATCGAATATTTGAATAATGACACAGAATATTTGAATAGTAAATTTTATTCCATTATTTATTATTTTGTTGAAGTAAATATTAATAAAAAAAATGATTTTGAAAATAAATTTATAATTATTTATATACATAGATCTTCCAATATATGATCAACTAAATTACTATTAACGATGCATTATGTAAGAATATAGAGCTGCTTGTTCTTGTGGTAACAGTTTAAAAACAATGAAAAATGAATATATTGAAAATTATAGTATAATTACTTTTTTCTGAGCAAAGATATGAACGGTTAAAATTTTGACAAGAAATAGTCTCAATTGTCAAGTACCATTGGCATGACAATAAATGAAGTCTGGATTATCCATTTTATGGTTAAAGTAGTGTTCTTATTCTTCAATCGGCAGTCTCAGAGAGTGGCATCCATATTAATGTTTAACAAAGGAATGACAGGCATTGTCTACTTCACTCAATATCTTAGCAATCTAGAGAGTTTTATTATATGCTTGTGATGTGATTAAATGTCTAAATAATAATTATAACATTTAAAGCCAGGAAAAAGACCTGCAATATGCAGATTCAGCTGTTACATAATGTCTCTTTAATCCGTCTAAATCTGTATTAAAGGGCCCATCCTGATTTTAACAGTCTCAGAAATAAAAGTGTGTACATATGAAATTTAAGCACCAAATATAGAGGAATGGTGTATTTACCTTGTCTCAAATTGTAAGCTCAAAATATTGAGTCGTTTTTACATGAACGTCAAAACCGCTTATCTGGACACGTAACCCTTTTAAGATTTTGGGTCAATTTTTTCGTTGGATGACCTGTTAATCTATTGCCGTTCCTTTCGAGGTCTATACAGTGCATAACACACGTGCTGTACTTGATAACAAAAGGTAAATTTCACCTACACATTATATTTATGAAATAAGTCTGGTTTTATCCAGACACTGCTTGGGACTCCAGTTTCCATTTCCAGATGAAGACTAACAGTATAAGTTTGAGGATCTAAGGGCTTTTAACACAAAATTAAGCAGTTTTATTCTCAAAAATATAATCGAGATTGGTCCTTTAAATTTTAGTTGTAATTTGATTGCTAGATTTAAAGACATGTTATATCTGTGTGATTAAAGGTTATTTTATTTATAGTATATCATAATGTTTTTGTACATGTATATAGTAATTTGTTATAGTGTTATATAGAAATACTACCAACTGTTGCTCATTATTGTTAAAATACAGTTACAAATATTTCATTGAATTATCTTTAATATTAAGATGTAAAAAAGGCCATTTACTTGCTTATATTAAGTTTTATTTAGAGATTTTCAACGAAATTTTGATCGAATTTGAAGAAATTATTGATTTTAAATGCCATTTAGATGATTAACTGTCTCTAAGGATTAGCGTTGATAATTATTAATTAAATATTGTGAGATTATCCTATCGTCGTAATTTTGTTAAATAAGTTATTCTGGATACAAATAATTTAGTTTGTGTTGTTTCAGCAAAGTATGTGCCCATTCATATTTCATCATAATATCATTTGTATATTTGTTATAATATAACTCCAATTTTCTACTGTGATCCAAGTTTTTGTATTGTACATAAAGATATAGATAAAGTATAGGAGTAGATATAACATAGAATTATATAATAAAATTATTAGTTTAGTTTAGAAGTAGCTCATCACTTTTAGTTTTAGTTCAACATTTGTCTTGTTCCGACGTAATCTTATAGCAGAAAGACCAGTTTTGTACTATATTTGATTAACTTGAACCTGAATCTTTGTGTATGATGTCATTTCCTGTTAGAGAATTCATTTTGTTTGTATACAGTTGGTGTAGGCATATAAATTCATATCTTCAACTTGAAAACTACTACATGTACAACTACTCTTGTCTGCAATAGAGTTGATGTTAGAATTCTTAGTTAATGACTTCTTGCTTGTTAAGATTATATGTGCATGCTATCTTGCATTGAACAAATAATCTTTTAGAGGCATTTAGTAACTGAATAGAGCAATAAACTATAACACATACTTATGAAAAAACAATGAGAGAATGCTCTTCGAAACATTGCTTAAATAAATCAGTAATTGTTCTTATATAAGTATGTGAACAAACAACTCTATTTCAATCAAGGGTGAATACATTGTCGTAGTTTCAAAATTGACATTTGTGAAGATTATCAAACCCAAGTCATGACTGGTTTGTGTATTTTATTTCTCATAACTAAGTAATATAGCTTATTACAAATATATGTCTGTTTGCTTATTGGTACCACCACTAAGAATAGGTAATTAGAATTCCATAGATCATTTCATCTTTAGATGACCAGTGTTTGTATGATCTCAGTTAAACTCAATTACCTCCCTTGAAATTATTTCGTATTGACCATTTTTGTTGTAACTTTTAGAAATTAGCTTTACCTTGGTTCAAACTTACACAGAAGACAGCAAAATACTAAAGATTTCATTAATTACATTTTAATTTCTGCATGGTTTTTGTACACTGTGTAGCTTTTTCTAAAATTATTTCATTATGTCCTATTTTGCCGTTTATTTGTGAAGGAATTTGTGTTTACCTATTGCCCACATTTTATAGCACCACGATAAGTTATATTTTTGTAAATTGGCACAGGCTTATAGCACTACTAGACCCGTAGCTATTGGCTGTTTAATTTAAAGCTTTATTAGAAATTTTATTTTTGAGACTAATGCATTCCACATAATATTTGTATGGTATCTTTCCTATATTATGAATATATTATTTGCAGATATTGTTTGCATAAAGGATATTAGAATTTTGAAGAAATATATACCTTGTGTTAATATTTGTCAGATGCATGCCTAATTTCACTTTATTTTTTGTTGAATCCTGTTCCTTAAGATGTCTAGATGTGAATCCAGTCAATCCACACAATATATTTTTATGAACATCAGTTTATAATTTTTATTTTATAAAAATGGGTTTGAGAATTGGAATTATTAAATCTTGTTATGGATTCCAATGAGAATATTCTGAACAGAATTCTGATTTATAGCCATTTCAAATAATTTTTTGAATGCTTTATAATTTTAATCGCAAATACTTGTCAAAATCTTTTATTACAAAACTGACAACTTATTTCCAAGCAGCTTTCTAAAAGTTTATATTGTGTTCAGGAGTTCAGGGTCAATGAGAATTGGTATGAATGATTATTTTGAGAGAATTATTATCTTATATTGGCTAGGTTGTAAAAAGTATTAAAAATATAAACCTAAAGTAAATATTCACACTTTCATTGGTGAAGGAAGATACTACATGTATATGAATTTTATTTTATTTTTGGTGAAGGGTCAATTTATTTATGAATAGCCAATAGACATATGTAATAAGTGGATAGACTATAGTATGAAAACAATAAGTAACTGTATCTATCTTAAAGATGTGTCCCATTTGACATCTTATTTACATAACCATTGTTTATAGACTATATCCAAACTACAGTAAAATCTATTTCTTATTTCAAATCTAAAATACTGCCATTGGAATAGATTAGGAGTATGTTGTTGCCTAAAGCTATATCTAGGCTGTGACCTTTCACTGGCTCAAACTTGTGGTAGATGGATACAGACTTGTTTCTTATTCTGTTGATTTAAATTCTTAATACTTTTAGTTTAGAATAAGATTTCAGGTTAAATTAAGCACAAGGGAACATATCTTTAAAATAATTGTAACTAAGTTTATCCACTAGTTGTCCAATGATACCCCAGGTTGTACGTGACAAGGAGTAGGGTCGCCTGTCCAACCTTGTGGGTATTCTCTGGGTCCTCCGGTTTCCTCCCACTGCTAAAGACCCCTACACACAAGCGAATTATTGAAATAAAATTAAACCATATGTTAGTCCCAAAATGACCTAGTTTGTGTCGAGTGGACCTTAAACCCCATTTCTCTCTCCCTGTCCAATGATACCATTACTTTTTTTTATCCCCTTTAATATACAGATTCCAAAATCTAATGATTGATTAAAGAAATGCCATTATTATTTCTGTACATACAATTGGATCAAATTGAATGACTTGATCAGCCAAATATTGATTTCAGGAAGATTAAGTTTTATTAGGTTAGTAAATTATATAGTAAACAACATGGTTGTGAGCATGGTTAATTGAGGTTTCATTTGATTAAATTAGCAATAGGGCCTGATTTCTTTGTTCAGTGGTGAATTGACACTTATAAACAGTAAATCCCACAAGAATCTATATGAGAAAGTAGGCACAATGTAAGTCAATGACGGTATTGTTCTGTTTATACAACAGTTATTAACAGTAAACTATAGAATATCAGTAAATTAGTTATATGTGTTTCAAACAGCAGTTGACCAAAACCTCAAGAGATATATCTATGCAATATTTTCATATGTAATTATTGTTATTCTTTATTATTGATGTGTATATGTAAATCTATGATATCTTTGTGAATAACTTGAAATAAAGACTACCCCAAATAACATAAAAGCATTATTCATATTTCAATATTCCAAATCTTTCAAACTTTGGAATGGATATATCATATCACACCCTTATTGAAGCCAGTAGGACTGCGACTATACAGCAATGATGCTCGTATACCAACACCTGGCATTAAAATCTAACTAGACCTGTCCAGTACATTTATAGGAAATTGTTTCAAATTTTAGATTTATGCCGTGGAATACTATCATGTGATCTGTTTGAAATAATTGATTTAGACAGATTTATTTATTTATTCAAGAAAAGACTCCCAATGATTTTGAACTAACCCCAAAAATTATTCCCCTTGATTTATGGAAGGGTTGTTAACACTCTGGAGATCACAATTATCATCAGATAATAGGCTGTCTAGTAAAAGGAAGATTCCGATTGATTTGGGTAATTTTTCCGAAAATTATTCTCATGCAATTAATTCCCTTGTTTTACAAAACCTAAATATTTTCGGGAGGTCAAGTATCTGAGAGGGGAATAGCTTAATCTCGTTGGTCAGAAACTTCAGAACGCTACACATGTTCCCATGCAGTCTTCATAATTTAGACGTTAAAGTACCATTATTTTACCACTAAAGACAACGGAAATTCCAAGTTGTCAACAGTGGTTCAGTAAGGCACTGGCTCAGTGACCATCCCGGTGTTGACCGAACACGATCTTCAATAGAAGGCTTGATCTCGCTTTAACTATCAAGGCCAGATGTCAAACTCGCAGTCGTTGCTTCGGGAACATGGGTGTCCCCTGGTCAGTGGTGCATGACGGAGGGTCTGGCAAGGGACTGGTTCTAATCATGGTGGAACGAAAACCTACATGTAGATCCCATGTACACGTTGGCGTGTTGATGAAGAATAGTTGGACGTGAAACCCCAGTTCATGTCATTTCGTTGACTAGACCCCGACAGGATGTTTCATATGACTGTAAAAACATATTTTTATGAGCTAAACGCATTCAAAATCGCAAAAAGCTTCAAGGGCTTACAACGATCCCCATTATACCGTGGGTGCAAATGCATAATTAGAAATGGTTCCACTAATGATGTCTTAATTCCGTCTTGCTCCACAAGAAAAGTCGCCGCTACAATATTGCAGCTACGGCATAAAAATAATATGTGCACTAAAATAACACAACCAAGATCGGACATTCGCAGATTTATAGTAAATGTCCAGTTTAAGTTACAATTGATTAAGTTTGAAAAATATCCAGTTTGGGGATTATCGCGCTACGACAATAAAAACATTTTGGTTGGGTTTTAGTCTGTTTCCATAACACTCTAACATTCGGATCAAGCACACATTTAGTAGAAGTTCGGGTATTTAAGTACAATTATCAACTAATAGTCACTTTGTCTTCTTGCATTCCTTTTATCATAGAAGCAGCTAAAATTTTATAGAATTTATTCCACGATGACTCGACCTCACTGGTAAATTTCTTTCCAAGTCTTTTCCGTAGAGCGTGATTTATTCCTTCCCCTGCCGTCTGCAACAAAAGTCAAAAACAGTTATAATAAACTTATAGCCCTGGATAGGTATTTAAGCACGACAAACCGGGTAATAGGTGGACCTGACCCGAATATTAATGACAACAAGCCTCACATATAATAAGTTACCTTTTGCGTTAATTCATTCAATTTCTGGGGCAAAACTGGACCATCGATTAGAATTTCATTCTGGGGACCAATTGGTAGACCTTGCTCCTGTTTGCTCTCATTACTTTAACGTCAACTGGCAGATTATCGCCATTCAGGAGACGACCACCGTCAAGACAGGTCTCGTTATTTCTATTACGTCTTTCTTGTAAATCGTTATTTTTATTCCATTTTGAGTAAAGCCTGTATCATTCAGACCCGGGACTGTACAAAGCCGTGGAAGCTTGTTAATTTCTTTCATGCAATGTCTATGTAGTTTGTCTTGTCCGATGGTTGTCATGTCGGTTTTGATTTTTGTGTAGTGCAGTTCACCTGTACTTACTATTGAGCTATGTCATTAAATAATTCTATCATATTTGAAAATATATACGAAGAGGTGAGGTAAGTAACTCCACAATGCCAAAGTATAAGCAATGGGAAAGATTCTGGATATTTTGCTTATTAGCCCGCGACCAGCACCACCAGCACCACCACCACTCCCGTCCTGTACCTCGTTGGCAAACGTGAGAAATCAAAAAATGTGAAGTTTACGATTTACGATCTAAAACTTTTGAAATAGTCGTTCCGCGTACACATTGGCATGTACGTAAAAGATAACTTGGCTGTTGGATTCGATGTAAGCGTAGGTCATAGCTTAACTGTCCAGAAAAAATGTCCTTCATAGCAAACTGCATGGCGTATGCCCGTCTTCATTAGATACGTCGGAGCAGAACAGTAGGAAGTTAAACCACATTTCATGTCATTTCATTTCTATTGATAAACCAAACTGAGAGAGTTTTTCAACAGAGTTCGATCTTTACGCCATTCAGTTTCTTAAGAAATTGCCGGAAACTATTCAGATGTTCGCAAACATACGACTGTATTCTTTATGTTGCATATATATACACATGTAAATTACCTCTATATATTTAGGTGTAGCACCATAAAGATTATGTTTATTTCCTAGATCTCGTAAAAATATCAGAATATCTTCTAAGTCTCGTATTTCTTCTACAGCAATACGAATAGTTTCACAGAATAAACCAACATGGGAACGAAATCTGTGATTTGATTTAAGCGACTCGCTGGTTTCTCCATTACCGACAAAATGAAACAACTCCTTTACTTCAGGATGTTTCTTAAATATACTGAAAATTAAATCAATTATAAATTATGATCTTAATATTGAAAATTTAAAAAAAAAATAGAAATCAATTTAAAAAAAAACTAAAACAATAAAGGTCGTCTTCCCAATTTCCAAACTAATCGTTGTCTTGCTGGTGGTCCTCCTGTCCGTCCATATACATGTCAGATTGATCACCCCATTAGCAGCTTAAAAGACACATTTAAGAATAATAATACCTTTAGCCATTAATAGACAACCAATCAAATGTCTCGATAATTAAATATTTTAACGAATTCCGCGAGTTTTCTGTATCACGAGTTTTCATTGGTAGGTTGATATGGGGTCGACCAACAACAATCGTTCATTATTGAATGTCATTAGCACACTGATCCGCAGTGAATATTCGCTTGGCCGCTACAATCGCATTACGTCTGTAAAACAGATTGTGTCATTAGACCACGATGAAGTGGGGTAACCAATCAAAAAATCAAACGAAACGAATTTTGTTATACTTCAGTTGTTTTTATGTATAAATCGTCTAAATAAAGTAACTAAATTTTGTTTACTTACTAAAAGAATATGTCCATTCCACCTTCTACAACATCTTGCGATGTAAAATGTCTCCAGGAATGTTGTAAATTATGTTTATCATCTTCTGTTAATAAACTGATCAAATGTTTATGATTTTTAGTTTTACTTCCACCACATCCCATTGTTCACTCTTAAATAGAAAGATGACCAATATGCATCAATTGTATATTAAAAAAAATATCTATCATAAAATTTAGGATTAAGATCCCAGAATGTCTAACTTTATTTGTTCCTTCAACCCATGCCATGTGCCGCTATTCTGTCTCTATAATAATATATGAGGTGGGGCATTTTTAAAGATCAATAATAACTGTATGGTGGGTCAAATGAAAATAATAAGGTGAAAATAATATAATAATTGTTCAGGTAATGCCAACAGTATGTTACAGTTTAAATGATAATTGTTAAGGTAAAGATAATATAATAATTGTTCAGGTAATGCCACCAGTATATTACAGTTTAAATGATAATTGTTAAGGTGAAGATAATATAATAATTGTTCATGTAAAGCTACCTGTATATTACAGTTTAAATGATAATAATTGTTCAGGTAAAGATAATATAATAACTATTCATGTAAAGCTACCTGTATATTACAGTTTAAATAGTTGTTCAGGTAAAGATATTATAATAATTTTAAGGGTAAATTGCCAGTTGATAATATAATTCTTACATGATAATACTTGTGGGGTTAATCCTGGTTAGATGATTGGAATTGTGGGTGCAGTGTAATTTTATTATTGGTTAAAATAATTATGAGTGTAATGATAACTGTGACTAAAGGTGGGTTTAGAGATAATATTTGTCAGTCGGGTGTAATGATAATAGACTATGCCAGTATCCCATCAACTCCTATGACACTGTTCATCGAAATAATGGTTTCAGTAATAATAATTGTGTGTGTAATGATTACTGCGAATAAATGATAATAATTGTGGGTGTATTGATTAATGGATTAAATGATAATTATTACGGGTGTAGTAATGATAACTGATGGATTAATGATAATAATTGCGTGTGCAATGATAATAGTGTCTTTCATTATGTGCTTTAAGATATTTTGTATAAGCCCACATTTTCATGTGAACCTATCATGCCGTTGCTCCTGACCGGACGTCCGTCCTTTCACATTTTGTTTGTGGACAATCTACATTCTGGTCACAATTTTTATTCAATTTTGATGAAACTTAAAATATAGATCTATATCCCAAAGATCCCGGTTCCTTTCTATATTGGTATGTATCAGATCGTAACTTCATGGATTATGGCCCCTGGTTGTACGAAAAATCGCGTTTTTAGCACTTGGACACTATAGAGATTACAATTTATCCGATTTTGATAAACTTATAATTATGTTTATATCCCATAGATCCCAGTTCCTTTCGATATTAGCGCATATCAGAGGGTAACTTCCTGGATTATGTCCCCTGATTATACGAAAAATCGCGTTTTTAGCTTGTTCACTGTCCATGTCTTAAATAATATGGGCGTATCATGCATGGCAACCGCTTGTTCATTTGAGTAACCGTTATAATATTTTTGGGTGTAACGATAACTGTATTCTGGGTTGAGTAGTAATATTTCTGGGATCAATGATAATAGTCTATCGTATAATTTGTTTAAAAATCATGCTTCATGAGAGGTAGGTTAAGTGATAATAATTGGGGGTGTAATGATAACTGTATGGTTGGTTCAGTCATAATATCTGTGGGTGCAATGTTAATAACGGAACCCATCATCGGTTTAATGATAATGTTTCATAAGGTTTACCTTTATTCAATAATTTCCTTTGATGAAAAAAATAGAAAAATTTAATCCTAAAAATAAGAAATATACAACTATTGAAATATCAGTTTATGAAAGCCTCAATATTGTATAAAGTTATTGTATTGAAAGATTTAGACTGAATAATACATTATAATAAAGAAGCAATGTTAAAGAATACTTACCCCCTTTATCCACATCTAAACATGGTATGGTACATTCATTGCCGTTATGTCACACCTAAAACATTTCATATATAATATATATATAGGTAATAAAATAATACACCGGTTCTTTCTCTAATATATTAAAACCATATCTTATGAACTTATAACCTTCATAATTCCCTTATTATTAATACGTCCCTATATAACATATATCGGCATAGACTAAGTATTTGGGCTAATAAAGAATTCATTCCACTGTACACTTTATAATATCATAATGAATATTAATGGTGTTTGAGGTGTGTGTGTTTGAAAGGCGCTAAACTATTACAATGGTTCTACAAACTAAATGTATGTTATATCTACACTTACATGAGAGACTAATACGTACATATAACTTTATTGAGTGTGGTTATTAAACACATTTAGTTTAACCCCCAAAACATGTTCTTTATATCTGGAAAGAGGACATTTCTTCATAAAAATAAGATTGACTTGCAATATTAATTTTAGGCAATTTTTAACTTTTGTGGAAAAAAACCCAGTAGATATAATATCATGTGTGGTTGACACTTTACAGTAGATATAATATTATGTGTGGTTGACAATTATTTACAGTTGATGTAACATGATGTGGGTTGACAATTTACAGTTGATGTAACATGATGTGGGTTTATACTATACAGTAGATATGTGTGGTTGACACTTTACAGTTGATGTAACATCACACTTTACAGTAGATATAATATGACGTGTCTTGATACTTTACAGTTGATGTAACATGATGTGGTTTGATACTTTACAGTAGATATAATATGACGTGTGGTTGACACTTTACAGTAGATATAATATAAAGTGGGTTGATACTTTACAGTAGATATAATATGACGTGGGTTGACGCTTTAGAGCAGATATAATATCACATGTGGTTGAGACTCCACAGTATATATAATATGACGTGGGTTGAACTTTACAGTATACATGTATATAATATGACATGGGTTGATACTTTACAGTAGTTTAATTATAACATATACACTATCACACGTGGTTGAGAAATGAAATGAAATGAAATGGGGTTTAACGTCCTACTGTTCTGCTCCTAACCTGGGCTAATGAAGACGGGCATACGCCATACAGTGTACACGGGACCTCGGTTTTTCGTCCCATCCGAACGACTAGACAGCTTTCCTTGTCAGCCCCTCCGTCCTGCTTCACTGACAAGGGAGAACCACGCCGGAAAATCTGGATGAACTTTCTCGGGCAATGCAGGGAACGTGGTTGAGACTTTGCAGTGCATATAATATAGCATGGGTTGACGCTTAACAGTAGATATACTATGACGTAGGTTGACACTTTACAGTAGATATAATATGCCGTCGGTTGACACTTTACAGCAGTTATGACATATATAATATTACATGTGGTTGAGACTTTGCAGTAGATATAATATACCGTGGGTTGACACTTTACAGTAGATATAATTCGATGTGTGATTGATATTTTTTAGTGGTTACAGTGCGCCATTGGCTATTTTTCTTCAGTGGATATGATACACCATTGGTTGATAATTTACAGTATAATACGTCATGGAGTGATATTTTACAGCGGGCCCGTAGCCACCTCTTAAAATTTTATTGGGACTACGGAATTTTTGGGAGGGGTTGAGGATGTGGCCGACTAAGAACGCTCCTAAGAAATCATTATTTTCATGGCGAAATATTTGGGGGGGGGGGGCTAATTCGATTTATTTTATTATTTTTTTTTTTTTTTTGGTATTTTATTGATTGGTATTTTACAGTATAATACGACATGGGATGATATTTTACAGTGTATATAATATGTCATGAGATGATATAATACATCTTGGTTTAATAATTCACATTAATAATATTCTGAGATACTCTAATACGCATTGAGCTGTTAACTTACATAATATGTATAATGCATCACATGTACAGTGTATATGTTTTTTTTACAGAAGATACACCACGATATAGTATTTTAATATGATATAATACGCCATGATTTGATTTGATATAACCGGTACTACGTCAATGGTTGACACTTTGCAGTAAATATACTTTATCAGTAATTGCTTGATATTTTACAGACGTCGGAGAAGATATAATATAATTTATCGTGGTTGATGAAGGTAGATAAAATAGAATGTCACGTCCTTAGGGATAACAGTTCACATTTAATAAGTTAATAGTTATTTTTTTTATTTTATGAGGATTTGAGTAAAAACAATGATATCTGATTATAATTGAATTGAATTGATTTTGATTTGATTTGATTTTTAATTGTTTTACTTTTTTAAACTATTTTTATTTTGCTTTGACTTTTTTTGTTTTTGTTTGGAGGAGGGAGTGCGCTCGTTACATTATAAGGTCTGTCATTGATTCCTCGCGTGTACGTGGCAAGGAGTAGGGTCGTTTGTCCAACCTCATGGGTTTTCTCTGGGTTCTTAGTTTCCTTCCACTGCTAAAGATTCCTACGCGCAGGTGAATTATTGAAATAGAAAATAAAACCATATGTAAGTCCCCAAATGTGTCTAATGGACGTTAAACCCCATTTTTATCTCTCCATTTTTGTTTGAGATCAGAGATGGATATATGGTGTTGTTAAATATAACGCCACGGGATGACAATAGATACAAATTTACATTTTAGAATTAAAATTAGTTAAACATACATTCTGCCTATTGCAGGTATTTCTTTAAGCCTGAAATGTTATCTAAATTATTAATGAGAGATTAATTAACTTATCCAGCGATGTTATCGCTCTATAGCCTGCGATGTTTATTGGATTAGGTTCCGATTTGCTGTTTGACTTCCATTCATGATTTAATCATGAGCTGGACAATCGAGACCATGTCTTTTATCGTACCGACTCTAGTAATGATGATCGAGGCTAGGCCGAAAATTCAATCGCTAAAATCTCGGTTCAGAGCGGATCAATTTGACTGAAATTTTCAGCAAATTCCCTTTACATTATCTAGTTTTTAATTATTATAGTGAGAACTGCCAGCTCTTTATCTAATCTCCCATAATGTATCTTTAAATGTTAATATACATCTAATGACTTAAAGATACATTATGTAAGATTTAGATAAAGAGTTGCCCGTTCTTGTTGAAATAGTTTGAATATAGATAATGAAAAAAGAATATATAGAAATTTTCAGTCAAACTATTTATTCTGGGCGAAGTTATGAGTGTTGGAAGTTTGATAAGAAATAGTCGATTTTTAAAGATACATTAGTTAAGAGTTTTATAAAGAGTTGGCCATTCTTGCTATAATAATTCAAAAATAGATGATAAAAAAAGAAAATTTCAGTCAAATTACTTTGTTCTGAACGGAGTTGTCACTGTTGGAAGTTTGGACTAGAAATAGGCAACAATTGTGTCTGCACCGTCTATGAGAATTAGTGACCGTTTGATTGACAGACGATAACTCCACCCACATATTCTCAATTATCAAGTAACATGCTGAATGGTTACGGTAGCCTCGCACAGCAGGCCTTTCATCACCAGGGTCTACAGAGTTGATTTTGAGCTTGTCGTGTAAATAAAGGTCTAATTAATAATTTCTATAACATCTGAAGCCTAAATAAAGGCTTGCAATAGGCAGATTTAGCTCTTGCATAATGTATGTTTAAGTGAAATGAAATGAAATGAAATGGGGTTTAATGTCCTACTGTTCTGCTCCTAAACTGGGCTAATGAAGTATACAGGTCACAATTCTATGGAATACAATTACTGCTTTTTACTGAGCGACGCTTCGACTAGGCTTCTCTAGTCATTATCAAGCTATGATTCGACTAGGCTTCTCTAGTCATTATCAAGCTATGATCATCATAGCTTGATAATGACTAGAGAAGCCTAGTCGAAACGTCGCTCAGTAAAAAGCAGTAATTGTATTCCATAGAATTGTGACCTGTATACTCTAGTTCAATTACTAAATGCCATTGAAACAGTTTATCAGACATCAGTATGGGCTAATGAAGACGGGCATACGCCATGCAGTGTGCTATGAGGGAAATTTTGCCCGGGCAGCGGCACTACGTATCATTGCCATCATAATAAACGTAGTCTGCTTTCAATACCTTAACACCCGGTGATCTAGAGAGGCGATTATGAGTTTATCCTGTTAATACATTTATAAACAATAATTTATATAACATTTGAAGCCAGAAAATTACTTGCAAATAAATCGATTTAGATATTACAAAATGCAACTTTAAACGGTTCGAGTATTAGTAGTCGGTAATATGAAATTGTTTTCTTTGTTGTTCATGTTTGAGATATGGGGTTGATAATATCACATTGATTTATAAAGGAATTTCGTACAGCGCGCTTTGCATGCTGAATACAGTTGATAATATAATCCATACCAAACCCGTTTGTTGATATAGATACAATAAAATTCATAAATAGACATATTTTTTGCACGCGCTGGGCGTTGACAATGGAATATATGTAGGTATATATATAAATGTGGGATAAGTATTTTATTATTATTACCTGGACGACTATCAACATAGATTTAACTTGAAGAAAACTCATTCTTGGTAAGTGAAAGTTTCAATGAAATATTTACACGGATTTATTCTGTACATAAATAATTATTAAGGAAATAATAACTTACGAAATATATTAAAGAATATTTAAACTTTTAAATTTAAATATTCTTTAATATCTTGGTCATCAACCGGTATTTTATAAATTAAAATTTATAAAATTCCGGTTGATGACCAAGATTATATGTCAGATTTGGCGAATCTTGGCATTAGATGCCGGTGGAGCAAGGGTGTTTAGTGGTGTTTTTTTTATATTAAGAAGAAAAAAAAACCCGTGGAAATTTTCTTCAATTGTCTGTTTCCAGTTTAACAAGTTTATTCTGCATGTCTTAAGGTTTGAGTCTTGAATCTACAGAAGAATCATGATACGTTTATTCTTTACTCACGGCCATAGTAAAATAATTACCATATTTGAATAAAGCTTTTAGTCTGAAAGCGGTGCAAAGACACCATTTTCAATTATTAATTATTATTGGTGGTATTTTGCAAATATACGTTCAAAGATACTTTGAAAACGTGCTTTTATTGGAAGCGTCTTCGTATGGAGGATTGGGCGCGACGCCTCCATAATTGTCTGCTTTCACCATGGTGTTATCACAGAAAAGCATCCTTGCTTTTCCGAACATTCCTAGCATATTAGATTAAGGTTCGGGAAAAAAATACTCATTCGGGCCGTTGTAAATTTCCGCTGTTTTAACTTTAAAATAGGATCGGGGGTAACCGTAACACAGGTAATTTGTTTTTTTGCCTTTGGGGAATTACGTTGTTATTATAGACTGATTGACGATATGATCCCTATGGCCTAAATATAATCCCGAGTGATATTTAGCTATAGAGGACATTATGTATTATAAACCAGTGATTGTATTTCATATAAACGATCTTGTGTTTTAATGATGACTAAGGTAGCCTTAATCTAACCAGATTTATGATCGACTTAACTTAAAGCTGTATATTATGACAACAGATAGAGATTTGAAATATGTGTTTACAATAGAAGCTTTGCTTTGCGGTCCGAGACAAACACCCGTGATATTGAGGCAATGATATTTCATTGTGAGCTGCCAACCCTTTCAGCTGTATGCGTATAGTGCCTTTACCTTTATAAACGTAAAAAAATGCGGAAAATAAATTTCTAATTTCGTCTATATTTTACTTGACCAAATCAGGTGTAAAATGCCAATGTCAGACTTTTCGCCTCATTAACCATGTGGGTGTTTCTCTCCAACAGTCTAAAATTCAATTTCACTTCTAAATATAACCTTGTTTTACATCAAAGTTAACCTCATCATTTCCCCATAATTCTGATAGAAAATATTCTCGGTCGAGTACTACACCCACTGTCCATAATTATAAGAAAATTATGTAAATTATTCGATCACCAAGTACGTAATATTAATGAGATATTGGTCAATATCATCACCATATTTAATAGGCAGTTTTACACCTGCCTAAAGCCGTTAATCAACGGTATGTGTCGCCAACTTTCCAGAAAACTGCCATGTACATTACCATAATAAGAGTGAAAATCATTTTCTTCGAGATATTTATTAATAATAGACCGCCTCATAAAATTGTTTTCAATGAAATAATTAATGTTCAAATAATAGTTTTAAAATTGCCTTTAAAGATAGAGGGAACTAAGCAGAATTTTACTTAAAAGTAGTATGCGCATGAAGTCAGGTTGATTGTACGGGGCTGGCTGGTAAGTTCTAAGTCTGAAAAGGATAGATTAATTGGGTTGAAACAAACTTTTGCAGAGAACAAGTACAATCATTGAATGAATCATAGACATAGGAACTGCAACTGTAGTAGTGTTATTATTGTCTTCGTGACTATCTTGTGAACTTACCCATTGAAATTACCAGAAATGGACAAAACTGGCTATATGGCAATCATCAAATATACTATTCAAAAAAAGTAGGGGATATTTGATTTTGGGGGCATAATACTAAAATATGCAAATGACTACGAAAAAAGTCACTATAGAACCTAACAGAAGAAACATTTCCAGTTACATGTGACGCCCAAACGCACCAATAGCTACCGCATGGAATGCAGGTGATGCTTGGGATCATCATGGGGGTCCAACCCAAGATTTGCACGACTCTGACTTTGAATGTTACAGTCATTGTGGCATTGAATTCCAGGGTGGAAACATCAGTTTAATTGTTTTAGTGACCAGAAAACAAATTTTGATATGCGTCGGCTTACCCAAAATGAAAGGTTACGTGCCCTTGGCATGCTACAGATCGGCACAACACAGGCGGTTGTGGCGCGGACGATGAATGTTTCTCAGTCTGTCATAAGCAGGCTATGGTCCAGATACCGTGATACACAATCTGTACAGGACAGACCACGCTCAGGTCGACCAAGGGCGACAACTCAAGCCCAGGATCGATTTATCCGTACCTTGGCCTTGAGAAATCGTGTCATCACAGCAAATCAGATCAGCGCTCGTCTTCAAACAGACACTGGTGTGAGAGTGAGTGGCCAGACGATTCGGAATCGACTGCATAGGGGTCACCTTCGCGCCCGACGTCCTCGCGTGATCCCTTGTTTGAGAGATCATCACATTCAGGCAAGACGTCGTTGGTGTAGGGATCGTCAACACTGGGATAATCGACGCTGGAGCAATGTGATGTTTTCAGATGAGTCAAGGTTCACTGTTGATTTTTTGGACAGACGTAGGAGGGTGTGGCGTCGTCGAAACGAGCGCTTCCAAGACGTTAACGTCATCAGACATGATCGATTTGGGGGTGGTTCTGTTATGGTGTGGGGAGGCATCACTGTTGCTGGAAGAACGGCTTTACATGTTGTTGCAGGGCGTGTTACAGGCCAGTACTACCGGGACAACATCTTGGCAGTCCATGTTGTGCCGTTTGCACGACGTCATGGCCGCCGTTTCATCTTCCAGGATGACAACGCAAGATGTCACAGGGCCAGGATCGTTACAGGTTACCTCCAACAACACAACATCACCACATTACCTTGGCCAGCACTGAGTCCCGACCTCTCCCCCATCGAGCATGTCTGGGACATGCTTGGACAGAGGTTACGTCAACGTCAACAACGTCCTGCCAATATCCAAGAACTTGCTGCTGCGTTGCAACAGGAATGGGACAATCTGGACCAAAATGACCTTAGACGTCTCATTAGGAGTATGCCACGTCGGATCAATGCTTGTTTGGCAAACAGAGGAGGATTTATCCGTTACTGACTTGGTTGTGATGCTGTGGTAACTTTGCTGTTTGACCCCGGGTATCATTTTACCCTTATAATGGTCAGTCTGTGCCTTACTTAGTCTAACGATCATTTGGAATAAATCGATGAATGTGAACTTCATTTCATTTTGTCATTTGTTTCTTCGTCAGTTTCATTAGGTGACTTTAATAACACTTAAAAATCAAATATCCCCTACTTTTTTTGAATAGTATACCTGCAACTGAGAGGACTATCCCCAACACAGATACATGTCGACATGGTCTCCACATTAGGGGATGGCGCCCCTTCCTTTTCCCAAGTAAAGAAGTGGGCTATGGAATTCAAGCTTGACAGAGATAGCCTTGACGATGATCCGCATCCTGGTCATCAACAGCAACCATTCAAGAAAACATTAGCCGGGTGTATGACGTGGTGATTGAATGATCGACGATTGACCATTCGACATATTGCCAGTGTTGTGGGCATCTCTCATGAGCGGGTTGAGCACATTATCGCCAAAGAGCTCGGAAGGACAACAGTTTCTGCAAAATGGGTGCCAAAGCTGCGGATCAAAAACTTGTCAGATTTCTGATGTCCCGTGACAATCCGCGCCGTTTTGAAGCATATTCTGATAATGTTTTGGCCAGATTTGTAACCATGAATGAGACCTGTTTCCAGAAATGAAAGGAACCATCCGGTCGTCATTTTCCTTGTTTAGGGTGGCCGAAGAAAATTTCTTCCTGACCAGTATCCATGCCTTACAAAAATAAATGGAAACCATCGACCATGAACAAGTCTTTCACAGATAGGCTTAGAACTTTTCAACCAACCCTCGCATATCAATTCCACACATATCACACCGTTTTTCAATTTTTCGAATACAGTAAAATCAGAGCAGATGGTTTTGACGTCACGCGCACTACACATGGCGACATTTGATATACATGGACACGTAGCCTGGGCCTATGTTTATTCACACCACATTCAATTAACATGATAACTTATTACCGCTGTAATATAGCATGAATCAAACACGGCGCGGGCATTCAATCCACTGACTTAATTTTCAAAACCGTTTGCCTGATATTCAATTATAGTCAGATACTCCTCAAAAAGATTACAGAAAACACGTACATGTGACAGCGTATTTGATGATCAAATAATAAAATGGGGTTTAACGTCCTACTGTTCTGCTCCGAACTGATGATCAAATTGCCTTGTCTGTGCGTGTGTGTTCGTGTGTGTCTGTGTGTGTGTGTGTGGTTAAGGGTTGTAAAACCATCGACGATCGCTTTTAGTTACAGACAGGGGTGTAGAACATTACATACGCCTAATAAACATTTGGTCTCTGTGATGTAAAGTGTTTCGGGAAATTGACAAAATAAATTTCTTGGGTAAAGCTATATTCGATACCTTCAGTGAATATATCACGATTAATCATGAATGGATTTAGATGAAATTTGTTTTCGGGATATCAGTATACACACAAAGCACTTATATACGAGTTTTATGCCTTAACTTTATGTGCTCTTTAAATTTTGAATGGCATTTTAAAATATTTTTCAATAACATGACTAGATATTTTAATTGGTTTTTAAAATGCTTGTAAAATTAGTTTTTTTTTCAGCATGTATATCAACGCGATAACGATCTAGATGTACTTATGACTAAACCAAAAATGCAATTAGAGCGATCTGTGCACAAAGCGGACTTTGAGCTTAAGATAATGGACAAATCATTTAGTTGAGCTCTTGACACAGTTTATATCAATTGTAATTTATGAGCGATTAAAGCTTTCATTATAGAAACATGACGTCATCAATTGGTACAGTATACCCATAAAATGATGACGTTTTATTTCGACTTTATCAGCTGCGATTAGAGATAAGGATAAGAGTTAAATCGCCATAAAACTTTATATTTATGAAAAACGGTTGAAGGTCAGTTCATATTAAGGAGTAAGGCCTAAATATAATATTTGAAGAATGGTGAAAAGATTTAAAGTTCAACTTTTGAGAAGAAATCAAAAATTGTGAATCCGTCGAAGTTATCATGACGGTAAGGGCAAATCTTACTGATTTTCTTGTCAACATTAGAAACGTACATTGCCTGTGTAATTTATTACAATCTTTTGTCTTACTTTATCAGATGGAGTAAATTTGCCAATTCTAAGCAGTCCGAGCACGTCCGTAGTAAGTTTAAACCCGTTCGTAACTAGTTCTACCATTTCCCGTCTGCAACTAGGTCTTACTAGTGTGTAACCCTACCACCCAGTCTAGGGACAGTGCAACGCGTCCCTGTCTCGTCCTTAGTGCGTTCGAACACTCTCATATTGCATGTGCAATCCCGTCCTGTCTCGAAGGCTATAAAAACCCATCGCGTTCTCGCCATTCCTCTTCCCGTTCTACGCTTCGAGCTGTGGTGATCAAGCTCCCATCACACCAAACTAGTTCCCACTATGTTCTGGAAAATGTCGCCAAGCGGATTTAAACTGTGTGCGCGCTAGGGTATCAACTGTTTACGATCTGTTTAAGAATTTTCTGAATGGGCTCAGACTGGCAGGGTGCACTAGAACTTTGAGCCTGTTCAAAATTTTCCCCGTCCAGCAATTAGACGGAGGGGCAACGTTCTTAAAACGAGATGGACGTCCTATGGATAGAATTGCCGTACTATGAACGGAATTACGCCGTACTCCGATCCTAGGAACGTGTTAAGCGTGACGTACTTTATTTTATTTCGTGGGGGCGAGTGATTTTTTTATAGTTTTTCTTATTGTATATCATATATTTTTACTAGCATTGAATTTGTAGGGTTGTGCTACTAATTCATTTGATGGAGAATAAAACCATGGCAGTTTAGACATTTTTGCATAATTTAAAAACCCAATATTTATACTTATTTTTTAATTTTTTTTTAGTTTTGTTGATGTTACCGCATGCAATTATAAAATCTTTCATATTTGAATTTATTATTGGTGTGTTAATTTATTTATTTCTATAATTTAATCTGGAGAGAGTTCAATGTTCTGAATGGTTGTAGATCTGGTCACCAGACTGGCTTCCACAAACACCAACATCTATCCACATGAATTTGTAATATATTATGCCTCTACCAAGGCCATAACACTATTCAACAGAAGCATTTTTAGTTATGGTACATGGTTCCAGTCTTGGGAGGCTTTCTGGTGGCTATATGTTTCCTATCCAGGGCAGCGCAGATGGTGACATCATTTTTGAGCTCCATCATCAAAGCATCAGAAACTTCTTTCACCAACAACATATACTGACGGAAATCATATTGCATGGTGGCTTGGGAATCTTCTGTTGCTAGATAGCGCAGTGTGATGACAAGCTTCATCCCTGGTTGTAGAGCCTTCCTGTAGGTGTCTTGTTTGTTTTATGAAGGGGGTGATACATTCAAGAAGTTCGTCAAACACGTTGGGGTGATTCTCAAGACGTTGAAGAAAGACTCTTGATCAGCCACGGCTATTCTCCTCTCAAGCTTCAGCCAGTTCCTACCATTTCATTGTACTGTTGCTCTGCTTCCAACAGAAGATGCATGAATCCAATGTTCACAGACTCAATGGTTCGGTTTAAAAATGTTAAAAATCTTGAAGTGATGGGCATTGAAAGAAATCGCCCACCAGTGAGGAAACAGTCCATATTTTTATACTCTACCTTGTCCGAGCGTACTGCAGAAAGGCTGGACTTAGGGGCTACAAATTGACCCGGTCGTACTGCTATTTGATGCTCGACCACGTCACGCTGTTACACGTCCCTAGACGGCAATTCCGTTCATGGTACGATAATTAGGTTCGTAGTCACGTTGTCATTAATTGCAAGAAGGGGAAACATTTGAACAGGCTCGAAGTTCTAGAGCACCTTCCCGTCCACGAAGTTCATAAGCAGATCGTGCGTTCGCCCATAGTTGGCAACATATTCTAGAACGTATTGAGAACTAGTTTCGTGTGATGGGGGCTTGAAAGTGGATCTGGCGTATACCCGTCTCAACCGAAAATTAAAATTTCGAAATTAGCGCAACCTTTACTTTTGATCTGACACTGATCAAAATGCTCGCGGGCAACGCAAAAAGCACATGGTCACCCCGATAAAGATGAAAAGGAAATGTCGTAAGACAAATGTACAATAAATGATTGTTATATCTATGTGAAGTCCTCAAATAATAAATGGTATCAGGTGTTCTAATAGTTCCTTTAGGAACAGTGTTTGATTGGAGGACATGGTCCGATCAGACACCACCCCTAAAGGAACTAGTGTTCCAGTAACGATAAGCACGCTCTGTCGCGTAAACTACACCCGCCCACACTTATAACCAAATGGGGGAATATTTTGGACCTGAATAATGGGTTAATGTATCGGGTGTTCTAGTTGCTCCTTTAGGAACAGTGTTTGATTGGAGGACATCGTCCGATCAGACACCGTTCCTAAAGGAACTATTGTTCTAGTAACGATAAGCACGCCCTGTCACGTAAACAACACCCGCCCACACTTATAACCAAATGGGGGAATAGTTTGGACCTGATTAACCGGTTAATATATTACCACTTTTACACATATCTCGCAGGTCTTCTTAATCGTTTTCAAGCATAACTTGTGAACCGTTTCTTACATATGTCAGCTGTGTTATAGGTTAATAATGTGCAATAACGATAATTACTGTGATCATCGATTTACAATAATTGAGGGATAAGTACATGACTTGCAACATGATATTAATAATCTATATACCTATATTAAAAAACACTAAACCAATATGGACAGATATATGATAGACCTCCTCGGATTTTCTTATCAGTTTTGACACTGTTGTTAATGTTGGCTAAAATGTATGTAAATCACAAAATTATATTCGCTGTCCAATATCAATTGATCGAGACAAATTTTATCGAATTTGTCCTGCCTTTTCTCACGTCACTATATCAGTTTTGTTGTCTTCCTTATTAGCATTCGGTTTATTGAGTTAGATTAACCTACATTTAAAATTTATAGGTATAAATAAAAATCCAAAACTATTGGATACGGTATCTTAATACTGGAATTAATAAAAGCTGGGTGTAATTTATCAAGGTATGTATGTACACGATAAATAACATTGTTTATTTAACTGCAACGTAAATGTTATCCATAAATAGTGTTTTATAAGACAATGTTCCAATTACTAAATGTCATCCAAAAAATAGATTTCAAAGACGATAACACGTTATATTATATTTAGGTTACAAAGACGTTTACGCGTTAGTTATATTGTTAGAACATGCATACATTGCAAAGACTTTAGCACGTTATATTTATGTTACAAATACCTTCCTGTTAACATGTATGTTTACGTTAGGTAACACACATTATATTTACGTAACAAAGACGCTACAAGTGGATGATTAAGTTAGTAAGACAAACCATCTAAATGCACAATCCATTTGTCTGCCAAAACACTTGTACACGCCTTTATTACCTCTAGACTAGACAATTTTAATTCAATTATAGCTGGACTACCTCTTAAACTTATTGTTAAATTGCTGCGAGTGCAACGATTACGTTGTACTTTTATCTATAATATTGGATACGTAATTGTTTGTCGCATAGATTTTAAAAAAAAATCATTATTCAATAAAGTGTTGCTCCGCCTTTCAAAAACCTTCGAAGTTCATCAGACAAGTATCTTGTAAAGCAAAAGTCATTAGACATTTCTTAGTAATATGGAGAAAGGCACTTGTCTTAGCAAACTTAAACGCTACATATATTTCGAAGCAGTCCCGCGGTTGAATCTTCCAGAAAATCCCTTAAAGTAGCTAAGTCTTTAACTCAGAAAACACGAATTATTTGTCAATTGTGATCTTACCAGGAAAAGATAAATGTGGGCTTCTGATATCCAATATTTAAGACAAAATAAACATTTTGCCATTGGTACACGAATCGTTTCAGCAGCGTTTGTAACTTAAGAGACTCGAAGAACGAGGCTAGACATATTCCACAAGTCGTCAAACGGTGACGCCAGACGCCAGAGATAGCCATTCGATTTAGACTTCTCGCGTATTTCGCCGAACACAACTCACTTGAAATTAGAGTGAAAACGGAAACGATTGAATGCAAATCAGTTTATATACATTCATATTACATTATTATATGCGTTGCGACCCATTTGTGTCAATTTGTAGGTCCCAAATATTAGCGATTTATCTCCTTTAGGGCTCGACTACTTTTAAAAACAAATAAAGACAAACTATTGTTTTTAAGTGGTCTACTGTCTATCTGATGGTTGTTTAATCTTGACTTCTCATATACATGTATTTTTTTCAAGATTTATTTATATACATTATTTAATTATATCGATGTTATAGTCTATCACCCATCAGGGCCGTATGTAGGATTTTATAAGTGGGGGTGCAGCAGAGTGGGGGGGCGCCAAAGCCTCCACGTATGTGATATAAAAAGTTTCGATCAGGGCAAACGAACCCATTGGCGTTTGGGCGCCCTTAAAACCGATCGACTGATCAGTGCCTTAAGAGCATCACTCACTGTGTGATCATAATCAAGTGTATTATTTTATAATTGAAAGATTGTCAAATAATGTTTGGGGTTTTTTTGGATGGGGTGGGGGCGCAATTTCTCGGGGCGCCTTATTGTTCTGGGGGTGCAATGTACCCCCTGCACCCCCGCTAAGTACGGCCCTGTCACCCATACTGAATGTACAACGCTTTTGAACACTTGGTTAAAGGATGTGTGAGCTTTATAAATATTGTGTAATAATAATTGATATAATAATAATAATAAAATCATGTTTTAGCTTTAGATAACACTGTCCTGAGTTTTGTACTATAAGCTTGAACCTTATTCGTGAAAATTTTAAAGAAAGTAGGCTATTCATTGAGTATAAGCTCAAATTTGTTCCAGGATTTTAACAGTCAACCAATGAACCCATAAAATATTTTGGACACCATTTTCATGAGTAAGTTAATTCCAGGTTCTTTATGATTGACCTAAATTATTGGAATAACACATTAAACTTGTTTTACAGACTATTTACAACATGGGGTGTGGAAGTAGCCATAATGGCACAACTGGTTCCGAAACAATGCTTACCAAAGAAGACGAAGAACTAATCAGAACATCGTGGGCTGAATTTAAAAAAGGTGATGTTGTAATGGATGGAATGCATATGTATTTTAGGTAAGTCAATAACTTGCGATATATTTATTCTATATTTAAAAATATAGGGTTGCCAGGTAACAAAAATACGCACAGTCCATGAAGCGAATAAATGAAAGCAACAGTCTCACGGGCAGATCTAGGTATCGAATAGCGCCTTCCCCAACACTGATGCGCAGATAGTTCAAAGCTTTGATAAATTGGAGGAACAATATCTCGATAAACTGAAATTCGATAAGCTTATTTCTGACTTACAGCATATTTTGAAATAATGATTCTTAAGTGTTTTACAAGGAGCGAATGCCCAGAAAATATCGATGCACAACTACGACGTATTGCGATTCTCAATAGACAAATAACAAATAGAAAACAAACTTTCGTGTAGCGTGTTTACAAAAATTGTGGGCCAACTGATCGGTAACTATAGAACAACCATTCGTAGTTTAAATGTTTTTTTAAAAAATGGGATTGGGGATTGGGGACCAGACTTAACGTAAAACCCCTCTTTGATTCTTCTGTTTATTGGTAATGTATTGATTACAAATTGTACGTATAATATTAATATTTGGTTGGCTCGCACCAAAATCCCACCGTCGCCCGTGTATTAAACCCGTGTTTGATTTTTTAATTCGAAAATTTGTTGAATCAGAACACAAGAAACCCAAATCAATTAATTTCTAAAACTTGTGAAATGTGAACTCAATACAGGACACAGTATTGAATTGCTGAATAATTATCGTTACTTCGATCCACCTTTTTTCTACTTTTAGAATAGGTTGATAACCTCCACTTTAGAGCCACGTCGCATTATATATTTTCTATGAAATTTCTTCAATGGTTCACTGCTGTTTATAGCTTATCTCTATACAGACAGTGCAATGATATATAGTTCTAAGTATAATATCAACAAGTAATTATATTTACACGTCAATAATACTTAGTATCTGACCTACATATCTTTAACTCCATAATCCATTGACGATTTAGACCTACGTGTCAAAATCGACTTAAAATATAGAGCACTAATAGCACATAACACAATTATGGAATACAATTTTGTAACTTGGCGAAGTTTCGACAAAGGTTCAATCGTATTTATAGGCTAGCTCAATATCCCGAAGTCAACTCCACTAAACATCCCGTCTACCAGCTAGAAATCTACTCATCTGAACATTCCTTCCATTAGCTACCAGACATCAACCCATCTAAACATCACTTCCATTAGATGTCTTAATATCTAGAATACAACTCATCTAAACATTATTTCTCTCAGCTGCTTTCTATCCAGAAACCAACCCAAATGAACATCCCCTCTATTGGCTACTCTAGAAACAGGGGTGTTTTGGAGGGTAGGCCCAGCCTATGTAGTTATTTTTTCTCCCACAACAGGGTGGGCTCGGTATGTTCGCGTCATTTATAATATGTAATAGTAATAATGCTTCACACCACAAAGCATTCTCGTGTCTTATTTTATCATAGCGGGGCCAGAACGGTCTTGATCTGCTTATGCTCCGACTGGTATACCGTCCCGATCAATGGACGGGTGTTCAGCAGATTGTTGTACTGGCATCCTATCATCTGCTAATTATTTTCGCTTTCAAAATTTTTCAACGCATTTTATTGATAATTTTGATCTCGCACTGCACTACCATGGGCGAAAAGCCTACCGTTGAGAAGATGAAAAAGCAGAGTAGTATGATGGGTGTCCAAATTACTGAAAAAGAAAAGGTAGACAAAGAATAGGTCGACTTTCTATAGACGTTCATTATCACTGTCCAGTGACTTTTTTTTTAAGATAGCAAACATGATTCCTTTCTTTCTAACTTAAGATATACGTCAGAATCCAAATGGCATCGATTTCGATTTTTCAAATTTTGTGGGGGAGATCGCCCTGACCCCCCCCCCCCGCAGTTCGCTATTTATTAACTGGACAGGGTCTGCCGGTTTTTTTTAATTTAGGAAAACACCCTTGTCTAGAAACCAACTCATCTAGACATCCCCTCTATCAGCTACCTTAATATCTAGAATCCAACGCATCAACAACATCCACTAAATATCACTTTCAACAACATCCACTAAATATCACTCTGTCAACAACATCCACTGAATATCTCTCTAACAACAACATCCACCACATATCCCTCTAGCAACAACATCCACCACATATCATTATCATCAACATCCACTAAATATCACTATCAACAACATCCACTAAATATCACTCTGTCAACAACATCCACAGAATATCACTCTAACAACAACATCCACCACATATCCCTCTAGCAACAACATCCACTAAATATCACTCTATCAACAACATCCACAGAATATCACTCTATCAACAACATCCACCACATATCCCTCTAGCAACAACATCCACTAAATATCACTCTATCAACAACATCCACTAAATATCACTATCAACGATTCAACTAAATATCACTATCAACAACATCATCCACTACACACCACTATCAACAACATCCACAGAATATTGTATCACTCTATCAACAATATCTACAGAATATCACTCTATCAACAATATCCACAGTATATCACTCTATCAACAAAATCAACTGAATATCACTCTATCAACAACATCGGCTCGAACAGGTGAGGGACCTATTCGACATCTGCTTCAAATAATGGACATTGTATTTAACCACATCGAATGTATCAATTCATTTACAGATTCTTCGAAACAAATCCTGAGGCTAAAGAATTTTTTGGCTTTGCTAAAGAAGGTGAAGTTAATGCTGAAAATGCCAAGTTCCGGGCACATGTGAAGAACGTGTTTGATATAGTAGGAGGTGCTGTTGATGGTATGGATAACATAACGGAAGTAAAGGGAATATGTTATGATTTAGGTGTTAGACATAAAGCCTATGGTGTACCAAGTAAATACTTCAAGGTAAACTGACCTATTCATATTCTCTTATCGTCTTTTGAGGGATGTTTAAACCCTTTGTAACTTATAGTGTTTTAAAAGTTGGATCCCTAAAATGAATATCAGACCCCAAATAGTTCAGTTCAGTTCTTACATAGATATGATGAATAGAAAACTTGGCAATATTCGACATCCACATTAGAGGGTGTTAAAGGGTGATGGTTAAAACAAGCCAGTCTGAGTCAGGGGCGTGGTGACCCATGATTTTGCATGAGGAACAAGATCCAGTCTCGGCCGCCAAATAAAATATTTATATGTGTGGGAGGGAAGGGGTGGGGTGGAGGTACCTCCCAGTGCCACCTGATAATATTGGGCTGTGTGGAACATGCTAGAGTCGATTTGTAGCATATCAAGCGGGTGCAGAAACACTAAACCATGACGCAAAGCTCGTCATTGTGTCCCTCTTACTTAGCCCCTGGAGCTAAGTGTCAGTACTGTCACTTATAATCTTCGCTGGGATCGTTTGAGGGGCTCCAACTTAATCCGATTGAATCCAAATGTTTTAACAAGAACTAAGCCGTGAACACTATTGTCCGAAAAAATGCAAACGACTATCAGCGGCTTTAATATACTAAAAGATAAAAATAATTGTTTGATAATCGTCCAAATTGAAATCATTTCTTTCAATTAAATATAAATTGGGAAGCAGTATAAAGATCATCCTGAAATGTGCAGTGATCCTCCTCATTTTAAGCATTAATGAAATGACAGTTTCTTAAACCATGTATTAAAGTGCATACCGTGTCTCTAAAATATTTGTTGGGTTTTTTTTTTAAATATTTGTTTAAATGACACTCAAGTGTAACAGCCCACGGTCTGTACAGTTGCAAAATGTACACATATAAGATATAAGTGTTAAAGTCATAATCATAATATTATACTTTCGATCAGTTGTCTAGGATGGACTGTTAGATAATCATTAAGACTGCCATGGCCAGAACATAGGCTGCACAAATTGTTTATGAATCGTTCTTAAAATTTTCTTATTTAATACCATGTTGGGAAGTGTAGTTGTGTATATTTTCGCCACCAAATAAACATTTACAGGACATTTCAACAATTACTGTACAATATTCTTTTCTCGTTTATGTGGTTCACTAAGGGGAAAAAAGGATGCATTGGTCATAATGTTTATACAAACAATGGGTAAGGAAACAAAGAAAGATCATGGCACAAACAAAACTGCCACAATTAATTTTCGTAATTTTGTATTTGTTTTTCAGGTAGTTGGAAATAGTTTAATATACGCCTTGGATAAAAAACTTCGCATGGACTCTAATACAAAGAAAGCCTGGGTTCGTCTTTACAGTATTATTGAAAGTGAAGCAAAGAAGGGCATGGCAGCAGCATAATTTGAAAAACTACAAAACAATTCATTCGGTCTTCGACTGACTGAAAGCTTGGAAGTTAAAATATAGAAATTATGCTTTAAGTTTAATTGTTACTTTTTTAAAAATGTGATAAGAAAAATACCACATGAACAAATGTCAGTGGTAAGTGGTATAGAACTTTATTTACAACTTATAAAGTCGTGTTTACCATAACTAAGTCGTGTTTACACTTACTAAGTGGTATTTACCCTTATTAAGTGGTATTTGCCAATATTACGTGGTGTTTACCATAATTACAATCGTTACTGATCACAGAAAAAAAGAATTATATTTAACAAATGTTTAATACCCAGATTGGTATAACAATCATTAACCCACTTTATTTTATCAATTAATTTAATTTCCAAATGATATATTAATTTATTTATCACTGACAATTTCCCAACCTCTGTATGCAAGATTTTTTTTTAAAATCCCAAATATGCAATTTATAAATATTGTTTTTTGATTGCCTAAGTCTAAGATATTATTAGTGTACATTTCAATATAATTAAAATGATTAATTAAGTCATCACCATGTAAATAGTCATAAGCAACCAAATAACATTGGACACTAAGAATTCATTTCTTACTGCCATACTTGCACAAGATCTTTCTTCTGTATTTTATTAGTTTTCTAAAGCATACATCATATGTTTTTAGCATGGAAATTGAACATAAATCCTATAGTCTACACATCATGGATTACAAATTTAATATTTATTTATCAAACATTGTATTGATATTCATTTCCTATAAAACTTAATAAGAAATATTAAAATTGTGAATCTGCCATGTTTGATTTTCCAAAATGTTACACAGTAAGCAATCTGAAAGCCTTCTTTTCTCCAAGCGAATATTAACTGCAATTTATTTTGGTGATTTTCATCTATTTCAGCTAGAATTTTTAAAGTATTATTATCAGGTAACTATTTGTGAGGGTGTAGTATTTGGGAGCAAAATTATGATTTGTAATCCAGACTACAATATATTTATAAAAATTGTAACTTAGTCAACAAGTTTATCAATGCTGTATCTGTGATATGTTGGTAATGTTGTTTAATAAAAATTTTTTTTTTTTTACTAACTGACTTTATGGGACACCAGTTTTAATGTACCAATAACACGATTCCTCTACCCCAATTTACCATTGTTTGGATGCTAGGTTATTCATTCTCTGAAATAATGCCTTCACAATTGGGCCGTCTGATTGAGCGATTCCTTCATTTGAATGTCAATAAAATGAAATGGGTTTAACATCCTGCTATTCTGCACAGACTGAGCTAATGAAGGCGGGAATACGCCATACGGTGTACTATGAGGGAAATTGTGTCCGGACGGCAGAGGTACATTCTACTCATATATCGAATTCCAACTGACAAGGGTTCTTGTATGGGCATGCCAATGTGTAGGCGGGACCGCGGTTTTTGGGCCCATTCGAGAGAGAGAGAGAAAGAGAGAAATGGGGTTTGACGTCCACTTGACACAAACTAGGTCATTTTGGGACTAACACATGGTTCAATTTTATTTCAACAATTCGCTTGTGCATAGGGATCTTTAGCGGAGGGAGGAAACTGGAGGACCCAGAGAAAACCCACGATGTTGGATGGCCCATTCAAATGACTATATGTTGTCCCCTGCCAGTCCTTCTGTCCTCCATCACTGACAAGGGAGAACCACGTGGGAAAACTCAGATGAACTTTCTCAGCCAACACCGAATGTCACATGGGACCTCCAGGTTAGCTAGCGCATTTGTTACTCTCTAAGCCACCCTTGTGAAAATATAATAAAACAACAACCATGAACAAAGATTTAAAATCTAACATTAATTTATAAATAAATCAAATAAGTATGCTCTCATTTAATATCATAGTTTAAAACAATTAAAGCAATATATCACAATTCAAATGAAAAGAATTAAAAATTTGATAAAACAATTCTTATAAAATCAGACAACTAAAGTTTTAACAATATGTACTGTGTATATTGATTGACTAAAATATCAAAATTTATTATTCTAAATAATTTTCTGTGTTTTTTACCCGTACATGATAGAATTAAAATAGAAATAATTACTCTCAGGCAAATACTCCCATTATTATCTCCCTTTGAAATATATTCAGAACAGGCCTTCATTCAAAATCATGACATAATCTAAATTGAATGCTTCAGAACTGGAGTCTCCCAATCCCGCGAAAGGTGATATGCTTCAGAACTGAGTCTCTCAATCCCGCGAAAGGTGACGACGAGGCATGTTCCAAATCAATACAATCATATCTCCACCAATCATCACCACAGAAACAAATTCCTTATGGTTGATTGTGTCTGGACTTGACTCACGCACCCTCGTCATCAGAACAGAAAGAGCCCATTTCTGTAAAACTTGGAATGTTCTAGACTCTTATTGAAGTATTCCACAAAGGTAGACTGGATTAGCAACGGACACAAACACAGTTTAAATCTAATTATATTTACATCAACTTACTGCTAAACATCGTGAATATAACTGAAAAATTTTAGAAGATGTAATCCATAAATAACATTCATATAAATTAATTTTAAAAAGCTGCCACTGTTCTCCACTAACAATTTTCAACCGGCCAAACCAACTATGACAATGCTTGAGTCTGTGCCTAGCTACAGCTTTAGTACAGCATTTGGACATGTTTATAAATGAAACAGCATTGGCTGGAGTTTTTAACGATGATTCTATTCCACGTATTACATCGTTTGTTTTTAATATCAACAACATCTGTCTGGGAATTCGGTTGAGTATATCAGATATTTCAAAGATATATTGAGCTGCATTTTGTCGTATAACATCCGCCTACAAAGAGAAATGAATTCTAGTCAGGTACATACTCAAATGTTCAATGGAATAACTACAAAATGACTTAAAGGATATGAATTGCCAACTGTTATAAATATTGATAATCCCAATCCATTGGAAAATAATACACAGGGTTTAACCTCATAACAGTGGCGTCAATTTTACTCCATGTGAAATATAGGGAGAAGAATTTAGAACAATAAGTACTTTTACAACTGACAAGGAAATATGTTTCTGATTAAAAAACACAGATCTATATTTTGTTTCGTTTTTTTATACTTTCGATGGCCTACACTTCATTGAGATCCGACAAGTTGTACTCAAAGGTCGTGCCAGGGGTCGTATTAATCGATCAGCGTTGGCGTGTCTAGTGGTTTACCCACAGTTCTGTGCATGGCACGATAAGAAGTCGCTGTAACAGACTGTTTCATTGGCTTATCCCTCACCTTAACCAAAATGCCGGTAATATAACAACTCTTCCAGATCCTAGGGTAGTAAAGACAAGTAAAACGAAATATTGAACCATAAAAAACGAAACAAAATAGGATCTGTGTTTTAATCAGATTGGTTTCAATTTTATTTCAATAATTTGCTTGCACATAGGGGTTTTTATTAGTGGGAAACCAGAGGATTCAGAGAAAACCCACAAGGTTGGACAGGAAACTCCTACTTCTCGTTCTGTTAAAGTCGGGAATTGAAACCATGCAACTGACTCAATGACAGACCTTATGATCTAAAGGGCACATGTTAAGAGCACTCGACCACCTTAACTGAAATGGGGTTTGCTGTCTTAAATTTCTGCAATAACTGGGCTAATGAAGACAGGTATATGCTATATAATGAGCTATGAGGGAAATATTGCCCAGACAAAGGCGCTACAGTTTACCCCCATTTTGATTCCTACTGCCAGGGGATCTTTAATGTGCTGCCAATGGTATACATGGGACTTTAGTTTTTGGCCTTGCCATACCCTTTATTTTGCACCACTGATAAGTTGGAGCCAGGCTTGACAAAAAAAAAAGAAGACAATAGTGTTTTGAAACGTTATTGAATATAATAAACCACAATGAATTTCATTATTTCATACCTCGGATTCGGAAACTTGTGATTTATCTATGCCTTTAGTAACAGAGTCCCATGATCTAGCTGTCAACATACATGCAAATAATCCACTCAGATGTCCAGCATTCATAGCTTCAGCATATTTCTTAATACCATCTACATCTGCTTTTATTAAAGACATCCATAATTTACAATAATTTAATCTAAATTCATCTGTTAAAGACTGGAATATATAATACAAAACATTAAATAAATTTAGTCAATACAATAAAATAATAAAGGTTTAACTTAGCATCTGTTAGTCTTTTGTGGTTGATTTGAAAATTACTTTCTTCATGAGAATCTGTCAGTCTTTTGTGGCTGATTTGAAAATTACTTTCTTCATGAGATTCTGTCGGTCTTTTGTGGTTGATTTGAAATTACTTTCTTCATGGCTTTGGTACTTGCAAAACTTAATATGCATGTGCTATTTGTAGAACTATCTGCACACCATGCCATCTTATATACTTTTCTATATTTATTAGCTTTTTAACCATGTGTTTTTAAAGAGCTATTCATACATCTTGTGTTTGTGTTTTTTTTCATACACTATTTCTAATATTGTGTTTTACACCATGAGGTTTATATGGAGCTATTTTTACATCATGAGGTTAATATGGAGATAATTCTACACCATATGGTTTTTATGGAGCTATTTTTACACCATGAGGTTGTTATAATAACTATTTCTACAATGAATGGTTTTAAGGAACTATTTCTACTAACCTGATAAATACCGTGATCAAGTAGAACTATTTCTACACCATGTGGTTTTTTATTAACTAGAACATTACCAGGATGTGGATCACAGTGAACATAACCTTGTACAAATATCATCTCACTATATAATATACCTAATTTCTTTGTAACCTACAAAACAATTATGTATTAAAGGGCATATAACTCTATGCTTTGGAACCAGAAGATACTTGTTCTAAAAGCACATATTAATGTAGATAAAATGATTTACATTTAATTTTTATAAAGTTAATGTAATTTCTAATCCATTATGCAAACATGAGAAGAAAAAAAATCATTTGAAAACATTGTCTGTATTTTAGCAGCATATCAAGTCATAATCAGAGTTTGGGGACATTTTTATTTCTAAATCACATTTAATGGCTTGTGGTATGTTTTAAGGTGCATTTTAGCACTTAAAACCCCAAAATATCTCCCCATTATTTCCATCTTCATTAGATCGGCTGGAGCAGAAATTTCTGTCTTCATTTTATTCCTTCTCCTTATTACTGTCCATGACATCCATCAACAGATCATTAAGATTGTGATTGAAATAGTAAAAAAAAAAGCTTTAGAATTATATTAATGTACATTCACCTCTTGTACTGGTATACCATGTTGTTTCATGTATTGTCTATCATCTACTTTACCACCCTCACAATATTCCATTGTTAACACTCTTTCTGATGACAAGTTCCAATATATCTCAGGTACCTACATATATATATATCGACAATATACTAAACCATACCTCATTATATTCTGATATATTATTTTGAAGACATCTAGTTTTTTTTTTAATATATAAATTTTATCAAATCGGCTTTACAATTACTGGTAGAATATATATTCAAGATATAACAGGAAACCACTGTCGATCTTTCATTCTCAGTTCTTATCTGGCTTCAGATGTGAGAGTCCAGAACATTCCAAATTGAAAAAATTGTGAATACGATTACAGTTAATTTCAATAAATAATGTAGTGTTAGTAGAATCATGATGTAATTAAACATGACATATATCTAATTGTTTCAACTGTGTTGATATCCAGTTGGCTAATAGTTTATTTGATTGTTAGACTTTGAAACATTAGTCTATCTAATTTCAGAATGTTTATTTGAGTATCCTGTAAATGATAAGAAATAGTTTTCAACAATTTCTATACACATACCTTCAAAAAATCAAAATCTTTTAATACTCTTGCAATTCTTTCACAATTCTTTCCTTCATGTAAAAAATCTAATTCTAGTGGCAGGTTTCTCTTTGTTTCTTCTGCCAGCCATTTATATTGAAAATCAGGAAAAATGTACGCTACTGCAGAAACTAGAAACTGAAATAATAAAACATAGGTTGCCAGGTCAACAACAGCTAAGTTGTCCGTAAGTCCATAAGGGGGATCACATTTTTGGGGGTAAAATGGAAGAATTTAATTGACACTAACAAATGATCATCGGCATCAAGACATAATTACTAGAAAAAGTTAAAACTTAAAAAGCTTTTAGTTTTTCTTAGAGCTAACTTACATGTGAAATGAAATGAAAGGAAATGGGGTTTAACGTCCTACTGTTCTGCTCCGAACTGGCCATAAACTTCATGCATTGTACAAATTGTCTGTCATATTTCATACATGCTTCATAGAAACGGCAATAGAAGGAATGAAGTACCTACTGTCATTGTTTTAATATCTACAAAAGAATGAGCTTTAACTTTAGGATGTTGTATTTTAACAGCTACTGTACGACCATCTTTAAGAGTAGCTTTATGTACTTGAGCTAATGATGCGGCACCTAAAGGTTTAGGTTCAAAACTTGTAAACAGCTCTTCTATCTGTAACCAATAATATAACATAATTAATATAAATTGGTTAATTTTAAGTTCAGCTGAGTTGAGTGAGTTGGGGTTGATTTTGAGTTCAGGTATTTTTTAAGAGTTGAGTCTGTTTTGAGTTATTTAACTGCATATAGACTGAATATTTATACATTGATCTTTAACACTTCTTTCAAATTAATTTATTATGATTGACTGTCTCATATTTGAACACAACTAATCTGAACATTGCTGGTATTTTAATAGTATAGTCAGTTTAGTCACCAAAATGTAAATAGATATGTTTTATCAATTCAATAAAATCAAATGTTCGAATAATGACTTACAATCTTCCAATATTAAAACTAATATTCGATATGATTATGAGGTGTAACACGTAACAAAGTTCTAGTTCAGACTTCAGACTAAGGCCTAAAATATAATGCTAGCTAGGTGGTACACAACCAATCCATAATCCAACCTCAGCACTGGACTTGAATGGAGTCAATGAAATTAGGTTCTTGATCTTGACTGATACCAATGAATATATACAATCAGTTTATTTTCTTTGTTGTGCTTTATATTATCAATTAAGGATGCATTATTTAAGGGCTAAATGTTATATACATTATTATTTAGACATTTATTCAACACTCTGGAACATTGGATGGTTGATACTGAGTGAATTAAACATTGTCTGCTATATCTTCGTTAAACTTTAAAATGGAAAATAGTGACTTCATTTAGTACCCCAGCAATGGTACTTGACAATCGAGACTATCCTATTTCTTGTCAAAACTTAATGATTCAATCATTCATAATTTCGCTCAGAATAAAGAAAATTTGACAGAAATTTTCAATATATTACTAACCTTTTTACCTAAATCTTCTTCTACAACCTTAAATAGTTCCGTTAGAGGTGATTCGGGTGCTTTATCATGTAATACTTTCAATACTTCAATATATTCTGTAGGTAATAAATATTCTAATGATCCAAGATGTTGTCCAACTTTTATAAATGCACCTCCATTTTTACAGCACATTTCTCGTAACCTCAAAGCTGAACGAGTATGTACCTGTATATACAAACACAATTACATGTGGAAGATTATTTTAACTACTATAAGGTCTACAAGATCTTTAAATCACTCAAGTGCAATAACTCCAGCAGTAATTACAGGAAGTTGTTGAAGCCCAGTTGTTGTTTTTTTCGTCGCATGAGCATATAAAACACTGTGTATAATTGTAAGTCAACCAGATATTAAGTGCCTAGATCACTGGACTGTTTACACATGGGAGCCATGGTGGCTCAGTGAGTAAGACATTGACAAACTACACTAATTCTGAGATAATTCAATTGTCTAAAAAATTTCAACTGTAGAGAATACCACTTTTGATACAGGGGGTTGGGTGGCTGAATGGTTAACATGTAAGCGTGAGGTCATAAGATCTTTTAATTTATTGAGTTAATTGGCGTGGTTTCGGTTCCCGGCTTGTACGTGACAAGGAGTAGGGTCACCTGTCCAAACTCGTGGGTTTCCTCCTAAAGACCCCTATGCGCAAACGAATTATTGAAATAAAATTTAACGACATGTTAGTCCTGAAATGACATAGTTTATGTCTAGTGAATGTTCAACCAATTTCTCTCTCTATCTGCACCCTTAATAGGAGCATCTACAAGACTTCTGGAGAAACAAACTTATATATCCTTTTTAAAATTATTCTTAACAAACCTGAGATTTTATTTGTTTGTATGGAAGATCTTCTGGGTTTAAACCATACAGTGATGTCTTGTAATCAATTACTACTCTAACTGCCTTAAAAAAATATAATATATATGTACATAAAATTATTCTATAAAATATCATCCCTATCAATTATATATATTTCTATTTCATTATAGATTTATTTTAAACATTCACTAGTGACAAATATAATATTAATATTTGGGCAACATCTAATTACACATACATATATATGTATGTATTAAAAAGATTCATGGCACAACGTGCTAATTTATTAGGAGACAACAAGGTCAAACTATTTTTTTATGTAATTGCAAAGCTCTACTGAGAAAACAATATAAATTTAGGCAGTTCATTTTATTTTGGATAAATTGTCTAATCTAAACCACCTGAAATATCATGTACGGTAGCAATAAAAGTTAAAAATTTATGGTCACTCACTGCTAAAGCTGCTCGTCCAAATCTGGCAACTCCAATAGTTGATACTTCCCAATCATTGTGTTTTAATAATAAACCAGTACCCCCAATAGCACCAGCTACAATACCAAATTTTACAGTCTTCTTTAATCCATGTCTAATCATTTTTGCTGCTTATAAAACTAAAGTAGACCTATCAAGTATAAAGACAGAAAAACTCATGTTGTTTGGATATATAAAACTCATATGAAAACGCTAAAAATTGAATTCTGTGTTAAATTAAGACACAAAACATAAAAATATAGTTTGCAAGGCAACAAAATAAATTATTTCAAGGAGTTGAACAACCTAATGATGGTAATTATATGACCTCTAAATCGTTTAACCGGATTTCAGATAATTTAAATGGCCAAACTCCTCCTAGTATCTAATATTAGCTAGAATACAGTGTTGTTATCAGCAACATGCATTACAAATGTAAAGGTGTTTAATATGCTTTGGTGACAACAAGGCAGGCCTTATTAAAGAAATTTGCGATTTTTGTTGCATAAAAAAGTCATAGCCAATAACATTATCCTTCAATATAATTATAATGAGTATACTTTGTACAGGCGAAACCAGCCAGAGCAGTGGTGCAGGATGCAAAATGAAAAGTGTCTAGTTGTTCAGACGGTTGGAACATGTACAAGAACCCTTGCCAGAATTCGATCAAGAGTCGGTGGATACGCTGCTAATCTGATTAAAACACAGATCCTATTTCGTTTCGTTTTTTTTTTATAGTTCAAAATTTCGTTTCACTTGTCTTTACTGCACTAGGATCTGGAAGAGTTGTTATATAACCCGCGTTCTGGATGATGTGAGGGAATAGCCACGGAAATGGTCTGTTACATCGAGTTTTTGGCGTGAGGTGCATGGAACTGTGGGTAACGCACTAGAAACCTCAACGCTGATTGGTTCATCAAAAGTCTGATGTCATTGGGTCAAAAGCCACTCGTATGATCCCTGACACAACCTTCCACTACAACCGGTTAGATCTTCATGTAGTGTAGGCCATCGAAAGTATAAACAAGAGCATCGCTAACGCAGCAATATACGTCCACATTCCTGTTTTGTTTGATATGGTCCAGTTTGCATTGAGGGTCTGTGAAATAAAACTGGGTTGTAGGACTGCTATCAGTTTAACACTTCGTTCACATGAACAGAACACAATTTTTATTTTAAAACAATCGATGTCTTTATTCTAAAAGCATGACGTTTCGAATAGGTATGCAAAGTTTCAAAAGGATCTGTTAAGAATTGCGGTCTGTAGGCAAAACACAGGACACACAAACGTTAGGCGTGGCTCTGTCCCAAGGGGTCGAGCATGCACCAAAAATAATAATAGAGGTCGGCCTTAGGATTAAGGAATAAGTATAAAAAGTAGCCTTAGGCTATAAGGAATAAGTATAAAAAAGTTTTCAAGATGATCGATTAAGAAATGCGGTCTGCAAGTGACACACAGACATAAAAAAAGAAAATGGGCGTAGCTCTGCCCCTGGGTGTTGGGTATTCACCACTAATAATAGGGATGTTCCTTAGGATAGAAGGAATATGTATGCTAGGTTTCAAGGTGATACGATAAGAAATGCGATCTGTAGATGACAAACAAATAAATAAATATAAGGGATGGGCGTGGCTCTGCCCCTGGCGGTCGGGCATGCACCAAAAACAATAGGGATCATCGTTAGGGTATAAGCAATTCATATGAAATTTTTTCAAGACGATTGATTAAGAATTGTGGCCTGTAGGTGACACACAGACATAAAAAGAAAAGAAAATGGGCGTGGCTCTGCCCCTGGGGGTAAAAAAACAATAGGGATGATCGTTAGGGTATAAGCAATTCATATGAAAAAATTTCAAGACGATTGATTAAGAATTGTGGCCTGTAGGCGACACACAGACATAAAAAAGAAAATGGGCGTGGCTTTGCCCCTGGGGGTTGGGCATGCACCCAAAACGATAGGGATGTTCCTTAGGGTACAAAGAATAAGTATGCAAAGTTTCAAGATGATACGTTAAGAAATGTGGCCTGTAGACGACAAACAAACAAATACAAAAAATGGGCGTGGCTCTGCCCCGGGGAGGCTTGCATGCACCAAAAACAATAGGGATCATCCTTAGGGTATAAGGAATAAGTATGTAAAGTTGATACGTTAAGAAATGCGGTCTGTAGATGACAAACAAATAAATAAATATAAGGAATGGGCGTGGTTCTGCCTCTGGGGGTCGGGCATGCACCAAAAACAATAGGGATCATACTTAGGGTATAAGCAATTCATATGAAAATTTTTCAAGACGATTGATTAAGAATTGTGGCCTATAGGCGACACACAAACATAAAAATAAAAGAAAATGGACGTGGGTCTGCCCCTGGGGTCGGGCATGCACCTCAAACGATAGGGATGTTCCTTGGGGTACAAAGAATAAGTATACATAGTTTCAAGATGATACGTTAAGAAATGCGGTCTGTAGATGACAAACAAATAAATAAATATAAGGAATTGGCGTGGCTCTGCCCCTGGGGGTCGGGCATGCACCAAAAACAATAGGGATCATACTTAGGGTATAAGCAATTCATATGAAAAATTTTCAAGACGATTGATTAAGAATTGTGGCCTATAGGCGACACACAGACATACAAAGAAAAGAAAGTGGGCGTGGCTCTGCCCCTTGGGGTCGGGCATGCACCCCAAACGATAGGGATGTTCCTTAGGGTACAAAGAATAAGTATGCATAGTTTCAAGATGATACGTTAAGAAATGTGGCCTGTAGACGACAAACAAACAAATACAAAAAATGGGCGTGGCTCTGCCCCTGGGGGTCGGGCATGCACCAAAAACAATAGGGATCATCCTTAGGGTATAAGGAATAAGTATACCAAGTTTGAAGAAAATCCATGAAGAATTGCGCCCTGTAGGCGAACCACAGACACACACACACACACACACACATACATACATACACACACACACACACACACACACACACAGACAGGGGCGACGGCATAATACGTTCACATTATGAATGTGGACGTATAAAAAGCGAAACAGAATATAGATCTGTATTTTAATCAGATTGAAACGCTGCATGCATGACATATGTCTGTCTGTCAGCAAAAATGTAATGTAAGACGTTCAACTTCAACTCCATTTCATATCATTTCTAAATATTTTGTATACATGCAATTTACATATAAGGATAACTTAACTTGTTGGACAAATATATGAAATGAAATAGGGCTTAATGTGCTACTTTTCTGCACTGACTGGGCTAATGAAGACAGGCTTGCACCATACAGTGTGCTATGAGGCTTACTCTTATTTTGAATTTCAACTGTCAAGGGTTCTTCTTTTACGTGCACATCAATGTATACACAAGACATTGGTTTTTTTGCCTTATTATCCGAATGACCACACACTGTCCTTGCCTGGTCCTCTGTCATGCACCACTGACAAGGGGAAAACACTCTGGAAGATCCATGGAACTATATCGGTCAACATCTTAATTGTATAAAATAGTAAAATAAGGTGTTTCAGCAAAGAATATGTGTTATTGTCAAAAAGAATAAAAAAAAAAAAATCTTTCGCCCGATTTTTTCTGACAGTGACAGTGATCGAAAACTGGATTTCAAAGAATCTTGAAAAGTCTAGGAAAAGAGACAGTTGGGGAAAAGAGACAGTTGGGGCTATTAGTATTAATGAATGACAAAATGTTTGAAAGTTACCGTTCAAGATATAACACAGTTTTATTAACATTTAACAAACTTGTTCATATTCACATTTATTTTGGTTCTCCCTTGTCAGTGATGCAGGACGGAGGGGCTGACAAGGAAAGCTGTCTAGTCGTTCGGATGGGACGAAAAACCGAGGTCCCGTGTACACATTGGCGTGCACGTAAAAGATCCCTTGGCAGTTGGAATTGGATATAAGAGTAGGCCGTAGTGCCGCTGTCCGGGCAAAATTTCCCTCATAGCACACTGTATGGCGTATGCCCGTCTTCATTAGCCCAGGTTTGGAGCAGAACAGTAGGACGTTAAACTCCATTTCATTTCATTTCATTTCACATTTATTTAATCTAATCTCGACCTCTACTAACCTGTCGACGGCCGACAGCAGCCTTCCTCATATCGCGAGTGACCTCCCTTGTACTGTTTAGATTATCCAGACTTCCATATAGATTAAAGAGACACCCATAGAGTTATGGGGGCATCTCACTATACGCTGTCTGTAGCAATCTGTTTCACAGAGAATTACGAGTCTCGTATAATGTCTCTGTCATAGATGACTGCCTTAACACGTGCTGTCATAGCACGCGGTGTGAATCATTGGCTGAATGGCGCGTGCATTGTTTACATAAGACATAACTGCTTCGGAGAGAATGCTGCATTTTAGTCATTTTAATACCCATTTACACTAAATCGGAAATAATTTTTAACTACAAATACGTCAAACGCCTTTATTTATTATCCCAATATATACCAAAAATGTTTTAGAATTTAATTTGTCGCAGCAAAAAAGTTAATATTTCTAGCTCATTAAGCCGCATCAATGTCATCCTTATCAGTGATTGTACAGTAAGAAAAACCTTTGCTCGTCGAATCTGTTTAGTCGGGTTCTATCCTTATCTCTATTTAATCGAGCTACCGAAAAATTCGCTTCTGAAAACACATTGGGCCCTAAGACCGTTGCTTTAAAACAACCTGAAAACTGAGTCTACATTTATTCAATCGGCAAAAAGAGTGTATTGGGTTTTAAGGATTAAAAGTCAAATAATTTTACTTGACTCTGAGTTTGCATTTTGAACGAAAATAACATTTCTCATATTAGGTATATTCAGGGCCCTAAATGTAGATTCTGTGTATATTTATTGGTGGTAAGATCTTGCCGCATAAAAGAGCTACATGTGTCACAACATTATCATTGCGGAAATAAACGAATGCTTTCGAATTCCAAAAGGACAACTGCTGGTTATTTCCGTAAATGACTCCACAACTAATAATATCATAACACGTACAGTATTTTATTTTGATGACTTAGAACAATAATAGCATAAAGATGAAATGGTTTGAAGGACAAATCGCACAGGCAGTTCAAACATCCAAGGCGAAGAAATCTGTTTTCATAGTGTACATCTCTGGTAAATATTCAACAAATTCGGATGTTGAATAGGCCGGCCCCTGCCTTGCATATGCTATTGATTATTATTTATTGTGTAAAAATAATGTTATTGCCAATCACTGAATCAGTGATTGAAAATGACGATATAAATGAGGCTATTATATTTATTGATTGATGGGACTAAAGTAAATGTCAGCTCATAATAAAGCATGGTAATTAAATGTAGGCCTACCACTACCACTACCAGTTCTAATGAAGAACTGAATGTAATCATAAAAAATTATCACAATGTCGCTACCGTGTATGTAAAGTAGACTACTTCTGAAGGGGTCCTTGTCGGCAATAGCATCATATAGCCCGTTCAGACGCTTATTTTTAAACCAGTTCATAATCGCTGGGGTTTTTAAGACAGCATCGTGTTGCATTCACACGTACTATAAGCCAAACCAGTTTAACTATTCTGACCTCTTCGGTCGGAGGTTAGAGTTAACTGCGCATGGGTAGCTTCATATTCTTTATTCGGTTCTCGCACGCTTTCGATAACATTGGCACTGTCTGACCCCAATATTTTCACAGGAATGTAACTAACTGCGTACTGCGCATGCTCGAAGCAAGCTGGAGCTGGGGTTTTTAAGCCAACCCGTTCAGACGGCTAAGATGAACCAGTTTAAAGTAAAAAGCCTTCTCGAAGACAGGTCGCGAGCAGGGTTTTTTAAACTGGTTTATTTGCCCCACATTTGCGTTCAGACGCTTAAGTTAAACTGGTTTAACGATCCCCGGGGTTTTTAAACCAGTTCAACTTAAGCGTCTGAACGGGCTAATAGACAAGTACCTGAGGTACCCTTCTATATACAGAAGAGTGAGCAATCTGTTGAAAAACTTGGTAATGGTACTTGACTTAACATAACTTCTAAGGGTACCTGAGTTTGTAAATCTTGCAGACAGCCACATGATATTGTCGTAAAAAAAATTTACTACCTCGGTGTATGACTTTCTAATTTGCTATAAATATTTCCGTAAATTGCAGGAAACCACAACATAATTGCAGTCATAATAAATATACCAAACCATTCTTCATGAATATTTCTTTCTGAGTAAATTACATTAATCTCAATGAATAACGTGTGTCAATATTTGGGTACTCTTTCAGAAAATTGATCGAGTGCTGTTGCGTAGTTTTTCAGCCAATAGCATAGTCTTCTGTAAACAGAAGGGTATTCAGGGTAACTTTAGCATAGCTAACTATCAAATTTAATTCATCCTTTTTAATGTTTATCATATTTGGTTTGATTTTTTAGGGTTTTTTTTTTTTACATTTGTAACTGTCATTGAAAATTTATGTTCTTTCTTGCACCCATATCAGACAACATAGGTTACTTAGTCAATTAAATTTAAACTTGGGTGGACTGGAAAGCAGGGGACTCATTGGAGGAATTAATTTAAGAATTTACCACCCAGCCAGAATGAACATCAAACATGCAACAATATGGTCACAGGCAAGCCTGGAAAATGGGTATTTGTGATAGACATTGTCATTTATCAAGGACTAGTTTGTTAGTGACCTAGGCCCATATTTTCGAACAGTGTCAAAAATAATCTGTGATTAGGTCTAATCAGTAACTAGCTAGTTAGAGATTAGTGGTTGACTAAGTTTGGTATTCTCAAAAGTCAGATTAGCTAATCGTTGACTATTATTTTTTGTAATCAACGATTAATATTCATGTTTAAACTTTCATTATAATTAAACATTTAATCAATGATTATATATAATCATATAATTTTCCGATAATTACCTCCAGAGTTACGGCCCTTGATTACTTTGAAAAATCTTATGGACGCTCCATAGGCTAAAGGTTATATCCGATTGACTTTAAATTTATACACAGTATTTAAGGCCACGAGACGGAGGATCCTATTGATTTCTGATCTTTACTACTAGAGTTATTGTCCTTGATCACTTTGAAAACTAAAGTTAATATCCGTTTGATTATAGATTTATACACATGAGATCAGGAATCCTGTAGATTTTCAACGATTTCCAATAATTACTGCCAGAATTATGGCCCTTGATCACTTTGAAAAATATTGTGGACGCTCTAGAGGCTAAAGTTGGTAGGGCCTATCCGATTGACTTTAGATTTATACACAATGTTTAAGGTCAAGACTTTAATTTTATACACAGTATGTAAGGTTATTGATTTCCAGCGATATCCGATAATTACTGTCAGTTTTATGGCCCTTGATCACTTTGAAAAATCTTGTGGACGCTCTAGAGACTAAAGTTGGTATCCGATTGACTTTAGATTTATATACAGTGTTTAGGGTCATGAGATGGGGAAGCCTATTGCTTTCCAACGATTTCTGATAATTACTGCCAGAGGTATGGCCCTTGATAACTTTGAAAAATCTTGTGGATGCTCTAAAGTTAATATCCCATTGACTTGAAATTTATACACAGTGTTTAACTTCATGAGAGGGAGGGGGCCTATTGCTTGTCAATGCTTTCCGATGATTACTTCCAGAATTATGGCCCTTGATACTAAATGTTTTGTATAGTAAACGTTCGTAGAGGGCAGAACTAGAAACCAAACAAATTCTACTGATTTCTGATATTACTTAAATGGGTTGTTACTCGTGCTCAGATTTTAGAGTCGTAAATGTTGTCATTACTGACCAAAGAAAAAAAATATATGACAACCCTTGTTGACTGCACAAACGACTTAGCTGCTGTGGGTTCCCTTTTGTGCTAAGAGGTTGATTTGTTCCGCTCTTTGCAATTCCTTTTGTTAAAATCTTCTTTGACACTTCTAAAAATTATTTATATTTTGTAGTTTATTCATTTTGACTAAAGTCGCATAATTATTTATGTTTTATATTATAGAGAATGTTGATTATTTCAAAAATCTTTTTTAACAGAATTTACGGTGAATGTGAATTTGTTGGCTTTCGTAGCAAAATATAAGTGCAGTGTGTCTGAATTCAATGAAAAATAATCATTTCTATAACATTCAATACGTTGTAATTGCATATCCATGTACTTAATCCATCCTTAAACTACCCCCCTGAGATGACTAAATATTGGGGTGATTTAGTCAACGATTAAGTACAAGTCAACGTTCGAGAATACCACATTTTATGGTATTCTCGAACAATGATTTACTCACTGATTAGGCTAATCAAAGTTTATAAAAATCTTAGCTTAAAATTTAATTAGCTTTTCAGAATACGGCTGGTCAGAAAATCAGAGATTAAATCTATGATTAGCACTAATCCACTTTTGAAAATACGGGCACTAGTGTCTGACATTTAGTCAGGTGCAAATAAAAATAAAATCCTTATTTCGTGACTTGGTCACAGGCAACTTCTTTGCAGGTCTCTCCTTCCCTATATTATACATACTGCAATCAATTTAAATTGATTAATGAATTTTTCTCCAGGTGAAAATAAAGATTCAGAAGAAGTATCTAAAGCTATAGAGGATAAGAGGGTAGAAGATGTGTGTGAAAAGGGAGATTGTGTGGCAGTAAAAATAAAAGCAAACAGGTTCATATAATAGATTAAATACTAATGCCAAGAATATTTTAATACTTAAAAGAATAACTGTATTAGATACACTTTTTGAAAAAAAGAAGCTATGGCTCTTTGATTTTGTCAGACTAAAGTGCTGAATTGGAATAATTTGTCGTTTAAAGGGAAATTGATTAAGAAGTTCCATCATGGTTAAATTTTTTGTTTTGAAAGATAGAGCATATGTTGGATTGTTTACGGCCGGTAATTTTAGTTACATCTATGCTAAACTGTCAATGGTTGAACACAGAATCAGTTTTATGTACATACCAGTACCTACACAGATTGTCATCTCACAAAACAAATGAACAGTTCAACACATTATGTTTGAAAAGTGTACAAAGAGAGTGGGGACCCTTCCCTTCATATGGTTAAATCGTAACTTGTGCCATTATGTTTGACCCAAATCAAAGAGGTATTTCCATTTAATCATAATGTCAGATTGAATTGATATCAAAGACATTTACTGTGAGGATCAGACATGCTGCCTTACATGTCGTTCACATATGGGGTACTGTAATTGTAAAGAGTAATGATAATCAAACGTAATCATTACATAGTTTAAAGTAATGGTCATGTGGATAATAAATAATTACATTCCAAATATCACGTACTGGTTATTTATATTTCAAACATCTCTTAATTACTTTTTGTTTCAAATATCATTATTTACAACTAGCACCAAGGATGTTGATTATGTATATCTGATACAAATGCAATATACTAAACCAGTAATACTCATTAAAAAACAAGAAATTTAAACTATTTTCAAAGAATGATTACGATAGATAATTAATGTGTATAAGATATAAGCCAGTACTAATATATATATCAGGTAAAGAAATAATCAAATTCTTATTTTTTTTTTCAGTGCTGACTGTGGATTTTTTTCCCAAATTTGTATCCTTTAACAACTGATATAATATAATAATGTTATACATATCTTATAGTATGATATAGTTTATTAGGTTAGTTTGATTTTAGAATCGTTAATATTTCTCGATTAACTATTTCTACTACTGCTAGCAAGCTTCAGTACACTTAAAATCAGATGTTATTTTGATGGTGATTCCATTAAAATAAGAAGACATGTTTAAGAGAATTTGACCCTGGTTTGTGACAACAGTGCAATATCACCATTGACCATGCATAATTACACAACCAGTCATATGTCTTGTTAGTCAAAGGCTTTAAGCATTTTATGCAGAATTTTCGGTATTGCCGGTTTTGATTGCTAGTTGGAAGTGATCAATCACTATATTGTCTTTTTTTATATATAAACGAAATTTAAGCAGTATTAATTTCTTAATGGATGTAAGATCCAGTAGTAGTTGTGCCATCAATATTTTTTATTGGAGAAAATGGAGTTCCGCTAGAAGTGACTGGAGGTGCTATAAATACAGATGATTTAGTTAAGAAAATATCTTCAGTTATTGAGGTATGAACTGTTTTAATCAGTGATGGGATTTCTCCCCTATATTCCAGACATGTCTGGCGCTATTTTCCAAACGTCCTAAATTGTCCGACCAGGAATATGCCCAATTGGACATCAAGACATGGTGAATAATATTCAAAATTCCCAAATTAATATAGTGTACTGAGTGTATAACTATGTTATCCCTGAAATAATCTATAGTTTTTGTTGACTGTAGAGTGGACATTAAACACAAGTTCTCTCTTTATTATACAAAATTACTCTTGAATGGTAGGAATTGCAGGAGCCTTTAATCAATGAACATTAAAGTACAGGCAAGACCACAAATTCATTAAAACCATTGCCTTGGTGAAATATTTTCACTGTGTTATATATTATCATCATGCTGTGTTTATTAATTGTTTTAGCTAAATAAAAGTAAAATTCAGTCAAATCCGACAACACCAGCTCAAGGAGATGGTGATGTGTCACAAGCATCATCTGTCACAGAGCCAGTTACACCAGATGATGCTTTACCATCAACAAGTAGTTCACAAGTCTCTAGTCCACTACCTACACCAGAAGAACTGAAAAGACGAGTGGAAAAGTAAGTATTCAAATATTTTTACTAACATTTAACTGATAGTCTTTAAAACTCAAATGAAATGTTATTATATACTCTTCAAAAAAAGTAGGGGATATTCAGAAACAATACAAAACTGTGGAAATGCACTGCTGTTTTTATTAGAGGTAACCAGTGTATGTTAATAGCAGGCCAATTGCCTACACATGAACATAAACAGTCCATAGAGGTGGCTTATCTGACGGCCCCATTTCACTTGCAAAGAGATACACTGTCAAAAGTGAAAATGGACGTTTTTGATTTTTGTCTTAATAATGAGTAATTGCTCCACCAATCCTCAGACATTCAGCAATTCATTGTGGCATGCTCCTCCTAATCAACCGTCAAATCACGATTTGGGGCAATCTGACCCACTCCTCTTGCAGTGCCACGGCCAATTCTTGCAGTGTTGTTGGTTGAAGTTGACGCCAACGAATACATCTCCCGATCAAATTAAACATAACACACAAAGCAAAGATACGCTAAACAGTGAATCTTATGCAAGAACCGATAGGAAAGCAAACATGGATAGGATAAACCAGCAAGCGGCAGTTTTCATCAACCCTTCCTTGAAGTGTCAAATTTGACAATGAACCCCTCCCACGTGTATGGCGCTATTGCGTGTCGCATGTGCAGATCAGTGGTTCTGTTTGGGCGATAAGTTCTTCATCTGTGAACATACTCTCAAAGCATGTCAAGTGTCCATGACTATTTATCATATGACAACCTGCATAGGTATTTGCATTTCAATATCCCCTACTTTTTTTGAAGAGTATATAAGTAGAATATTTATTGGGAACTTTTTAATAGGGATTAGATAACCTGTTTATCACAAGACCTGGCCCCGACTTCACAAAGCATTCTCACACTTAAGTTAAGAATTTACTCAAAATTGTTCGCCTTATTGTAACTATAATATAGCCATTATAAAACTTTTGTTGTTTTAATGTATCAAATAGATCAATAGGAAACTATGTGCAAATTTTTGTGTTTCTGTATCAAAGATATTTCTCATAAACAGTGATTGAAAGCTAAGTAAATGTTTAACTTGGGGCCTGATTTAGTATATCCTCCCCCAAAAATTCTAAGTACTACGACAGGACACAAAAGTTGCTCAAGTTCAGTTCAAAAAAGGTCTTTATTGGTGTCAGCATAATCAGATCACCATAGACCATTATCAAAATCATATCTTTATATCCCAAATATCTCAGTCCCTCTCGATATTCACGCATTTCAGACCATAACTTCCTGGATTATGGCATCTGATTGTACAAAAAATCTCATTTTTTTTAAAGCTTGTTCTCTATCCATCTCTTGTAAAATGTGGGCGTATCTTGCCAGGCCACCGCTGTTTGAATTCATTATAAGTCTATAAAATATTCCACAAGAATGATACATTTTTGATGTCTGAAACTATTACATTGTGAAGATGATTGATTGACCATTTAATGGCCATGATGAACTATGTAATTCTTTTGTTGAGTTTTAGATTTTTATTAGCTGTTAGTACTAATTTTTCATCTTGATATTCACAGGGCTGAGGAAATCATAGAAAGAAAGAGAGAAGAAAAGATTAAGAAGGAATATGAGGTAACGATTTTCAAAATAATTTTGAGATAATATTCCGGAAAACTACTGTTGCCCGTGCAATTGTGAAGTTGTTTCCATGGTGGTATGTGATAGGGACAACTGTCATTAGCTTAACTTTGTTGGTGTTTACTGCTAAAGGGACATAGATTCAAGCCCCCCCCCACCCCACCAAAATATATTCACAAATGTTAATACCAAAATGGCTTGAATGTCATATTTTTTTGTGTTGTCCTTGGGATTGTTATGTAGGTTCTAGTTAGTTGTTATGTGTAATTAATTAGAAAATTTTATTTTGGTTTTGTTTTTTGTTTTTTCGGAATACTGTAATCTAGTGACAGTTCTATGTATATCAACTTGTCCACATGTAGATTTTACACCTGTAAATGTCAATGTAGTTTGACATAAAAATGAATACTAAACATAATATCAGATTTCAATCAGACTGTTGTTGTGTGATGTGGTCTTCCTGGACTTACTTTTAATCATACTTAATTCTTTTCTCTATCCTGTTTCCTTCGGCTACTAAAGACCTGTACGCACAAGCGAATTATTGAAATAAAATTGAACAATATGTTAGTCCTGAAATGACTTAGTTTGTGTCGAGTGGTTGTTAAACCCTGTTTCTCTCTCTCTATCTTAATAAGGTGTTAAAGTTGAACTATTTACTGTTAATGGTTTTTTAGGATGCTAGACGAAAAGAGGAAGAAAAAAGACAACTGGGTAAAGATGTACAGAAATTACGACAATTTCAGAAAGAAAGAGAAATATTAGATGTTCAGAAACAATTAAAAAAGGAAAAGGAAGAAGACAAAATAGCTAGACAAAAAATAAAAGAACAGATTGCTAGAGACAGGTTTGTAATTTAACATCTGCTGATTGTCATTTGAGGGATTTTGAAATCCTTGCAAAATACAACTTTGTGAAAGGAATATTGTTCAAAAGATAGTTTAATTTGGTGCAATATTTATCAGTCATTGATATTGTTGTTTTGGTTCAAATTTTCACTTTAGCGTGGATTAAGCCTTAAAAAAATGTATCTTTTGACTTAGTATTTGAAGTTCTATTTAATTTACATAGTCTCTGTTTTACTAATGTATTCTTTAAACATAAATTTATAAACCATTATTTTGCATTAATGAGCTTCAGTCAATACGTCGTATTTTTTTATCTAAAAGAATTGTGCCATATATAATAGAAAACTTGTATTGTCATTTCTAGAGCTGACAGAGCAGCAAAATTTAACAAAGAAAAGAAAGAGGAAGAAACAACATTAAGTGAAGCTAAAAAGGCCAAATTACAAGCTGAACAGAGGATAAAAGAAAAAGCTGAAGCAAAGCGAAGGTAGGCACAAAATATAGATCTAATTTTTCTTAAAATCACTTAAAATGCCATTTGAAAATGCAAGATATTTAGATATTTTAAATTCAAATTTTATTTGTGTTCATATAAAAGCTTGATTGGCCAAATTGGACATTCATTTTTTTTTTTACCTTTATTGGAATCATCTTGTTTTTATATCAGTGAAAGTGCAAGAATCCAGTTCCGATTACCAGATGGATCATCTGTACCACAAACATTTCCTTCTAGTGAAACATTACAAACAGTATATAATTTTATTTCTCAGGTAAACATTCCATAACCAACTTCGTCTGTAGTTATTTTACACTGTTATTTGTTAGAAGTGAAGTAAAATAAGCATGCTTCAAGAACATCTAATACCACATACAATAGTAATGTCATGATTTGGTTTCCCAGAAATCAATTATTAATGATATATTTGAAGAGAATTCATCGATGTTTGGCACAATAGTTGACAAATTTTGTAGTTCCTGTAGACAGTGTCTTAAGAAATGATGGTCATACACATGTGTATTTGTTAATAATGAAATAATAGCCGTACACATGTGTATTTGTTTATATAGAGATAATGGTCATACACAAAGTATATTATATACAAGTATATTTGTACAAGAACTAATGGTCATACACATGTGTATTTGTTTATAAAGAAATATAATAGTCATACACATGTGTATTTGTTTATAAAAAAAATAATAGTCATACACATGTGTATTTGTTTATAAAGAAGAACTAGTCATACACAAAGTATATTTGTTTTCAGCATATTGGTGAAGAGGTAGTTTTATCTACAACATTTCCTAGAAGAACATTTAATGAGTCTGATTTAACTCAAACATTAATTACTCTACAGTTAGCCCCTTCGGCTGTTGTCATGGTTGTTCCGAGAGTAAGTTTTTTTGTGTGTTTCCCTTAACCCTAAAAACAAATATTAGCTTTAGTCAAGGTTGTTGCATCTTTTCATTTTAAAAATTAATTTGTCTTTCCCTGAAGAATGAGGAAAACATAAAATGTGTCATTCTTGGTCAATTCATTGGCCAGCATCTATGCAGGTGAGAGGTTTTCAGATTTGAAAATATAGGTCTAATTTTAGTCCACATACTATTAAGATTACTTGTGTTTATGGATGGTACAATATATTTTTGTTAAATGTTTGATTGTTTCTGTATTGATTAAACATTGTTTATTTTGTCCTCTTTATTTTAGAGACGAACAACAGCAGTTCAGAGTCGTTCAGCGGGATCAAGTGATTTTATATCTCTATTGTTGGCACCATTCATGTTTATTCTTACTTTATTACGATCTTTGTTTGCTGGTTCTTCATCGTCATCGTCCCAGCCTTCATCATCTACTGCCTCTTCTCAACCATCATCATCATCATCGTCGTCATCAGCTACAGGAGGAGACAGACAATCTAATCAGTAAGTATATGAATTTGTATCAAGCAAAATGATGGAATTTTTCTGGCAGGGGTGCTCGTTTGTGACTAACAGAAGATCATAAAACAAATACCAAAGGTTGGTAGGCATTTTGATGGCATATTTTAGTACCATTGAGAACAATTTCAGCAAATTTAAAAGAACTAAACACTGTAACCTGGATATCGTTTAATCTTGTGTATTTAGCACTTATTTCTTTCACATTCATTCAATATCAAATCTTTGTTTAAAAATTCGTAAAAATCGTTTAAAATTACCAAAACTCATCTAATTTGTACTTGTGTCCAGTTTAATGCTGACCATTCAATTTTGATAATGACTGTCCAATTTACAAGTGTTTAATTTCTCAATCACTATTAAAAAATAAACAACCCAATTGATTATTGATGTATAATGATTAATTTTTGAACAGTGGTCAGGAAATTAAATACTTGTAAATTGGACACTCACACAAGTACAAATTAGATGATTTTGGGTGATTTTAAATGATTTTTAAACAAAGATTTGATATTAAATGAATGTGAAAGAAATTAGTGCTACATACACAAGATTAAATGATATCCTGGTTACATTGAAAGCTCATTGAGTGTGTTATTTTCAATTAGTGATGAGTATTCTTGGTTCTCTGTGGTTCTTTTAATGCTATTGTCATTATATTCATAACAGTTATTCTGTGGAAAATTTTACTTGTAAGGAATAAGACAATAAATGGTGTCACTTCATTCCTATGATCATTTTAATCCTATTGTACTTTGTTACCATCTCTGGTTAATTTTAGTTGGAATTATAAAATGCCTTTATTGGTATAAAGCAAGATAAAATTGTGATGATTTTATTTTATTCAGAGCTTTCAAACGACAGACAGATGGAAATATTCGAAGATTTAGAAATGCCCAGGATGATGATGATGAAAATGCTACATGGAATGGTAACTCAACACAGCAGATGTAAACTGTGTCCATCTATACAATCTATATTGTTAATATAAATAATTGTTGATTATATTTCAAACTGATAAACTCTTATTTTATCCTATTCTACATGCCTCATATCTGGTGTGGTCATCCGTTCTTTCAACATAAATTGTAGTTATAAGTAAAAGTACGCATATATAGGCAGAATGGACGCATAGATGAATGTAGAAACAGTCATTTTGATTTGATATTCTGCTGATGATTGATCAATTATTATGCAAAAAAAACAAAACATAGAGCTTGTAGAATGTACTGTAAATATGAATGGAGAGTAGTATTTTAATTGAGAATTCTAATGTTATAAAGTATGATAAATTTAAAAACGATGTATTTCAATTATGTTTGCTTGGAAATTAAAATAGCTTGTTTTACATCAGAATATTTTTGCTTACTTGGTAATATAAACAACATTTACCCCATTCTGTGGATTTGACAAAGAATTGTGTGATTTTAAGTAATTGTGGGGGAGGGGGGTAAAATGATGTCTATAAAGTCTTCATCCCATTGTTTATGTAATTCTTTGTTAATTGTAATTATTCAAGATATTTATAAATAATTTGTATAAAATATTTTTTATTATTAAATCCTCTGATATTCTCAGTGTTATCTGAATGCTTTAAGGGAAAATAATAACCATTACATATAATAATATTTAATTTCATGTACATGATATTGAATTAGGAACTATTTCTTTCAATTTATATATCTGGTAATAATGCAGGTGAAAGTTAGCAAACAGTGATCAATCTTGCCATATCCTAACAAAAAAGAATTTTAAGCAAGCAACTTGTCCCTTGAGCAGAAATATTTTAGTATGCATTATTTGTCTGTGATACATCTTTCACTATTCTTACCAAATATATAATATAAACATCCCATGGAATATATTAAATGAGGGATCTGATTGTCTTAAAACCACTGATCTTCAAATGTGTATAGAATTTCTCCTATATCCACTGATGGTCATTTGAGGGATTTTTAAAAATATTGTGAAAGCCTGATTACAGGAGTTACAAAGATATGATGAATTTCCAACATTTGGCAGATGATATAAAAATCCAGCACCACTTTTAAGTGTTGGGTAAAATCTTTTGATGGGCATCTTTATAAATGATTGAATCTGATCTTAATTAAATGATAAATTATCAACTTTAAGCTGTGAAAAATGAGATATTGTCTGAAAATACTTATGTCCATCAGTGGATGCAATTTAGTGTAGATTAAGATCTATGTAAAAATAATTTGGTTTGGCAAAAGGGATAACCACTGTGCTGGGCATAATAGTGTGCAATGTAAATTCTTGTTATAAAATAAAAGAAAGATTATAAATCCCATTTCATTCCTTATAATTTAGAAGCCCAATTATACTGTGGGGGATAATGGCTGGAGATGTTTTAAAAAAAACTTAAAGAAATGAGAACTCTGAGAAAGAGAATCTGCAAATGTACTGTATCACCTTAGTAGGTTTTCTTTTGTGTCATTTCAACCTTACAGCAGTGATTTGAATTTAGGATTACCAGGTAATAATTAACATTTGAAAAAGAATAGGTTTCAGACAGCAGGGGAGTCTTCCTAGCAGTCCATAAAGGCTGGTTACATCTTATATCCTTTTGTAGGTAGGCTAATGTTAGCATTTAACAGGCCCTAAAAAATGTTCATGAACGGTACCACTGTACAAATTTTAAATCGGATAACTTTTATGCCTGGATCATCCACAAGAGTTTTTGAAGTGATCAAAGGCCGTAACTCTGACAGTAATTATCAGAAATCATTGAAATTCAACAGGTTTCTTTGTGTCGTATGATCAATGTATTAAACATACATTACGTAAGAGCTAAATCTGCCTACTGCAGGTCTTTCTTTAGACCTTAAATGTTATTAAGATAAGACCATAATCAACTCTTGGATGCCATTGGACGGCTCCAATTTTAAGTAGATTAGAACGATTCGGCCATTTAATGATTAAATTTAAAAATGGGAAAGCGAGGCAGTCTTGAATATACCAGAGCTGCAGTTACCATAAGAAACAATCAATGCACATATCTTGTCAAAACTACAGTGATAACATGGCTTGGAATAAAGTAATTTGAATGAAATTTCAATATATTCATTTTGCATTATCTATTTTTGAACTATTATAGTAAGAACAACCATCTCTTTATCTAAATCTTGAATAATGTATCTTTAATTGATCTGTAGAGTCCAGGAAAAAAAAAGTACAAAGTCTTCAAACAAATCATGCTGTATCTTTATTTCATTATTCAACCTAACAATCATCGTAAAGTTGTCATAGCAACTAACAAACCTCTTAACACAGGCCTGGTTATTAACAATACTCTATACAGTACATAGATAACTTAACAATAATGATATAACATAAAGAGTCTTTACAATCTTTGGTTTATTAAACAAATAATTGATAATATCTATAATCAATATTTACCTTTCTTGCATAATAATATAATTCAATTTCAGACAATTATTGAAACTAAATGCAACTTGGAAGGATAATCATAATCAAAACAATTGTTACAATTGTTTCAGTTTTTCATAATAAATAAGAGTGTATAGAATAATTGAAGTGTCATTTCTTATCTCAGGTATTTTATTTTCAAAGCTTTGACATTGGAGCCATATTCTCAATTGCTAAACATACTCTTTATGTTTATATTTACGACAGGCGTAAGTCCTGGATAAATAACACCATCAAGAGAAATAAAAACAGCATGATTTAGCGTGATTTTGTGGGTTGTCATTGCTAATATTGAAGTAAAATCACAATTTTTGGAGTTATACTCCTTTGAAAATTGGCTACGCTTAATCATTGAAACAACTGTTGTTTTGGATGAAAACCCACGGTCAAAATTTGTCAAATTTGATGGATGGTGGAGCGGCACAGCACCACTGAGGAATGATGTGTATTTGACATTCCATATCACTGCCTAATCCACATCTGTCCTAAACAAATAGCTAAATAGTCCCTCTGAATAAAAAAAACTGGCAGACATTCATAAAATTATTCTCTTAGCAGCAAATCATTTAATAATGGCAGAGATAACAAGTGACACTCAATAAATTCTACACTTTGATTTCCATAAGCTTTAAAATATTTTCTAAAAATTCAAACAGGAGAGAAAAAGATCATAATGTATTGTCATCTCAATGTACTTTAATCTTCATTCATTTCTCATACTTATCACAATATAACCTCCCCAACAGCTGGGCCGTAAATAATGCATTAACATAAAAATAGTAATTATTGCAAAACAGTGCACCACCATTTCCAGCGTCTACATATCTACACATGTACCTCATCAAGATATTAGCAAGACTTTTAACACGTCTTAAATTCTAACAGAGTAAATACTAAATAAATATATTTGTCACTTTAAAAATAGATTTCATAAGCGGCCAAACCCCGCAACGTGATTGAAAAATTAAACTAATTATTAATAATATCTAATGATTAATATCAAGTCAAACAACTACAATTCCTGTATATGTAAATAACATCTACGTCTTTGGTACTATTTTCTCCCAGCAGTTGACAAAACAATGTTCTACCAGATAACTACCTTTCGAAATGTTAACAGTATTTCGAAGTCTTAGAGAGAGAAAATATCCATGTAGAGTGATACCATTTAATCCATATTATTATTAAGCAAGCCCACAGATATTTAACTTTACCACCCTGACTTAGACAAGTCATGATTTATATATAATTTTGATCTATACACAAGTTGATAAATTATTCAATACACTCACAACAATTTTTTCGTAATATTTACTGTTTTAACCAAATAAACCCTAGGATTGTAACCATAAAAGATCTATTAAGTAGATAATTAAAATTCAGCTGTTTATTGATTTAAATTTAAAATTTGGAAACGGTAAACTGTACTTAAGACTTTAGGTAAAATGTAAGATGATAACAAAGATTTTAATATATCTGAAGGGACCCTGCACTCTACATTAGTATCACAGGAAAGCTAGTGTCTACTATTTATAACTATACAAAAAAACTACTTGCACTCAACAGTGCACAAAGTACTATAATCAAACAATAAGATTAAAAATTTCACAAAGTTTGAACAAATTCAAGGTGCTCAATCTTAGATAAAAATATGCATAATGATTAATATTCATAGAAAATTAGCAATTAAATAACTGCCTAATGTGACTATGTAAATACCGCCCAAAGCTATAGATGAGTAAATATAGTTCAATGAAACATTGCAACAAAAAAAATATTAAACAATGGACAATGACCACTGTCTAGACCCACAGAACACAAATGCTCCTTGTCTCATTCTTTCAAGCCAGCTGCTTCCGAAATTTTGTTGTGAGATTCATGCAAATTCATTTTCTTATTCAATTTGGATAGTCCATTATTACTGCATGAACCCTAAAGAGAATTATCTAAGAAGAACTTGGTCCCTAATCTCCTTTTCAAGATGAACAGAGCAGTTTATTCTGTGTTTTGGGTAAGATTAAATAGACATATTTCATAGAAATTAAAGGATTAATAATATTCAAACAAAACTTGAACAAAAAAAATAATGAAACAATTTGAGAAAAAAAACATCACTAAATAGTGCTATGATATAATCTCCATAAATTCAAATATGTCGTCCAAATTAAGAGATTGCTGAAAATTTGTGCTACATTTAATTGGTCTTATAAATAACATAATTTGATATTATCCAAACTTAAAAACAAGCTGTCATAATTTTATCACAGTGAAATGTTATTTGATCAGTGAAAACAAACAAGGATTATGGATTTTATATAAAAAAATATAGTGTTTGGCAATTAATATGGAATACATTTCAATAGGTTTGTTCTGTAATTCAAGCATTGGTGTGTTGAGGAGCACTTAAAGAAATAATTTAAGATACATTATCTTACTTTACATGGAAATAGTCTGTAGATTCTGAGACAGATGTGCCCAAATTATTAACAATTGCCTAACTTCAGACGATACATAGAGAATCAGAGCAAGACATTCTCACCCTTCTATTTAACATGGTTTACTATCAATATTAATGTACATGCCTCATGTTCAGCTTCTGATCACGAACTTTTTAAAACCATGTGGGGTTACCTCTCATGTTGACTGCTTTATGGAAGCATTTATACACAGATCGCTAGGGTATGATCAGAATGTTTAAAAGATATTTACTCCCTTATTAAAAATTTATCGCTTTAGGAAATTAAAATAAGCTTTTTAATAAATATGGTTTACCTCCTTTTATAATAATTTTTACATCTACAGAATTTCCCATCTTCAGAAGAGCATACATTTGTGTGATCAAAACGTTTTTGGGTTGAATATGTTTGACACGGATTCTCTACACATGACAAATAATTAAATATTGCACTGGACTTTCAATTTTTCCAATGCAAATAGCAACTTTGTAAATTTCAGAATTATTACAAGGACTCCTGTTTAAAACTTAATTAGATGCATAGATTGAAACAAAATACTGCCTTCAGATACACACAATGAGGTTTGAGCAATAACACTTTGCTGTAATTAACATTTCTATTTCATATTATAAAAATAATTCTTATTTACAATTATGAAAATATTCTGGCTTTTGTGTTTATGATTCTTTTCCTGAATAGAATATAATTCTGCATATAACCAACTAAATAAACAGGATAAAAAGAACAGCTTCTAAACATTTCTAATGTTATATTTAAAAAAAACCAATTTATCAGTTACAAAGGTCTGGATCTTGCTAGTTGAAGTCATTCTTTGAAAAGAAAGCTTTTTAAGACATTGCATTTGTGTACTAAAAATAACTTACTTTCAAATTTTTACAGGAATAATTTGCATTAGTACAGGATTTTGGCTTTTGCTATCTAGACAAATGAATGAACTGAAAACAGAGAATATAATATGAATTATTTAATTTTTTTTAAACAAAATTAGTAACTTTATTTCCTCACTATCTCAAACTAAAGACATTCTGATCAAAAATTAATTTAATTAATAAATAACCATACAAATACAGTTTAGACCTGTTAAGAAGCTGATTTAGCATAAATTAATAAACTAAGCAATGATTGACTTTGTGCAGTGCATCAAATATTATTAATAAGTGAAATAAATATTTGTACAATTTGGTTAATATTCCATTTAAATAATACAGATATATTGATAAATTTACAACCCATTGAAAATAAAAAAAAGTTTTTTTCAAACAAACAACCTTAATGAAAAAATTGTACAATTAATTAATAAACTGTGACCATTAATTAATATAAATAATTTATTTGCAGATGATATGCATATTATCTGAGGTCTATTAAATCCACAAAAATAAGGAATGACACACTTTTGAGTAAAAAATGTGAACTGTTTAATAAAAACACACATTATAACAAATTCACCACAAAAAACATATATGAGAAAAATATAATAGGGCACAATTTCTATATCACTAAGTTATCTAATTTTTATGTTATGTAAAACATATAAGCTCCATGTACATATCTTGGAAAAATAGAGTTCAGTTTAATATTTTGTATGTCAAAGCAATACCTAATTTCACTTCTAAATATTAAAATATCTAACTACATATAATCTACAATTACTACCAATACTACTTTTTATCACCCAAACTATATAACATTTTACAACATTACTGATTCTAGGTTACAAATTTGTCAACCAAATTAAATGCTTTAATCAATCCATTTCTATAATTCACAGTCTAATAAATCATTATCAATTAAAAACGCAAATCAATGAGAAGGAATGAAGTGTTTGTCATTCTCCCCTGCGTTTTGTTTGAGAACATGCAACAGGGATATGCTCATCTCTGCATAGACCTCAAAAACATGCAATTTCCAAATAAAACAAAAATTAATCATGTATGAACCCAATTTAAATACTGCCAAGTGTACAATAGCTAGCTTTATATGTAATTACATAAATATGGAGACGATGATTTTAATTTATCACAAAAACATATTGAACTAATACTAATATTGAACTAGAAAATGACCGGGTCAGGGATTATACAAATTCCCTATTTAATATCTGCTCTCACAACCCTGCAATACCTATTTATATCACTAAACGTTTGTAAACATCAGATCTAACACATCTACAGAACTATAACATTATTTAATATAAACAAACTACAATGTTTACACCAAGACAATATAAAGAATGCTGCAGAAACTACATGAAAACAATTAGTTAATGATATAGATCCATTTTATTATAGTTTGAACACATAAAAATTGCAAAATTCGAATTCAATGAGTATGGAAAGTGTGCTTTTTTAAAAGTTCTAGATGTAAGTATGATCCATTGTGTCAATGAAATTGTATCTATGTCATGATATTGTTGTCAGTTTTTTTTTCATGAAAGATATAAGTACATTTTAAAGTTATATTTAACTGTTGATGGATTTAATTAAATCTGCTCATTTTATTAATACACAGATAAATGATATACACATAATGTACACATTAGGCCACAGTCAGACAAATTTGATTTTCTGTTCTTCAGGTTATTGATAAACAAATAGTCATTTGTGAAAGATGTTTTGTTGTTTAAAATGTCAAAATTAAAAATTTGGAACTAAAAGCTTTTCAACAGCACAACCAAGTACTTTTGGTTTTTAAATTAGTCTTTTTTCCAAAAATATTTTAACAGGTGTTCCAGAAGAACAGAAAAACAAATTAATGTGGCCTAATTATATTCTCTACAGTCTTTTTGTCTTAAAGCATAATGTTTTATCTTAATTTTTGTTCAAATTGAATTCACTTTGTAAAGGATTGATTTTATTACTAAATGAAGGATACTATTTTTGTGAAAGTTATGTTTACATCAAAGTTTCATAATTCTTAACTTTTGATTAAAACTATAAAAAGTTACATTTAATACATCAAATGGACTAGTTGTAACCCTATCACAAATTGATATCGCTTATAACTTTTGAGACAAACTGTTTAATAATTTAATTATTATGGGACTCTTAATACTTTACAATGAAGTTATACATATTCATAAATCTATGATAAAAAAAAATAAATTAAAATAGCACTGAATAATATTATTCGTTGAAATATTTAATATTTTTCTTGTTTTCTTTTACCAACAAAGAGTTTATGTTAACAATAGTCCTTAAGTACGCTTTCATATTTGGCACACTCTGATTCAGAAGTCCTCTAAATTAATTCTGATACAAACGAAACAGTACATTAGTTTCAATTCACTTTGGAGGATATCTGATCTCAATGCTAACAAGAAGGCACTTCTCATATTTCTCTAAAGTACTTTTAATATGATTTCTATCAGATCAAGAAAAATACATCAGCATATAAAATTTATTTGAAAAAAACAACATTAAAGTATTTTTTTAGAACTTTCTGAATAACTCCTGAATAAATAGAATATACAAACGCCCTTGGTTTAATTAATAAATTTGCCATGAAGTATTAAGGGTTTAGAGGTATATACTATACATTGTAATTTGTTGGCTTCCATGGATTCTGGTAAAATATGATTTTATATTTAATAAAAAATATACAGAGATTCGATTCGAAATATTGATAATTTTTCGGTTCCATTAAAATATTGAATAAATAATTTTTCTGGTTAATATTTCTCGTCCAGTATATATTGAATAAATAACTTTTCTGATTAATAATTTTCTTAAAATCTATATTTGTTCAGGCACTTTAAAAAATCTTATTTAAATGAAACTTCATTATTATACAACTATTTTTCTTGTTAAAGCTATTACTTGTCTATGGCACACATTTCCATGTCCGTTATAATTATCGATTTTAATAAATAATAAAACACTACATGGTAAATAAATTATTTGAGACAATGATGATATTTAATTATTTGATTTCTTTAATTATAATATTAATTATAATACACACTTTTTTTTTAAATAACACAAAATTCTATATTTACAATTACTGAACTAACATGATTTTTGAGGAATGTCAAGAGTATAACCATCAAGGTAAACTATTTCCATTTTATATCATTGACTTAGGTTATCCTATTTCTATATCTATATTTATGGCAGTAAAGCTACAAATATTGCAAACAAAAAATCTTCATAAATTCTCAGGTGTGACATCATTTTCATAATTTAAAGTATTAATTTCACTGTGTATTTGGTAACTTAGTGAACAGGTTAATGAGAAAAAACACATTCTTCTGCGTAAATGTATTTAATAATTTATAGGCATTTTGCAGGTAACATTTACCTTGAAAAGACAGATTCAGAGGGATTTTCACAGGAAAAATATCTTAGTATCAGAGATTCAGTTGTTAAATGTCTTTGAAACAGAAAATGACAAAAAATAATAATGCTGATGTGCACAAAATTTGATTAATAGTGCTTTGTGAGCGTGTGTGTATATGAAATTATTACACTTTTCTTTTAAAACAAAAAATCTATGAATGATATGAAATTGTGAGTTAATATTTGATAAAATTGTATATAATTAAGCTAAACAGGAATGTGGTCCTTATATCTACATGGTATATTTATGACCATTTTACAACCTGACTGTGGAATGAACTAAACTGAAATCATAATCCTAAAAATGCAACTTATTTTCATCAACCTGAGATTCTGTTGTTTTGATTAGGAACAAAGAGAGCACAAACCGATATGTCTAATTGCAAATATTATAAATATACTGATATATACATTTGACCAAATATCCGGGGATGTAGATAACTTGTGGAAATTTTACAAAAGTTTTCTGAACATATGCCATACATTGATTGAGGCTGTTTATAAATTTTGCCCTGCCGTCTCACCATATAATAGGTGTTGCGACTAGTTGAGAGTCATGCAAGATACCCCATTTTACTGAATTTTGCAATTATTGGTGTGGGATCTGTTTCCTGACAGCTTCAGACAAACATTTTTTTCCAAAATTCTTCAATTAAACTACATCCCTGAATTTCTATCAACAACCGATTTGAATGATCTAATAATAACTTTATCACTATGTCCTCACAATATTAATCACATAAGAAAAATATACTCTCAACAAACTAGATAACAACTAACGAACTATACACATATTATATATTCACCAATAAAACTACTCCTTATTGAGCCATGTTTACATCATAATCTAAGATCATTCTTCTAAAGATCATCACTATGTCACCACCTATCAACAAGCATCATAAAAAGTAGAATTGTCATAATAATAATAATAATAATTGTCATATTAAATTGCGCAATAAATAATCTAATATGAAAAAAGACAAGCCTCTGTTAATCATTCCTTTAGCTGCAAATGCGATTCCTTCATGTATTCTGTCCGTATTAACTGCTAGCTTTCTCTGCTGCCGGCTTGGACGAGACTTCGGTCCCACTTAGTTCAACAGGATCTATCGTAAAAGACTTCATATTGACAGGATTCTCCAAGTCAATTCCATTCTGTCGTAGAAGAGGATTTCGTTTATCAGCCATCTGTAGAGCACACCATGTAGCTGTTCGAGCTCGTTTAATATGAGCAGTTAATTCACAAATACTTGTTGCTAGTGCCAAAACATCTGTAATGTACAAATGTCAATGTTTAGGAGTTTGATTAATAATGAAACACCATTTTTTTGAAAACTAATTGTGGTCACATCAAATGCTGATCTTACATTACCCAAATCCTTTTCAAATAGTTGATTTATTACAACTGATCGACTTTTGGATTTTTTTTTTTTTGGTAGTCATATGTCGATTCAATTCAAATGATCAATTTTTAGATTGATTTTTCATACACTTTCAGATTTCCAGAAAAAATGAATCCTTCAAATTGATATATTTTTTGTTTATTCATTTTGGAATATTAGGTTTATTTCATTGGATAACTAATCAATTTTCCACAGGAGACAAAAAAACTGACCAAATTCCATTCACTTTGATGAAAATCAATTTGAATCATCATGTAACACAAACACTACACCCAATTACACCTTATCACAATATAATTTCATTTCTAGAAAATTTCAATAAAAATAACCCTTGCAAGAACAAGCCATCAAGCGTTCACTCAATATACTACTAAAGATATTCAAAAAGAGATCAATTTAGTGTTTAGATTTTAACTACTGATCAACTTACCTTTATCTTCCTGCTGACGAGGTACACCAGCTCTATGTCTATTAGCTGCATTAACAATTTCTTCTTTTCTTCTAGCTTGTACCTTACGTATACCTTCCAACCACTTCTCTAGACAAGACTGTACATTAGGATGAATTGTGATACTTCTTAGTCTTTGCATTTTGTCTACTAGGGTAATTATCTAAAAATAAAAAAAAAGTGAATCAAAAACGTTTTGAAAAAAAAAAGCAAGAAACATGGGTTAAGGGAAATAACTCTGTCAAGGGGTCATTTGATGCATATTATCTCCCCTTAGACCACAGTTGTAATAGAAATAGCTACAGAGATCAAAGGAATACAGATAACCCTTACCCTGGCATGTTCTCTAAAAGAATCAACTATTAATCTGTCTACTCTAGAAGGATTGGATGGTAATCTTGGTATGACAATATTATTGGCACTAGAAACTTTTTTCCCTGGATTCTGTCTGGCTAATTCTGCTTCTGTCTTCTTCCTTTCTTTTTCAACAGCCTTAAATTGTTCATAACATTCTTCTAACTTTATATGTAATTCGTTCGAGGGCCCACTTCGCCTGAAAGATAAATCACAAAATATACACCACCTTTTCTAATGACACATTTCGAGTTTAAAGTTTCAGGTAGTGTGGAATAGTGAATGTTTGAAATTGGAGATAACAGAAAATGACACATTATTATTATTATATTAACCCATGGAAAGTTTAAAAGCTTTCTGTTTAGTATCTAGCATATTTTCTCAGCTGGGCCTATAATAAAAGGCTATACCTCAATAGGGGTCGGGATATGATGTTGATAATGACGAAATGAGATAAAGTATATTTAAACATAGTTTTTTAAAAGCAATGCCAACTTGTCAGTGCCTGAACTATGCTAATTCAAAAACTGAGTGTGTTCCCAAAGAACAGATTATCTCACCCTATTTCCCAGAGGTCAATCAGAAAATATTTGGAACCGATTCAAAATACATGCATATACATTTGTTGTTTTTTTACTTGCAATGTGTGTGTAGTTTGTGTGTCTTGTAGGTTTTGCTTTTGTGTGGTGCAGTCCTCCTGCACTTACTATTAAGCAATTCCTTGAACAATACATTTACAGAAGGGAAACCAATCTTCATAAACTGATTAAAACTGATCATGGCCTACCTGAACTGTCTAAAGCCTTGATAAAAGTAGGGTAAGTTGAATAGGTGTGGTGGAGGATCATACAATAATTCACCCATATAAGCTGGTGCTACACGACCATAAGCATCAAGCTGTACATAATCTAAACCATCCACTGTCAAGGCACCAGGGTTAGGGTTAAATAGCGGATGTGGAGGAGGGTGTTGGAGATGGGGAGCAACCTGGAAGTAAGGATGTAATGGCAACACGTGGCGTGGATCGATTCTACGTCTTTCATTTCGTCTATCATCAAAATAGAATGGTATAAGTTCTGGTGGTAGTACATCAGTATTAGACGATGGATTGGAGGAATCTAGTCCTGCTGTGTCCGCAGACCATCGATCACAATGAGGAGAACTGGTATAATTTGATGCACGATTTCGTTTGTAATACCCCTGAGCTCTCAGATGAGCAGCAATCCTCTCCCGCATATGTTGAGGTGTGGAGGTATCTAATGGCGTTTGTTCTTTACGCAGGAATCGATTAATGTGAGGATTTGGGCTGCCCATATGTAGACCAGAAAAGTTTTGATCCATTTGGTTTGTTCCATGTACGAGATTACTTTTATCCAATCCACTGATGCTTCCATCTCCTCCAGAGCTTGGAGTACTTGGATTGGACCAGCTATTATTTGACATATGTACATTAGGTGATTGGGTATTTACATGAATAGGATGCATAAAGTCTCCTCGGTTTTGAACATTGGAATACATTTGGGCTTTGGCTTCATGAACTGTTGTCTGGGAGTTGGCATTATTAAGTGTACCACTGACAGAATGACTTGGTTTGATAATGCCATTTGGGAATGACTGGTTATTCATGTTAAGGTTTCGGGGGAAATTAATATGGGAATGTGACTGGACAACTGAGTCCGTTTGAGCAGAATACAAATCTTGTAAGTTGTGTTTTTTCATAGTAGAACTGTAGTGGTTTTCTTGAAAAAATTGAGGAACTTGTCCTGTTTGTGGAATATAATGACTATTTCCTGGCCTTGAGACATCACATTTCGTGCTTTGTGAACATTTTACGCCACTGTAAGTATTGAAATGGTTGCTGGGTGAATTAAAATTAAGTCTATCGTGTATATTTGAAGCATTTTGTTCAGCAGAAAATCCTTGAGAACTGAAATCATCTCGAGCTAATGGTGCTTGGTCCCGTGAAACAATGCTGTGGAAAAAGTTGGCGTCTGATTGCGAGGGGTTCTGGGAATTTGATGATGATAAATATGACGCGAATGGAGAATCTGTAACATTTTCATCCCAAAGTTGAGATAGCTGACTTGACTGATGTTCGTAACTTCCATAAGAGACTGAGTTCTTGTCAGATTTACCAGATGGTGTTCCTTCACTACCCGTTGACCATACACTGCCACAATTTATAGTTGGAGATCTAAAATCATAAAAATTAATCAACTTTCCACCACAATATCTTAAAAATTTAAAATGGGCCCTTCTGATCAAAAACAATAAATGTGCTCAAAATGTATGTAAAATGTTTTATCATTTTGCTATGGGTTTGTAGGATCCTGAATATTATTAAACAGCATGGGTAGCACAAAATTTTGCATAGACATTGGGGGTTGTTGGCCTAATGGTGTAACTTGTGCACTGTAGTTCATAAGCTCTGTCATTAAGTCAAGTGGAATGGTTTTGATTCCCAGTATTGTACGCGACAAGGAGTAGAGTCGTCTCCCCAACCGATCCTTGTATGTTTTCCCCTGGGTCTTCCGGTTTCCTTCCATTGCTAAAGACCCCTACTCACCTGTGAATTATTGAAATAAATTGAAAATAAAATAAACTAGCTTGTGTTGAGTGGACGTTACACCCCATCTCTCTGTCTTCAATGAACATACGTTTTTACATTTATGATTTGGTAAAGAGTTTTGAGGGATCTCAACGACCAACACTGAAAATATTTTGTTGTAATTGCCAGTATTATACATGACCAAGTCTGACAAGAGTGGCTGCAATGATCTTTTTGTATTTCCAACAAGATCTTCAAATCAATGTGTAAATATTTGACCTTAATATCAACACCGTTACTTACTCATCTAAAGAAAATACATCTGAGGTTGCCTGGGATGGTGATTCTTCTTCTCGGTCAAAGAATGAAGAAAACGAGAGCAAGGAAGACTCATCATCTACTATTTTGTTGACAAGATCATTAAACGCTGCAAATTTATCACTAGAGCAGCTACTGGTAAGTCCAAATTTATCACTGGAGCAACTATTGGAAAGTCCAAATTTATCAGAGCTGGAAAACTGATCTTTGTAGGAGGCGAATGCTGGAGGCATTTCATCTGGATTGAGAACATAAGGATTAGTTTTAAGACTGTCTTCTTCCAAACTGGTTGATTTTCTGTTGATGCCATCTGTCTGTGAGTATGAATACAAAGATAGAGCTGGTTGAGACCAATCAAAATAGGAATGTTTATCTTGTGATTGGTGACTTCTTGTTGTTTGTTGCTGGCCAGTGTGTGAGTTTATGGTATTAACCCCCATTAGCTGCTGATCAACCTGAAAAAGAATGGGTCCGTTGTGAAACATTAAGTTGCCAGGCGACGAAACATACACCCACAGCAGCTAAATCGTCTGAGTGGTCAACAAGGGTTGAACTTAGCATATTTATTCTTTTGTAGGTAGCTAAATGGGGTTCATTTACAAGACAATTTGTTTGAGGGTACACAAGGTTCTACAAATTCAAACAAGGGCTTTATCTCTGGAAGTACTTTACAGAAGTTGTTGAAATTCGACAGGCTTTTTCCCTTTACTAATTTAAATAATGTATAAATTTCAAACAGATTGGAGCGTTCACTTTGTTTCACTAATTTAAATGATGTGTATAAATTTCATACAGATTGCATTAAAACTTTTGTTGTTAGAGCGTTCACATAGTTCAACATTTAAGTGAAACAAGGGCCATAACTATAGACACACCATAATTAATGGAAATTGCTGAAATTTAATAGGCATCTTCATTTCACTAATTCAAATGATGCATATAAATTTCATACAGATCGGATAATAACTTTTGTTGTTAGAGAGCATTCATAAAGTTCAACAAAGTGAAACAAGGTAGGCATAATAAACGGAAATTGCTGAAATTTAATAGGCTTCTTTGTTTCACTAATCTAAATGATGCATATAAATTTCATACAGATCGGATCATAACTTTTGTCTTTAGAACGTTCACAAAGTAACTTCAGAGGAAATTAATAGGAATTATTGAAATAGCCTTCTTCATCTGACTAATGTAAACTACATATATTAATTCAAAACAATCAGATGATAAATGTAGTCTGTTTACAAGAAATTGTGGACAATGGACAGGCTGACAGGGGCGATGGCATCATCGACATTATATATCTGGACATATAAAAATCATGTTTTCCAGCAGATTATGACAGTGTTAACAACAAATCACAATTTATCTTTTAACTCTGTCTTCAAAACAAAAATAAACTCATATTTAAATGAACTTTAGGTTAAAATGCCCATATATGTCATTTTCAGTCTATTTTAAAACAGGGCAGAACTATTCATGTTCAGGAAAAAACGGAAGTTTTCATAAGCCGTCACAACAAATTTTCCTGTTTGTCAAAAATGACTGAATTTATATCTATTAAATATTTCCGCGGAGGCCAACAATATCTACGTTGGCAGAATGTTTGAACCATACATGGTTTTGGCTGCAAACGACTAAAATTGGCAAAAATAATAAAAACTTTCGAAAAATACATGGTACCGAAATATGTAATTAAAAAAAACGTGTAGAATGGCTAAACAGGCGTTAACAACAGTATATCTGGACTGTTCACACATTTCACCGAACATAATTGATTAGAAATTATTGATATAAATCACTTTATTCATATTACATTAATATGTGCTTTACTTTTAGTCCCATATTCGTTTTAAATTAAGGTCCCAAAGAATAGAGCCATATATACCCTTTAATTATGAACACTATTAGAATACACAGCTTCAACATTGTAAAGATCAGATGAAAAATGTGCCTGGCAAATAAATCAGACAATAGAGAAATTAATGACAGAACTTTTTGATAGTTGCTGCCTGGGTGTAAATGCAAATGTCAAGTTGAATGCCAATTTTACTAAACAAACAGCCTAACTGCCTTAAAGTTATTTTACAGTTTAAGTAGAATACAGGCATTTGAAAGTTATTGAGTCTGTTTAAAATTGTAGCTATGGAAACTACTGAATTTAACAGTATTAATATCAGAAATGAAATGAAATGGGGTTTAACGTCCTACTTTTCTGCTCCTATACTGGGCTAATGAAGACGGGCATACGCCATACAGTGTGCTATGAGGGAAATTTTGCCCGGGCAGCGGCACTATTGCCTACTCTTATATCGAATTCCAACTGCCAAGGGATCTTTTACATGCATTCCAATGTTTACATGGGACCTCGGTTTTTCGTCTCATCCAAAGGACTAGACAGCTGTCCTTGTCAGGCCCTCCATCCTGCATCACTGACAAGGGGGAAACCACGTCGGAAAATCGAGATGAACTTTCTCGGCCAATGCAGGGATCGAACGCCTGACCTCCAGGCTAGCGAGCCAGCGCCTTGCCCACCTAACCATGTATTACTATCAGAGCCTGACTGAAGTTAGTTTCCAGGAATAACAAAACTTAACCTTTATACCTGGAAGTTAATAAATCTAGGCGGTGTCTAATCTTATCACATTTTTACATTGTACATTCTATTCTTCTTTTCGAAACTTAATACATTTGTGTGATGATCTCCTTAGTTACAATTGCTGCAACAAGATTTCTAAGCCACACCCTTAATTTTAAACGACACAAACTTTTTATCAGTTGAAAGAGGTTGTCAATTACAATACGTGATCCATGATCAAGAGTGAAATTAAAAGTAGAGCCAGGTAAAGATGTATTTATAAATTATCATTCACATGACAAGCCCATAATCAACTCTCTAAGTCATCTGATGGCTTAGATATTGAATGAATTAGAACATATTTACCATTTAATAATTTAACAATAAAATGAATAATCAACTTTGTTTATTATCATAGCAATGCTACCGGTATGTGACAATCAAGTTTAACTGTCAAAACTTCCATCACTCATAACTTCACTCAGAATAAAGTATTTTCATTACAATACCACCAGTATCAAATTTTGAACTATTATGCTATTATGTTAGCCAGCTCTTAACTTTTATCTTAATTAAGTTACATTATGCATATTTAACATACATTTACAGAATCGTAGGCCTACATTACATTAATAATCCTACCTGGCAATTTTTGTATGAAGGTAAACGGGAAAAGTCTGTAAGACAATGGTCACCCCCACCATCGTGGTAGGACATTAAATTGATTCCTTGGCAAGGCTTAACCCAACCTTGTGTTGCTCCGGGGTTATACTTAAAGGCCTGAAAAGAAATGGATTTTTTTTTTAATTTTAATGATGCGATTATCACAGGTATAAGCTTATAATATATGAATTCTGGATGAAAACTTAAACCTCATTCGCCATTGCGCTGGCCATTAAGTCTTTCCCAAAATGTGTCATACATTACCATACCATAGACTCTAACTCTGTTAAAAGATAAGTTGCCAGACAATGAAACATGCACCAGACCTGCTGTAGCTAATTCACCTGGGCAGTCGACAAGGGTTCTCTCATAATTATTATTTTGTGGATAATAGACAAGACACTGATATCAATTTCCTAAAGATCATATATGATAATTTTTGTCGTTTTTTTAGCTTTAGCATCACAAATTTCCATATATAAATAAAGTGAAAAAAGTGTCATAACTCTTAGAAATAATTAATGGAAATTTTTAAAATTCGATAGACTTCTCCAATTTCCTAATTATAATAATGCATACCAATTTTAATTTAATTTTTATACAGAGATAGTATGATAACTTTTGTTGTTGGAGTGTTAACAAGTTTTTACAAAATGAAACAATGGCCATAACTCTAGGAATTATTTATCTATTTCCAAGAGGACAAGTCAATTTAGACTATTCAGGTGAGCGATAAAAAGCTCACCTCAACCAACATCCAGAAACATCCAGAAGGGCTATCAAGAGCAATCAAGCTCCTTTTCCATGAAGGGCTCAGTGATAGTATTACTAATTAGTTTCCTGAAAGCCTTGTAAACTGCAATTATTGTTAGATGCATTCTTTTTTTGTTTCTGTAATGAATGATTATCCAAATTTTGTCAATACAGGCACCATTTTTCATTTGTGACAGAGGGATTTCATTTTTACAAAAGAAAATTAAGAAAATTTTAAAAAAAGATCTAGATCTACTGATGTGGGTTTGTCTACTTTCAATTAAAATTAAAAACCATTGAATCATTCCAACGAAAACGTGATCCATACAGTGTGTCTAAGTGTGATCATTCTATTTTTAGAACTGGGTGAATAGGCAAACTTCAACACACAAGATCAGCTGTCTGTCATAGTCACACCGTTAGATAAGTTGCAGGTCTTCTGTTTACTTTTTAGATTAGGCCTACCACTGGACCCTGATCTAATAGGTAGCTATATAGGCCTACTTAAGCTAAAATAAAATAGCTTGTTATAAAATATAATGAATTTTTAACTCTTTAAAATTTACCTCAACATACATTTCCGTCTAACAACATGTGTCTATTTATACGTGTGTACTATTCAAGTTGCCACAACACCCAGAATCCGCTATGGCGACGATCTAAACCGATCAGTGTCTCGTCTGTTTATTTTTACATTTCTACGTAATAATTCTCAGCTAACGCCCATAATATTTCACCATCGTTCGACCCTTCATTAAAAGTACAACTTTCGTCCAATTTGTTTAAATTACGTACAATATGTAATCCAGAGAAATTGATAAAAGATCAAACGTGAAATAGAAATCGGATGGCGCGCCATTTCTAATTTTCTGTGTCACATTTCATTCATTCACGATTTTCCAAACGAGCAATAATAAACATCCTGGATAGTAAGAAATGCACAAAATGTAAAAATAAAACATATGTGGAACTAAATTACGAAATATAACAATATAAACAAAATATAAGGAAGATGAATTGCTTTTACTGACATTTCAACACCTGTAAATATATCGTTTGTTGACGTATGGCAAGGAATGTGAAGAAATTGCGACGATGACAACAGCTGAAATAATTGTGTGACAATCAATTTGATCCGCATAGTCGCTCATCACATATTTCACGTTATAAAAATAAAAATTGATCTACCTGTTCATCAAGTCGGTTACCCCCAACCGACTTCATTAACTCTACCAGACTGTTTTCATAACTGCTCTCCGGATGGACCGAGAGCGCCATGAACGTTCATCTTGCAGTATGCTAATAAGATTCCGGCTCTTCGATTTTACTCCCCCGGAAAAGTCCTATTATCACAGCTCTAGGATTTCGGCTAAGAAGATTATCAGTACAGGCTTTGAACTATCTATTATCTGTTAAATAGATATAGAAAATAAATAGTACTACTGTTCTTTTGTTTTTGTGTAAAGCTTCGATGTCAATGAGCTATATTTCCGCACGATCAATGTTGAATTGGGAATCGATGACAAAGCAGAAATATATTACATCCTGATGGTTTTGGGTCTCTATATTGAGGATATTTATCGTTTTAGAGTGAATAACATATTTTATTTCATCGAGAAGCAAGAAAACTTATACTTTCACGAATGCGTAGCATGAGTGAAAATATAAACGTTTTCTTGCTTAGAGATGAAATAAAATATGTTATTCACGACAAAACGACAAATGTTCTATTTATTTTATGATTTTACAATCATTTTAGGTAAAAACAACATGGACTACTTTGTCCGCTTCTAGCCAGTGGAATAACACTTTTATTTCACTGATAAAACGCGGTATTCCTCTACTGATCATAAAATAATAAGTTATATTTGGTAACTTTTTTTTTTTTAAAAAAGGGGTGTGCCGAGTTAGGGGTACCCTGGGCCCTTCAAGTTCCGGGGTCCCACAACATAGCACATAAATGACATGACAAATAAAAAACATTGAACTAAATATGAATGATACACCGCATTATTGTAATATAAATTACTGTTGATCAAAAGTGTTGGGTTTTTTTATTGTGTGTTTTATCTTTTTTTTTCTTTTTTGAGGGGTGACGGGGAATAAAAAATTAATTTTGTAATTAATACATTCCCGGCACACCAGCCCTGATTGATCTGAAGGTTATTGGCCCGATGTTTCAAGTGGGATCGAGGCGTTTTTTTTATTACTGAAGCGTTAGATCAAGCCAATATGATTTTCTGAATAATTAATATTAGATAGGTTGAATATCAAATATTGGAAAAATTATATTATTTATGCAGGCCACGAATAAGTTTTGTAAATAGAAAATGCGTCCACAAGAAGCCAGATTACGTAAACATATTTAGACCTATACTATTTTGATATAAAGACTAGTAATTATTGTTACTCGACGATAGGCCTATCATACGCCTCTTAACTCATCTTGAGGGGAATAATTTGTGCGAAATTATATAATCCGTGCTGTATGTGGGTTGTTGATGTGCCAATTAGCCTACTTTCATTGGAATGCATTTGTTTGTATCCACACAGAATGGAGCAGGAAATGAAATAAATGAAATGAAATGGGTTTAACGTCCTAGGCTACTGTTCTGCTCCGACTGTGCTAATGAAGACGGGCTACAGTGTGCTATGGGGGGAATTTTGGCCGGGCAGCGACGCTATGGCCGACTCATCGAATTCCACTGCCAAGGGATATTTTACACGGGAATTTTATATTTCGTCCCATCCGAACGACTAGACAGTTGTCTTTGCCAGGCCCTAGCTCCGTCCTGCATCATTGACAAGGGGAAATGTCCTACATTTTGCACCAATCGGGATAATAAAGAATAACACACGCCATTCAGTGTTCTATGCACATGAATTTAACGGGACACCTCAACGTGAACATTGGACCTCGGGTTTTCTTACACCCGAAGAACTAGACCTGATCCGCCCTGAATCACTGACAAGGAAACCCTATTTGGAAAATCCAGAGGAAATTTCTCAGCTTAAAACCGTGATCAAACCCCGCAAATGAAAAAAAAAACATAACGTACGTTCCATACTTTTCTGACTCAACGAACTAATGAAGTCGGGCATGCAGACTGCTTTATGGAACATTTTGTCCGGACAGCGGCGTTATAGATCTCTCTTATTTCGAATTGCAACTGTCAAGGGTTCTTTTTAATGCACGTCAATGTGTACATGGGACGTCGGTTTTCCGTTCCATCCGAACAAAATTAGACACTGCACTTGCCAACTCATCGGGTATTATTTTTTATTAAGGATTTAGGTCAAAGACCCATAGATCCAAATCATAATACAATAAAGTGGTCAGATAAGACAGTGGTATGGTATGGATTGGTAATAATACATGGATATATATATATATATGTAACTATAACAATATAATAAATGATACGTGCAGGTAGATTACTTTTCAACAGCCTTGGTGTATAGAAATCTTTCAGGTGAGATAGTCAGTAAATAGGATTTAGGACTGGGTTTTTAACAATTCGTTTAATACCCATACCCTATCTATAAAAGTAGATAATTGTAACAAACGGTTTTCATCGCATGTTAATAATACATTATAGAATCCATTCTCTTTGATAATGTAGTCAGTCAAATATTGAACTCGTAGTTCATGATATGTCTTACACACAATAAATATATGGTACAAATCTTCAATTATATTGGGTGTACAAAACATGCAATTCGGCTGCTTGGATAGTTTTCTCTTATATAAATTTGCTCCTGTGGAGAAGAGATTTAACCTTAATTTTGTGACATTTCTCTTTGCCTGCTTAGGGATTTGTGCAGACAAGTATTTTTCTTGACACAGATTCAGTTTATAATTCTTATAGACTTCAAGGCTTTCAGAATTACTAATTCTCTCAGACCAGTCTTGCCTATTAATATCCGACAGTCTTAGTTTTAGAGATAAAATAAATAACTTTACATTACCAACAGACTGAGAATACCATATATAAGCGTAACCTAGAGAACTTAACAAAATTCTTATTTTGGTTGCCCAGGTGTCTCTACCTAATTCATCGAGTTTGCATAGCATAAGATAAACCTGTTTGGGATATCTGTTATGGGACATACCAATTAACTTGATCCAGTACTTTATACAGGATATCATGTATGAAAAAGACAAGTCAAGGCGGCCACATTCGCCCAAGGGTCCGGGTGTAGTGGAGCTCTTATGGATTCCTAGTGCATACTTGACAAACTTGGAGTGAACACGTTCAACTCATCGGGTATAAAATATGTAATATACTTTATGTATGGTCTTAGCATGACGTTTTAACTAGTTTATTTTATGCGCGCACGTGTACTGTATTTTTATTGCATTTTTATTTATGTAAGTGCTCTGAATTTGTGTTCGTGTTTAGATTTTGTACTTACACTTTTGAGTCTATTGTATAAAATCTGTTTCACAGAGGCGTTGCACCGATGTCATCCTTATCAGTGATTGTAGCGGCCTATCGTATATTCACTATAGCCAACTGATCAGTGTGTATTGTATACTGTCCTCTAAAAAGTTTTTATTCTAATGAAGTTAAGGGGGATTGGATGGCGTGTTGTATCATAATTAAACTGACGTGGTTTCGATTTCCCGGTTATAACATAGCCTACATATGATGACAAGGACGAAGGAGTAGGACTGAATGAATAGGGCCGCCTGTCCAACCTCGTAGGTTTTCTCCGGATCCCCCGGATTCCTCCCACTGCTAAACGAATTATTGAAATAAAATTAACCCATGTGTTAGTCCCGAAATGACCTAGTTTGTGTCGAGTGGACGTTAAACTCTTTCTTTCTCTCTTTACTGAAATTTACACGTAAGGAAATATTGTTTGAACTACATAAGGGACCAGCGATAATGACCTTGACTGTCATTGATATGAGCGGCTGAAAGCAGGTCTTGAAAGATCCTCACAGGTTGTACACTAGACGTTACTTCAAACATTCATTTGTCGTTAAAAACAACATGACAGTAGCATAGGGCTCATACTCTTTCTCTTTCAAGTGCGTAATCGAATGTGCATTTGTAAAAAAATTAATAAGCGTGTTTAAATTTAGGTAAGGTCAGAGACAAGCGTGCTGTTAATAATTTGGTACCGGTAACGTAAGTTATTAAGGGGCCTACCAACTGGGCGGTAGTGTGAATAGGAGATGAAATAAAATGAAATCAAATATCAAATGGGGTTTAACGTCCTACTGTTCTGCTCCAACTGGGCAAATGGAAACGGATATGCCATACAGCGTGCTATGAGGGAAATATTGCCTGGTCAGCGGCACTATGGGCGGCCTACTGCTTACATCAAATTCCAACTGCCATGGAATCTTTTACGTGCACACCAATGTACCTCATTTTTTGTCCCATCCGAATCACTAGACAGCTGACTAGACCACATTGGAAAATCCTGATGAACTTTACCGGCCTATGCATTGATCGAACACGCGACCTCCAGGCTAGCAAGCTAGTGTGCTAGTGTGAATAGAATAATAAGGAATCGTGATTAAGATTAGGTGATCTCTCCACACTTGGTTAACTTGGTAGTAGGACTATGATTTTTCTCTGTCGTTTTAATTGGAGTTTTCAAATTTTAATGCCTCTTATACTTTGATTCCATCAAACTAGTAAAGAGTCGAGCAAGGCAAATATCTGCAGGTAGTGGTGAGGGATACGTGCGATGCTGCCATAGCATTTGCATGTAACGTTACTGCCAGAGCAGTGACATTATTGACCTGACAATTCTGTTCAGTGATTTCTTATATCCTTTTTTTCTCGTTTATATTTCAGTAACATCCGAATCATAATGTCGTCTGTTCCAGGAATATCCATGGTTAATATGTCAAAAAAGATGTTTCACAGATTACTGCAAATCAATGGTGTGATTAAACACAGACAGTTTTCAGGTAGAAAAATCAAAGTTTTGTTTCTTGTCTATTTTCATAAATTAATTGATTGAAGAGATCACATGTATGTATTGTATACAAATTGTTGAAAATTTTTAATTCATTTGACCCACTAGACATATTTAAAGATTTTGATTTAAACTAAATATTGAATACATCCCATAAATTGAAAATTAATAATGGGCTGATGTCATTTTGCACAGTACACCCGGTTCATAAACATTTATTTGGCAAGTTCTCCAGATCTAAAGTTAAGCCCTGAATGATAAATTTCTTATTGTTTTGATTTTTTTAAAAATTTAACTTTCAGCTTCAAGCAATATGAAGGTGAGAAACAAAGATATACATTTTTAGATGTGAGATTTTGTTGTATTCTTTTCAAGTTTGGGGACAACAGCTAATATTTTGATTTTGTAATGATGTGCCATATGATATGGTTCCAGTTTTGAGCCTTATGCGGGTTGTCAAAGTCTACTAATATAACAACTTTTGTATTTGTACAAAAAACTGTTGTTTAAAGATGTATTGTGTAAGATTTAGATAAGGAGCTGGTCATTCAAAGATAGATAATAAATATATTGAAAATTTCAGTCATTGTGGTGTACCTTTTTCCAATAATAAGCATATCTCGAGTATTCATTTTATCGTTAAATTTTAAATAGCGAAAGGATTCTAATCCATTAAAGTAGCTAAGTCTCTAACTCAATATCATCCAAAATCTTCAACATTGAAAACACAAATAATTTGTCAATTTAAATCAATGTTGATGCTGTGAGCTTGCCGGAAAAAGATGGGCTTCTGATATCCAATATTTAAGACAAAATAAACATTTTACCATTGGTACACGAATCGTGTACCATAATGCGTTTCAGCCCCAGTTCTAGCAAGAGACTCGAGGAACGAGGCTAGACATATTGCACCAAACCAAACGGCGTATGTAGACTGGAATAACCAGGCGCTAGAAATTTGCATTCGATTGAGACTGCTGGCTTATTTCGCGGAACATAACTGATTTGAAATTAGATTAAAAACGGAAACCATTGAATTTATATCAGTTTATATACATTCATAGTACAGTATTATATGAGTTCCGTCCACTTGTGTCAATTTCTAGGTCCCAAATGTTAGCGATTTAGCTCCTTTAAATATCTAATCCAACGAATAATTTACATAGCATGTGAAGCTTGAAAAAAAAAATACACTAGGCAGATTTAGCTCTTACATATGAATCATTTTTAACAGTAGGTCTCAAAGCTCAGATGTAAGGGGAGGTAATCAGGGTTTACTTAGAAACAGCATGACAAGGCAATTACATGGACAAAGTAATAAACCATTCACTTTATTGCACAAAGTGTGGATCATAGCAAAGCATGACAGATCAAGTGAATTCTAATTGCATAAGGAATCACAGATACACAAACATTAGTCAATGCACTTAATGTTCTTAGATCAAGTACATGTACTATTCAATGTAAACTTTAATCTATCCTCTTTGATGATCATTATAAATTGTCCAAGTGGTTTACGTTTCAATACACATTCTTCAATGACTGAATAGAGGCTAAATTAGAATCAAAGTAGAATAAAAGTACTACATAGGGTATATACATGACATAATTTAAATTTTGTATCTTCACAGAAAGAGACTGTTGGATTTGTAGGATTAGGAAATATGGGAAATCACATGGCAAGAAATTTAATAAAGAATGGTTATCCTATAGTAGTATTTGATGTAAATACAGAATCAACAAACTCATTAAAATCTGATGGTAGGTAAATATTAATGAGGGTTTAAAACAGGGGTATGAAACTTGCAGCCTGCGGATCAGATCCAGCCTGCCAAGGCAAGGGTTTAAATGTGGCCCGTGGAACAAATTTTGATAAACTGACGTGTTGATAATTCTTAGAAACTAGTGTTGGAAATAATTTATTATTGTTTTCCCATTTCAGTAAAACTCTGACTTGTGTACAGTTTGTTATAGATATCTTAGTCGTATGTAATACAGAGAACGTTATGTTCAATATTATGTCTTGTCAATTTGGAAGGAAACCAGTATAAAAAATTACCTGTGTCAAGGACGTTTGGCTTTGTTTTTAGAATTCAGTAAAGTTCAAGGACATTTGGCTTTATTTTGATATTTTTGTATATCTCCGACCGATGAATCGAAATGAGTTTGACACCCCTGGTTTAAAGTGTGACTTTTCTGCAAATGAATCCAGTGTGCTATGAGGGAAATGTGGCCTGGATAGTGGCTCTATGACCTACTCTTAGTTCGATTTTGAACAGACAGGGAATCTTTACTGTGCTGGCAATAGTAATCATAGAGGCGTATTGTTTGTTGTGCCAGTTTAGTGTTTGAAATAAGCAGTTTTGATACAATCACATTATTTCCCATGCTCACTTTGCAGAATCTTGTTTAATGCTCTAATAACAAAAGCTATCATCTGATCTGCTTAAAATTTATATGCAATATCATCAAGATTTGTTATACAGAATAGTAGAGTTATGGCCCTTGTTCACTTTGTAGCATCTAGTGGCCGCTCTGGCAAAAAAAGGTATTATTCATTGTTTAAATTAGTGGAATGGAGAAACCTATTGCATTTTAACAATTTCCATTAATGACTTCACTTCTAGAGTTATGACCCGTGTTTCTATCCTGTGAGTGGTAATTATTCTTTCAGATAAGTTGTCTATTTGTTGTTTAAGGTGCCAGTGTTGCCAGCTCACCAGCAGAAGTAGCCAGTGCTGTTACCAAAATAGTAACTATGTTACCTGAAAGCTCTCACGTTCAAGAAGTTTATAATGGCTCAAAAGGAATATTAAGGTACAAACATATTGTTTATTTCACTGATTGTCAACTAAAGAGGTTATTGAGGACTGGATCATTTTGGGATTAATACACGGTTTAATTTTCTATCAATAATCCACTTGTGTGTAGGGGTGGGAGGAAACAGAGGACCTGGAGAAAAACCAGTAGTTTGGAAAGGCCACCCTACTCCTTGTCACGTACAAGCTTGGTATGAAACCACGCCACTAGACTGAATACAAACCTTATGATCTAAAGCAAGGGCATTAGACCACTCCACTACAAATCCAGAGATGACGGAGCAGGATGTAAATACAGTTATATTGGTGGCATAATTGAATAAATAATGAATGTGGAAAGCTGAATAAAACTGATGAAATTCTGTAATAGTAGAATTATGGTGTGTAATATAAATAAGTTACAACACTTGTTAAGTCAGTAGACCAAATACATATATATTTAAGACTTTTTCCTTAATTATGTGTAGTTTTGTCATGTTGCATAATGAAGTTTATGATTTTGTTTCAGTACAGTACAAAAAGATAGTTTATTGATAGATAGTAGTACAATAGATCCTAGTGTATCACAACACATGGCTAGTGAAGCTCAGAAAAAAGGATCCGTATATCTAGATGCTCCTGTGTCCGGTGGTAGGTAGTCTCATCTCTTTAGGTAGTCAGTCAAGTAGCCAGATGAGTTTGCAAGAAAGCACCTCACTTCAGGAGCCCAAGGAGTGTGTCACCATCCAAACTTACGAAATTCAGAAAGAGGTCAAGTTTGTGCACCTAATTCTTCCCTCCAGATCTTGGGTTTGCCTTTACAAGCAGGATATTATTTTCGCATCATCGAATTACCTCCATTTTGTACATTACTATGGAGGTGCTGGATCGTGAGTCTGGAACGTTCTGAATTGGTGGTCAAAATTGAGTTCTGTCACAGTTTTGCCAATCCTGATAGCACATGTGTGAGCAGAATTGTGACGTAATCATTGCTTCTCCTTTGTCAGACTATATATCAATCCAATAAGAGTGATTATAAATTTAATCTTCGAGATTAACCCGTTATTTCTCCATTGTCGGACGTTTCAATCTCCTTGATGTCAGCCGACAACACGTAGGAATTAGTCATAAATGTCACATATCCTACCCCAAATCAATATACATTGTATCCGATAACATGTTAAATACAGCTATTTCATACACACGCATGGCGGTTATAGTACAATAACTGAAATGAAAGTAGAAATCTCACGAGACACGTGAAATTAAGAGATGCAAACGTGCCGAATTTCATACGTCTTATGCCGGAGAAAAGATTCTATTTTGATGGGATATTCTCGGATTTATGATCATATTTTGAATGGGGTTTATGTTTTTAAATAAATAAATAAACACGCTAAGAAATGTTGACGAATATTTCAATTGGAATATGTAAGTAGTTAATTGTTTTAGATGATAGCACGTGCTAGATTCGAATGCGATTATTTAACAGTTGGTGTCGCTCGCTCGATGTGGTAGAGCGACGTTTACCTTCCGTATATAAGTCGTAACAGAGTATAAGACGAATGCTTGACTTCTGCTGAAAAATATATCGACTTCTGACCCGAAAAATACAGTAATTTTGGAGGAATTTGAAACAGGTACAGATCGGCAGTAGTCGTCACGCTTTCATTCTATGGTATTACGATGTCACGTAATTTTGGAGGAATATTATTGACATAAATTTGAATAACATACAGAAATTAAACATGAAAAATAACGAAGTGCACCTATTTTTTATTACATATGAATGTGAATACTTTGTTGACACGTGATTCTTAATTGTGGTTTGAAAACAACTTCTTAAATAAGGATAAGAATTATGCCCCTTTATATTCGGGAAAAAATGTCCGACAAGAAATTTTTTGAAATCCCATCACTGCAATATACTGACCACACTTGTAAAATGCTTATTTCTTTATCATATCATAGAAGAGTTGGTCTGGTTAGTAGCCAGATCCCAATTTTTTAACAAATGTATTTGTAACAGATAGAAATAATGTATTAAAATTCCTTTTTCTGTGGAATGGAAAATGTGGCAGAGCTGTTGTATTCAAGCATATCCCATTTGTCACGAAACAAAGATTGTTTTTTGTAGGAGTAAATGCAGCAAGAGATGCATTATTAACATTCATGGTTGGTGGACCAGAAACTCAGTTTAATCAAGCTAAAGAACTTTTATCATTAATGGGGAAAAATGTCGTACATTGTGGAGCTGTAGGAACTGGACAGGTAAAACACAAACTATAAGAATTGTATTTTTCTGCTCATTTATTTTATCTGATGCTGAAAATGAGCTCTGTCTATCCTTGTTTTGTTTCCAGAGCATATAAACCATTCAAGATTTATACAAAACTTTGTACACACACCAACCTATTCCAGAAGTTGTGTCTTTTGCTAATTAGAAATTTTTCAGTTGAAAAACTTTTATATTTCCATGAAATAAAATTAGTTTTTGGTTTTACAATTATTCCGAAGCATTATTATTATTCAGAGAAATCATCTATTTCTTATTAATATTTTTCAGGCAGCTAAAATCTGTAATAATATGTTATTGGGTATATCTATGATTGGAACAGCTGAAACTATGAACTTAGGAATCAAGTAAGTTGCATTTCCACTAAATAGAATTTTCCTCCACATACCCACAAAAGTATTAACATTTCTTCAGATTAATTACGATTCCTATGTTTTTACCAGATAGGATCTAGATCCCAAAATTAAAGCTAAAACATTAAAGTTTCAATAAAAGATCAATAATAAACATTTCTTAAAACATTTTCTTTCTAGATTGGGTCTGGATCCCAAAATGTTAGCTAAAATATTAAATATGAGTTCTGGTAGATGCTGGTCATCAGAAGTCTATAATCCTGTACCAGGTGTATTAGAAGGAGTACCCTCTAGTAATGATTATAAAGGTGGTTTTGGTACAGCTCTCATGACAAAGGTAAATAACATGGTTTAAAAAAACCATTTAGTCCCCATGTGATTGAGATTTTCACCAATTAAAACTTTTCAACTGATTATCTACAGCAATAAAAATTAGAGAATAAGAATCAGGAACAAAATACTGATTGGCACATTTTCTCTACCATCCACATGGGACAAAATAACCAGTTTGCTACACAAAGAGGTTGAAACAGCAGTATCTCATTAAAAATGGAAGAACATATTAAAATTGCTAATATGTTAAAATTGCTTTTCATATTTATAGTATAAAGGAAAAAAATGCTGTACACGGATCCATCACAGTTTTGTTCTGGAGTTCTGTTGGGGATGTGTAGCGTAATGAAATGCATCTGGTTCATCTTTACCAATCCCTCCAACCTAGTGGGTTTTCTCCGGGTCCTCCGGTTTCCTCCCACTGCTAAAGACCCCTATGTGCAAGCGAATTATTGAAATAAAATTGAACCATGTGTTAGTCCCGAAATGACCTAGGTTGTGTCGATTGTACGTTAAACCCCATTTCTCTCTCTTACCAATCCCCCATATGTTAATTTACTGCATTAGACAGGGAATGGAATGGAGAATCGTACCTAGGATATTCTAGTTATGATTCTGTTACCATACTCACTTGATGCAGCAAAAGGTGAATTGGGTCATCATGAACAATCACAAGATTAATGATGTGTACATTTGTTTTCTAGGATCTTGGTTTAGCCCAGAGTGCAGCTACAACAACTAAAGCCCCTACACCGCTAGGTTCAGTTGCTCATCAACTTTATAGAACAATGGTTAATCATGGACTTGGTGGAAAAGACTTCTCGGCAGCTTATCTCTTTTTACAGGATAAAAACCAAAATTAGATAGCTACAACATTATACAACAAGGCTCTGGTTTCAGTCATATTTGCCAGTCTCAAATGACTGGCAGTGAAACTGACTGGCTTGAAAACTTACCTGTCAGTCAATTTCAAAGAATTTAACACAACAAATACAGTTAAAGATGCATCATTTAAGAGCTAATTCTGACTATTACAAGTCTTACTTTTGGTTTCAAATGCTATATAAATTGTTATTAGATATTTATTCCCATGACAAGCCTATAAGTATAATCAACTGTCTAGACTATCAGATGGTCGGAATTTAAATGCATTAGAACACCTATGAGATTTAAAGGTCTTAGTCACGGTTGTCAAGTAACGTTACTCAGATATCAGGCAGTCATAACTTCGCCCAGAATATAGTAATTTGAAATTCTTTTTCAATATATTCATATTTCATTATTTTTGAACTACTAAAGCAAGAACAACCAACTAAAAATCTTACATAATGCATCTTTAAATTTATAGTATACTATTCAAAAAAAGTAGGGGATATTTGATTTTTAAGTGTTATTAAAGTCACCTAATGAAACTGACGAAGAAACAAATGACAAAATGAAATGAAGTTCACATTCATCGATTTATTCCAAATGATCGTTAGACTAAGTAAGGCACAGACTGACCATTATAAGGGTAAAATGATACCCGGGGTCAAACAGCAAAGTTACCACAGCATCACAACCAAGTCAGTAACGGGTAAATCCTCCTCTGTTTGCCAAACAAGCATTGATCCGACGTGGCATACTCCTAATGAGACGTCTAAGGTCATTTTGGTCCAGATTGTCCCATTCCTGTTGCAACGCAGCAGCAAGTTCTTGGACATTGGCAGGACGTTGTTGACGTTGACGTAACCTCTGTCCAAGCATGTCCCAGACATGCTCGATGGGGGAGAGGTCGGGACTCAGAGCTGGCCAAGGTAATGTGGTGATGTTCTGTTGTTGGAGGTAACCTGTAACGATCCTGGCCCTGTGACATCTTGCGTTGTCATCCTGGAAGATGAAACGGCGGCCATGACGTCGTGCGAACGGCACAACATGGACTGCCAAGATGTTGTCCCGGTAGTACTGGCCTGTAACACGCCCTGCAACAACATGTAAAGCCGTTCTTCCAGCAACAGTGATGCCTCCCCACACCATAACAGAACCACCCCCAAATCGATCATGTCTGATGACGTTAACGTCTTGGAAGCGCTCGTTTCGACGACGCCACACCCTCCTACGTCTGTCCAAAAAATCAACAGTGAACCTTGACTCATCTGAAAACATCACATTGCTCCAGCGTCGATTATCCCAGTGTTGACGATCCCTACACCAACGACGTCTTGCCTGAATGTGATGATCTCTCAAACAAGGGATCACGCGAGGACGTCGGGCGCGAAGGTGGCCCCTATGCAGTCGATTCCGAATCGTCTGGCCACTCACTCTCACACCAGTGTCTGTTTGAAGACGAACGCTGATCTGATTTGCTGTGATGACACGATTTCTCAAGGCCAAGGTACGGATAAATCGATCCTGGGCTTGAGTTGTCGCCCTTGGTCGACCTGAGCGTGGTCTGTCCTGTACAGATTGTGTATCACGGTATCTGGACCATAGCCTGCTTATGACAGACTGAGAAACATTCATCGTCCGCGCCACAACCGCCTGTGTTGTGCCGATCTGTAGCATGTCAAGGGCACGTAACCTTTCATTTTGGGTAAGCCGACGCATATTAAAATTTGTTTTCTGGTCACTAAAACAATTAAACTGATGTTTCCACCCTGGAATTCAATGCCACAATGACTGTAACATTCAAAGTCAGAGTCGTGCAAATCTTGGGTTGGACCCCCATGATGATCCCAAGCATCACCTGCATTCCATGCTGTAGCTATTGGTGCGTTTGGGCGTCACATGTAACTGGAAATGTTTCTTCTGTTAGGTTCTATAGTGACTTTTTTCGTAGTCATTTGCATATTTTAGTATTATGCCCCCAAAATCAAATATCCCCTACTTTTTTTGAATAGTATATTATGTGTAAAATATTTATGCAAAATTTTTTGGATAAACTGAGGTAACTGGCTGTCAAAGTTTTGAAGTGAAAGCCCTGTCGTATAATCATTTAAAAAAATAAAAATCAAATTTCACTTTACGTATCTTAGCATTCATGGCATAAACCTGCTCGATATGTATACTGTGTTATGAGCAAGATATAGATACTCACGAATGTTACATATATAGATGTATATATTTAAAACATTGTTTATATATAATGTTTGTTTTCTAAAAAAAAATCACGATGTATTTTTATCATTTAATGTTTTTCAATTTAAGGTTGATAATCAGTTATAAGTGATTCTTTAAAAAGTCTTATTCAAAGTGAAATTAACATTTGCATTATATTTCTTACTTGTTTCTAAATTTGTTGTGCATTTGGATACATATCTTTATTACGAGATTTATATATTTATTTTAGCAACTTTACAAAATGCAAATTCCAGAACAGTGGTTCATAATCTTTTCAAAGCAGTCAAACCCTAACGCAACCCACCGAACATTGTAACCATGCAGGAAAGGAAATATAACATTGCATAAAAATTCAATGCAATATTAATTTGGTAGGCAACACACCATTGTATTGAATTATTGTGTGTATGTGTATACGAATTTCGTCTTATTTTTTTAAAATGAAAACAAAAAACATTGTTTCAGAGGACTTTGAACATGGATTAAGAATCACTATTTTAGAATAATGTGATGTATATTGTCAAGAACTGACTTGAATATTTTGATATATATATACAGTACAATAGACCTGTAAAATATGTTGTAACTTTACATACAGCAGTAACATTAGTAATGGTAAGTATTGGATAACAATGACAATATAAAAATCTATTAATGGACACTTTCCTTGTAATACTGGATGCGAAACGAGATTAAGAACTTTTCATAAATATATATATATATAATTGTCTAGTATTATATTAATAAATCATAATACATCAATTTTCGATTTTGAAAATAAATTGATATTGAAGGGGGCCATCAGATGTACATCCCTCTGAAAATAATTTGGAGTTAAATACCCCATAAACCAGATATTTTGGTTAAAGTCAGTTTTTGGGTGCGTTTGGTAAGTGGAGGACCCAGACTCCATGGCCTCCCTGCTATATGCCACTCATCTACGGGAAGTACATATGGAATGGAGTTTAATGTACCACTGTTCTGCTCCTACTGGGCTAATGAAGATGGGCATACACCGTGCAGTGTGCTATGTGGGAAATTTTGTCCAAACAGCGGCGCTTTGGCCTATTTCGAATTGCAACTGTCAAGGGTTCTTTTACGGTGCGTGCCAATGACTGCTTTCCCTTGCCAGGCCCTTTGTGCTACACCACTAACAAGGGGGAACCACACCGGAAAATCCCTTTGAACTTTCTTCACCAATGCAGGAATCCAACAAGGGACCTCCAGGTTAGTGAGCCAACATAACTATTTGGAATGAGGTTTAACAGCACAATATTATGGTAATTTTGAGACTCATATATTATGGCAATTTTAATTTCTAAGGTTATGTATGCAATTCAAGTGGGGGAGGAGTTTTGCCTTCCAACATATTATATTTACAAGGATAGAATACAGGTTTTCCTTTCATCCAAATATAGGAAAGGGAGAAAACTAATCGGAACATAATGACCATATCAATATGTAGTATTGAAAATATGGTCATGACTGAGGACTAACAATAGATATGATTAATTTACACAAGACTAAATAATATACACCATTTTGCGTATATGTGCAGTTGAGTAATACACCAAGAGTCTTTACAACAATGTTATAAAAATATCAGTATTTCTGCATTGGCGAAATAAAGTGTTTTTGATTTTCAATTAAAATTTGATATTATTCTGTGAGCTACGTACAAGACATCTTATCCTTTGCAGGATTTTATTGCAGCAATTACTATCTTAAATGGAACTTATTCCTGTCAAGATCAAAATACATAAAATGATCAATATTTCATTCTTCAAAACTATAATGTCACTGGTGCCTTTAATGATATTTAATTTCAATTATACAATTTTATACCATAAAGAGCAATATTGATATATTTGAATGGATTGTTTCTTTAAATCTGCAGGGATTCTTCATCAGATAAGTTGATATCATTACCCCTTACCTGGTTAACTTAATGACTTTAAATATGATTTACAATTAAGTGAAATGAAATGGGGTTTAACGTCCTACTCCTATACTGGGCTAATGAAGACAGGCATACGTCATACAGTGTGCTATGAGGGAAATTTTGCCTGGGCAGCGGCACTATCGCCTACTCTTATATCGAATTCCAACTGCCAAGGGATCTTTTACGTGCATTCCAATGTATACATGGGACCTCGGTTTTTCGACTCATCCAAAGGACTAGACAGCTGTCCTTGTCAGGCCCTCTGTCCTGCATCACTGACAAGGGGGAACCGGAAAATCTGGATGAACCTTCTCGGCCAAAGCAGGGATCGAACAGCCGACCTCCAGGCTAGCGAGCCAGCGTCTTACCCACTTAGCCACGTGATTCCCCCGATTTACAATTAAATTAGATGATTTACTGTGATCCTTATATTGTTATCTTTTTCACTTAAATGATTCACTTTAAAGAATTTAAAAATGCTGAATTTGATTTACAATTAGAATACATTATCTGATTAACTTAAATGAATTTACAAATGCTGAATTTGTGAACAATGAGAATACATGAATTATGAGGATCACACTCTTCTTGGAACTTTATGTACCATGAGATCTTCGGCACAAATAACTCTTTCTTTACCTAATATACTTTCTGCTTCTTCTTGTAATATAAGTACAGATTCATCTCCTTCCTGAAAATCAAATAGAAATAAATAGAACTGTAATATTAGCATAAAGTTAATGGGTCTTTTGAAGTTAACAGTGTTCTGTTCTCAATTCTTTTTATTATCTCCCTTTGTTTCAATTTTTGAGAACCCATCACTTTTTAGAAAAATAATGGTGTATATGATGAACCTAATTCTCGGTATCCCGAGTTGCATTGTTCTATTCTACTCCATTATTCTGGGTCCATCCATGGAGTTTTCACAAATTCAAATTAGCTGCCCTTGATTGTAGCTTGATTCTACGAACCAGTTTACATACCAGAGTCTTAGCGTTATTGTTCACGTTCACCACAATAATCATAGTGGCAATAGAATGCGAGTACATCCCTTTGCCCACTCGATTGGTCAATAAGAACTGAAATTTTCACTGTAAAGAACTAAATGTAATCTGTTTACCTTAGTTTCACATGATATAGGTTTATATCTCTGACTAAAATGTGTTAATATTAATTGACGAACATTGAGAGACAAAGCAAGCTTAGCAACCATTTCTGAAAATAGAAATAAAATGCAATGATTAAATATAATTTCAGAAAATCAACCCTTGTCAAGTTAATATATCTATTCTTGATAAAAGTAGGATTGGCTAAATAACAATATAAACTTATCATGAAATAACACTATTCTCAAAGAACATTGTTCTCACAGGTGTTCTGGAAGGTGAAAGCATCACACTTACCACAACTAACAAAATATTGATAAGGAGCCACATCATTACAAAACCTGTGCACAAGAAATCATACATTAATGACTGAATAATATATGACATAATCTTACCAGGTGTAGAATGACCATTCTCAACACATTTCTCACTAAGAGAATTCTGTAATGTAGCCTCATGTACTAAAACATCAGCATTTTGACCAATATGTTTAAGATTCCAGGAATCAGCACTATCCCCCATTATAATAACTTTTCTTCCCTCAATATCTGGACCTAACACATCTTCTGGTTTTATCTAAAACAAGTAAATTAGCATTTTTAAAGAGACACTCTTGCTTACAGCTGTAGATTATTAATGGTGCACTATCAAATTGGGCAGCAATCTATTTTAACAATTTGACATGATTTCAGTATTCAGTTTAAACTGGGCCTGAATAAATTTGATTAAGAGCAAAAATTAAGTAAAAATATTCCAATCTTTAGTCTTTTCAGCGAGCAAGGCACTAAACAAATAGTCTGGAGTTCAATCCCATTGATGGTCTAGAAAGTTCCTAGGAATTTTCCAGCGTAATTTCCCCTTGTCAGTGGGTGCAGGACAAAGTACCTGGCAAGGACAGTGTTCAGTAGTTTGGTTGCGACATTGACGTGCAAGTAAATGAACTCTTGACAGTTGGAATTCAAAATAAAAGTAGATAATAGCACACTGTAGGCCTACAAACATTGTATGAAAACAATCTTGAGTTTAATTTTTTGCTGAAGGCTTTGAATAAATGTGTTAATTACCACAGATCCGTTATCTAGAGTAACTGTTTGACCTGATTTAATTATACCATACAATGGACCGGGTTCTACACCAAGAGCTTTTAATTTACCTACATTTAATCTGAAATATTTAATACAATTAGCAACATTAAATTATATATGTTAGATCTGTTAATAACCCCAAAAAATCAAGCATAGGGAACTGCATCTAGTAATTCGGGTGGCACAAAAACATGAGGTCTTATGTATATGTTATATGTTGGCACGCACATAAAAGATCCCTTGGCAGATGGAAGAGTAGGCAGAAATGCCACTGTCCCGGCAAAATTTACTTCATCACACACTTCATGGATATCCTCATTAGCCCTTTAGCGCAGAAATGTAGGACGTTATCTCCATTTCAATTGTTTCATTTCCAAAGTACAAGCTTAGATCTTCTTATTACCTCCCCTGATAGATAACAATCCATTTTCATCCATGCACAGTCATCCTAAATATTCAATGTTTAAAAGTGACAAAACAGATTAAGTACTCAAACTGAATGTCCAAATGTGACAAATGAGATTAAATAATCAAACTACAGTGAAAAGATTATATTTAATTATCTATAATTTTGAAAGTAACCATATGGCTCATGTGATCTGCAAACTTTCTGCCAATTTGTTTTTGGTTTGAGACAGTAGCTTGATGCAACATGAATCCTTTTAACATCCATACAAATACATGTAGCCCGATTCTTACAATACTATCATTTATACCAGTGATTCTCAAACTATGGTGAGGGACTTAGCTCGAAGGGGAGGAATTTCAAATCTAAGGGGTGGAACTTTAGCCATGGGAGAAACTATGGAGGAATTTTTGTCAGTAGAACTCCAAAATGGGACAGAATATTGTATATACCAATATACACAACTACATGTATAGGGTTGATCACATATTAACAATTTACAAAATAAACTGCAGCTTCTAACAAAGCAAATTGTTTCATAAATTACGACTGTAGAACTATGATAAAAACATCACTAGATCTCAATTCAAAATAGGGGAGGCAATGTGGAAACCCTGGATTGCAAGAGTGGGGGTGGGGGGAGGGGAGGGGATCTAGGTCTCTGAAAACCACTGATCTATACTATTCAATTAGTTGAACTCACTTGCCTGGTTGAGATTTCTCTTCTATTATAAAGCCATATGATGGTATTCTATGTTTTGTCCATACAGATGTAACAATTACAGTACTGTCTTCATATCTATGATAATAATTAAAACAGTCATGAGTAAATACTACAATATTGTGAATGATAAATCTGTAATAATAGGAATATCAGTTCAATTACAGTTAAATTCCATTAAGTATTTACAAAGATTATGTGGAATTGGAATTTCATCGATCTATGCTGATTGCTATGCAATAAGCACACCACCATTTTGTTGTACATGAAAATTTAATGATAGCTCTATATTAAATCCAAATGAGTTATTTCGATTTTGTTTTCTTAATTAAATGTTACATAAGTAATCTGACTAGCATGGATTAAGCTGTGAGAAATTTGATATTTTAGCGTTAAATGCCAATGGCACATTGCTACTTTAAAGTAATATCACTGCATTCTTCACTATTACATTTTGTGTAAGAAATAGTAGTACCAAAAAACCCAACACATAATAAATCAGTTAATTCTTGCTTTAGGACAATTATGATGTTATGGAAATTTATTGAAGTACTGGTACATGATTTAGAATATTATTTGAAATAACTTACAAATGTAATATTTTATTTTTGTCTGGTAAAATATTTCTACCCATCTTTTCATTTGGGTGGAGATCTTCATCACACCGGTGGTTTACTGGCCAATTCTATTGGTGAAAATAAACAAAAAACAAAATAAAATTTTAGATATTCAATCCAAGTATATTTAGGCTTGGATCAAGCTGTAGAATATTTGTTTTTTTTCCAAAATAAGCATAATGGGGCAAATTTAGCTAGCATGTTGAAGTAAGCTGCCTGTGTATCAAATTCAAATGGCAGGCTATAGCTAGTACGTTAATTAACACATACCTCCCAATCTGGTGGATATTCTTCCTCCAGTGTTTCCAATTCATGAACAATATATTCATATTCTAGTTGTGAACGTGATAGTTGTAGATTTACTCTCAAATACTTCCGTAGACCAACAGGTCCGTAAATATCTACAGGTTCTGATCTTCCCTTGTTTTGACTGATTGTACACATTAACCCTGGCAAACCAAACACCTGTAAAAATGACCATTTTATCATTTTATCAGTACAACTACAAACATATACCTTTGGCTACATCTGAATTTCTAATTTCAAATAAATATTTAAAGCAATATTCATAGTTTTATAGCATTATTTCAGTTTTAATGTTTTTACATGAAAAGACTCCAATTCAATTTTAAAATCTTAATTCCTAACCATCATGTCCCCCTATCATGAATACAATCCATATTTGTCCACCTACATTACAATCAGAAATGAATTAGTGTAATACGGTCAATTGGCTGGGAATTGATGTGTATGTGCATTTTGATAACTTACATGATCACCATGTAAATGTGAAATGAAGATTTTACTGATTTTCCCAGCTTTTAAATGGCTTTTCATTAATTGTATTTGCGAGCCCTCTCCACAATCAAATAGCCAGCAGAAAGAATCTGTAATGTAGAATAAGCAATCAATTTAAATAATATCTTGAAACATAAATATAACAAAATGAAAGACATTCTTTCAACTTTCACAAAGCAAACAAATTATCCATGGTGTCCGTAAATTTTAAGTAGAAAACATGTTTGATGTCTATTTGGTAAAAATTCCATTAAGATAATGTTTAATTCAACATTTACATTCCATTTATCATTATCATGATTGGATCAAACAATTGTCAAAATATATGTTTAAGCAGAAATAACAACATGTACAGAAGTATACCATAGTTAGAACATGCGTTTTTGTTTCAGATATGCTGAACAGTTGAGGTAGAATGCAAGAAGTAGAAGCTCATATTTTAATCCTTATAATCATCTTGTTCTAGTGTAAGAGTGTTTTATCCTCTTGAAATTGTATATCTTTAAACCACTTCAATAAAATATTTATTCATTATTATGATGTTTGGTACCCATAAAATTGAAATACAAAGTAGCTTTCACTGGGGTATAAATAGGGAGAAGTAATAGGCTTCTAAGGCAAATAAAACAAAACAGACTCCACTAATCACTAATAAAAATATTTATACACTATATACATGTAGACTATATTCCTAGAATGATTTGTAGTCATAAATAATAAATAAAATATTTACCACTGGTAAGAGCAATACATGATACTCCTCTTGCTGGTGTAGGGTAAGCAGAGGCAGTACCCAAAAATGTTATTTCCATTTTACATCTACCCTACTACCCTCCTATCTAAAATTTAACAAAAAATATGAATCAGATCAGTCCATTGGCATTGCCAATTTTTATTTGTTGTTATTATAATGCATGGAGTTCAAAAAACAAAAGAAGTGATTTTCTAGGCCTAACATATGTTACCCCTTTGTAAACTTTGGTTATTAATTAGTAGTAATCAATCAATATACGTTATTTATGATTAATTAAAACAGAAACTCGACAAGTCAAGACCACGTCCACGGTCTCCGACTTCTAAAATTATGGTTTGCACTCTGACTCATTGTGTTTCTAAATTTGTAATTGTAATATACACACAGAGTAGGAAAGTAACTATGTCGATTAAATTAAAAAGTTCACCATTACCTCAGTAAATTTGCGAATATCAATAAATTACTGAAAAATTATTTTATTTTGAAACTAAATATGAAAAAAGGTAGCCATGATGCTAAGGGAAATAACTCACAGAGGTTTAAGTCGCATTCGGAACAACTAGGATTTTTTATGTCACTTTCGGCAAGATCAAGAATGTCCTCGATGTTGTGATTTTGATCGTTTTTGTTGGCCATATCCCCACCTGTCTTAAACAGACATAAGTAAGAGCCTTATCAATCTTCAGCATTATAAAATTTCCGTATCGCAAATTTCGAATGAGTTTTCTCGTCGTTGACAGATGGGACAAATTCTATATTGCAAATTATTAAAAAAGAAAGAAAGAAATAATATTGGTTTGATTCACTGGGGCTGAAGGAGGAACTCTATCTAGTTACATTCCTTTCGTGTTCTAATGAATGAAATTTTGTGAATGCGATACAGGACTGGGTTTTAACAGCTTGGGTGGTGGGGTTTATTCATTTCATTCGGTTAGAAGAAATAACAGAAGTGTGTCGTCTAGTTACCGTTCTGTTCACTGAGGAATGCGACAGAGAACAAAGTTCTTGACTTGACGGTTTGAAAAGTAGACTATTTTCACACTAAATATTGAAGTTATCTTTCCATTTACTATTGGAAAGTGGTGCAAAACAAATTTCTGAGTAGAATGGGATTTTTCATTGGCAAATAAGCGGGAAGGCCCTCCAGAGAACTCCAGACTATTTTAAGGCAGTGGCTATTGTTACGACGAGTCGTAAAAATAGTCCTCATGGATTGTTACGACGATGCTTTCAGAGCCCTCCATCGGCAAAATGTAGAACGAATTCCAAAATGGCTGCCAATCTCCCCAACACCAGCTTTGAAAAAGGGGCAGTATTTTCAACGTTTTCAGAACTGGAGGCAGCAATTAAGAGATGGGAAGCAAGTGCCAATGTAAATTTGTACACACGGAACTGTCGAACTATACAGTCTGCTCAAAAACGTGCTCCAAAGCGGACTTTCAAATCAGATTTGAACTTAGGGTTAGGGTTGGGCCTGAAAGCATCGTCGTAACAATAGCCACTGCCCTATTTTAATTGATCGTAACTTTTTGAATTATCTCCCTTTTTGAGTTCTGACTTTAAAGTTACAATTTCATATTTTCTAAGAAAGTCAAAACATAATTATTTCTATGTCTTTTGCTCAATAGGTTGTCAACTCACTATTATACGATCATAGGTTATCTTTCTCACACTTAAACATCTTCACACCGGAAATAATGACACAATTACCTCCCTTGTTTTCATATTACCCACCATGGAATAGCTATCTTCAAACGTTTGAATTTGAAGTTGAAAATGATATTTTTGCCAATTTCTCAACTGGCTATAGTGAATTTTAGGATTAATTGGATTATTCTTTAACAAGGTAGGACTGTTTATAGATACCATCTATTTTAGGACTTATTTTAATTCATTTTAAAAATATGAATTAACAATATAAAATTGTAACTTAAATTTTGTGAATGCCGTACCTTACAAATTTTGGAAAATTAAAGTGGGGTGGGGTCTTGGCAACCCCCTTCTGTGTTATTTGTATAGATAAGACGATAATTTTGGGCTAATAATTATTAGAACGTACCTAGTTTGTGTTCAGATATTTAAGAAATCACCGGGTCGAGGACAATATTATGCATTTGATAAACATCGATTTTATTCAGGACCCCACCGGTTTCTTCCAAATCCATTCATAATACCACTACAAAATGTGCACGGCATGTAAAATGTAAATTTAAATATGTACGCCTCACCGATGGCTTAGCAAATTTGTCTCAAAATGTGCATACAATATAATTTAAATATGTTCGATGTAACTCAAAAAAAAAATTACCAATCGACAAAAGTACAAAATGCTAATACCCCTTTTATTTATCTGCCTGTTTAGGTAATATATCATAAGATATTTTCATTTTATCAGGAATGTAATTCTCTGCAACAGTACTAAAAATAGAATGAGAATTGTATAGACATCGGTTGAGCGCCAACGCCATGTCTAAATTTTCTTTTCTACGGGCATCGCACAGATTGAAAACAATAACCAACTAAATGATCATCTGCACAGCGTTTTATATCAAGTTTGAAATAGTGAATTGTGAATTAAGGTCACGTAGTATTTGTTTACTGGAACCCAATAACCAAATAAATGATTATATGCTGCACAGCGTTTTATATCAAATTTGAAATAGTGAATTGTGAATTAAGGTCACGAGGTATTTGTTTACTGGAACCCGTGACTTTTGATTCGAATCACATTTCTCATCTTTTAGAATGCGCGTGTGAATTTGCCAGGGCAGTGGCTATTTAAAGGAACTAAATCGCTAATATTTGGGAACCCAAGAAATAGACACAAATGGGTCGCAACGCATATAATAATGGAATATGAATGTGTATAAACTGATTTACATTCAGTCGTTACTATTACTGTAATTTCTACAGTATGTTCGGCAAAATACGCCATGGAATATGAATGTGTATAAACTGATTTACATTCAGTCGTTACTATTACTGTAATTTCTACAGTATGTTCGGCAAAATACGCCAGAAGTGTCAATTAAATGGCAAACTCTAGCATCTGGTTATTCCAGTCTACACTGATAGTATTTATTGCGCATGCTCTCCAGATAAGAATATGGCGTCACCGTTTGACACGACTTCTGGAATATGTCTAGTCTCGTTCTTCGAGTCCCTAGTTACAAATGGCGCTGAAACGCATCATGGTACACGATTCGTGTACCAATGGTAAAATGGTTATTTTGTCTTAAATATTGGATATCAGAGGCCCATCTTTTCCCGGTAAGATCACAATATCAATGTTGATTTAAATTGACAAATAATTCGTGTTTTCAATGTCGAAGAGTTTGGATGATTTTGAGTTAGAGACTTAGCTACTTTAAATTGTTTCAATAGCATAGGAATTGAACCGAACACGGTTATTACTGAGTGACTAGTCTTTATCAAGTAGTGGGGTGGGGTGGATAGCTGAATGGTTAGCGTTCGCGCGCTGTATCATAAAGTCTGTCATTGAGTCGACTGGCGTGGTTTCGAATCCCCGGTTGTACGTGACAAGGAGTAGGGTCGCCTGTCCAACCTCGTGGGTTTTCTCCGGGTCCTCCGGTTTCCTCCCACTGCTAAAGACCCCTATGCGCAAGCGAATTATTGAAATAAAATTAAAACCATATGTTAGTCCCGAAATGACCTAGTTTGTGTCGAGTGGACGTTAAACCCCATTTTTCTCTCTCTCTCTTATGAAGTAGTGGCTTTTTATTACGAAATTCCCACAAAAGCTATTCCTGTTTCTGCAGACTAGAAATTACTCCACGGTAAGATCTGACGACATAATGTCATGACCACATGACCACCACGATCATTTACATTCTATGGATTTAATTTGTGCTTAAATTATGAATATTTTCCGATTCACCTACATCCAATATGCAGCTTTATGCTGTCAGCAGTATGACAGTAGGCATGTTATGAACATAGCGCGTGACGTAACATCAAAGGACCTATGGTGTTTGATAAAGGCTCTGGTACCACTAAGAATAACCTCAAAATATAAAAAAGATTAATTATTAACGCGGAAAACTAGCAATATCAAAGCGTAAACAGCTGATTAACTGCCAATCACGAGAAAAAATATTGACAGTTATGATCAATTTCATTGACCCGTTATTAAATCGACCATATGCCTTTAATTTAGTTTTGTTTGTCTCGATATTAGATTGTTTTATGTATTTTCGTGTGGTTTCTGTTGATAAACAACTGTATGCTACATAATATTGTATAATTATATGAGCCACAGTGGTTCAGTAAGTAATGGCCCACTAATTGGGTCCCGGGTTCGATCACAGTGTCGGTCGAGAAAGTTCCTCGAGATTTTCCAGCCGGATTTCCCCTTTGCAGTGGTTCAGGACGGAGGGTCTGGCAAAGAAGAGCACACAGTTGTTCGGATAGGACGAAAACCCAAGGTCCCGTGTCCACTTTGGCGTACACCTAAAAGAACTCATGACAGTTTGGATTTTGATAAAGAATAAGCAGAAACGTCGCTGTGTGAGAAAAACAAAACTCATGTTATACTATAGCGTATAGCCCAGTTGGTGCATAAAAGCGGGACGTTAAAGGGACCATCCCGATTGAAACAGAGTCTCAGGAATAAAAGTCCGTGTATGTATGATATTTAAGCACCAAATTATAGAGGAATTGTGTTTTTGCCTTGTCTCAAAATTTCAGCTTAATATATTGGGTCGTTTGGACGTGAACGTCAAAACCGCTTATCAGGACAGTAACTCTTTTAAGATGTCGGATCAATTTTTTCGTTGGGTGACCTGATAATTAATTGCCCAGTGGATAACACGTGCTGTACTTGATAACGAAAGGTATATATCACCTACACGTTATTTTTATAAAATAAAAGTTTGGTTTTATCCAGGCACAGTTTAATACAGCTCGGGACACCGGTCTCTATTTTCAGATGAAGACTGGCGGGATTAAGTTGTAAAGGATTTTTAGGGCTTTTAACACAAAATTATGCAAGTTTTATTCTCCAAAATATAACCGAGATTGGCCCTTTAAATCAATGCGTATCTGTTATTAAATGAGCGAATGAAAGAAATGAGGATGAACGTCAGGAAACCAGGCCACCGATTCTGGGCTATCACCGGAATCGAACCCCAGGATTTTCTGGTTAGAGAGCCATGCAGCTGAAATGTTTGATTAAAATAATTGTTTTTTCTTTGAAGAGAACTGTTATTTGATCGGTTACAAAAGCCAAATAATTTATGTTTTCACTGATTTGATTTGATTTGAATTTCGAAACCGTGTGATTAAGAGGAGCTTTCTTCCAATATTTTTTTAAAACGGGGATAAAACGTTTTACTCGTCTACACCATTGGTCAAATGAAGAATGGCACACAGTGGGCTATGAATAGCATTTTTCCCGGGCAGCGGCGTTTCGGCCTACTCTTCATCGAATTACAACTATCACGGATTCTTTTCGTCTCATTCGAGAGCCAGTCCCTCCGCCCTGCACCACTAAAAAATACCGAGGTA